TATCTTACCTTGAATACAGATATTCTGTGGTTCTCAATAAGTTTTACCTTTAACTGGAAGTTGTAATGCTGTGTACAAAACTTAAAACCTTGTAAATTTATAGCATTTGTTTATTGAGGAGAAAAAACAGCAGTGGCAATGATAGGATGCGTTTCTTCACAATCTACAGCTGAAGTGTAAACCTTTTGTCTTGTGTCAGTGTGTGCCCACACCCGCATGCATACATGTACATGAATGTGTGTGCATGTGTGTGTGTGTGTGTGGGGGGGGGAGGGGGGCATACACTGGCCCATTTTCTTTTATAATATCCTATTTTGCCAAGGTTGCACTTGGTGCAATAATAAAATTGCTTTTCTGTTCCTATTTCTGACACAACTCAAATTCTTTGGTCTGCCTCCAATTTGGTGGTCACTTACAAGTACAGCAATGGCCTAGTCTATTGGTTACAGATACGCAATATTGTAAGGTCTGTAAGTAAGTTGAATCATGGAATTACCTGTCTAGTAGCAATGCAGTAAATGGGGGGGGGCCTTAGACTTTTTTTCAGAAAAAAAAAATAATCTGAAGTAATTTTAAGTCATTTGAGAAGTGCATCCATGACTAAGTAATATTCAAATCAGTTTCATTTTGATTAATCAAAAAACTATGACCCTATAAATATCTTTTTTCCTCCTTGTCTTAATAGCAACAAATGTCAAATACAAACCTTTCAAGTCACATTTCTTCTCAATGTGATCAAATAACATTCCCTAAATTAAAAAAATCAGTATCATTTTTCCAAAGTAAAGAATTTAGTATATATTTACTATTTAATGAAAATCCAAAAAAAAGCCAGCTTGTGCCAAGTGCAATGTAATAGTTGAAGATAAAAACTTTTATTTATTTAAAATATTTCAAGTGGGTATAGGTGTCAAGAAGGAATTCCGATCTGTCTCCAGAAGAATGCAGCTCTGTGTTGAGGAAGAACAGTATCCATTACTGTGACTACCAGTCTTGTGACAACCAGATTGTCCCATTGAGGAAGATGAATGACTCCATTATATCCTTGTCTTGCTCATCGTTTTTCGCCTTTAATCATTTGTCACTTTCCTCAGGGCAAATTAACTTGGTGAAAAGTTTTCACAGCAGCACTTACATTTCATATAGTGAATCTCAATCTTGCACTTACTAGTATCATTTAGCTCCTATGCGTGACGTAAACATGAGGGCTTATAGTCTACATGCATACATACATACATACATACATACATATACAAATACTTGTAAATCAGCTTAAAAGCTTTAATTTTACTCTTACTGTACATGACTATTAATCATTTAATTGTATCAATCATAAAGTTATAAATGCTTTTTGTTAAAACATAAAGCACTTATGATACAAGCTATTTATATATATGCATGCTAAAAATGACAAAGTTTTTAGTTATTCTTGCATCAAATGGTCATATTTCCCTATCTGGTGAAAGCACAGATTGGCTCAAATACAACTTTTATATTTAAAAATATACTTGTAATTATAGCCTAAAGCGACTAGAAAAAAGAATAAAATCATAATTATGATATAATTATCTAAAATAAATAATTAAACCATCATTGAAAGTTGCATGACTAAACTCCAATCAATCTACTAAGAGATGGGACCATAAACCATAGTACTCTATCATCCTGTCATCCAAACTATTGGTCATCAATACATTTAACAATTATGTATTGATTTGACCAGGCCATTGGTCTGTATGAAGTGGACTGAATCACACTCATGTTGGCCTAATGAAGAAATCCTATAAAATCTCACCAGACCTGTTAATCAGTTTGTGTTTGTCTGGTGAATGAAGAAAAAAAGCTACAGTTAATTTGATGAAATAGGTTTTTCATTGTTTGTTGTGTAATGGGTTACACTAAATGGTGATGTATATTAAATACCTAAATGGAATATAATATGGATCAATAAAGTCATATCAAGCATAAAACTTGAAAAAAAAAAAAAAAAAAAAAAGAAGGAAATGGAACAAAAATGACAGCACTGATCTTATTTTTTTCTGTCTAGGGCTCTCTCCCCACCTTCCCCATTGACAACAAACTGAAGAAATACATATTGCAATTGCCACTCATAGCCAAGATGGCAAAACTGATATCATATACACTGAAACTAACCAGGGGCTTTTGTACTAAGTGAACTGGAAACTGAATTATCAGTCTAGACACAAGACTCAGCGTAGCCAATACCCAATGTTCGGTGTGTTAATATTCTTGAAAAGATAATCTTAAATTGGTTAGACTTAGAGACTCATTTATCTCATACCTTTTTCAATTTATAAACTTAGACAATTTCTTATATCCACCAGGGATTATAACTGAGAAGTCATAATTTGATAATTTTTTACATTTATCTTCACACAAAAACAAAATATGTAACAAATTAATGTTGGGGAGGTCTATATATATATATATATATATATATATATATATATATATATATATATATATATATATATATATATATATATGCTTTGTTTTTATCTAATTTGTGAACATCTTTGTGTACCAATGTTGCCATGCACACATATTGCTAAAATGGTGATTTATAAACACCATCACCCAGTGCTGCAGTACTTTATATTGTCGGTATGGTATCAAAGTGCTAATCTTATCTTATTGTGTGATAACTTAATGATCTTGTTGAGGACTGCAATTGACTTGTCTCTAAAAGGAAGTAAATGGGGTTTTTTTAAACGATATCTGGATTACTGATTTGTAAATATAAATAAATAAAATAAATAATAAAAAAAATTTGATAAAATAAAAACAGGCCCTGGAATGCTTCTTCATAAAACAAAGTAGAGAGAAGTCCAACAGCAAACACCTCTGTCAAGGAAAGAAATAACTACTGAAAGGAATAACAGATATTGGAAAACCCGGATTCAGCTGAAATATCGTAATAACTTTTATCTGTCCTGAAAACTGTTTATCCTGAAAACTTTATCTACAAAAAGAATTTGAGATATCTTACCCCGTTTGTCACATACAGTACAAACAGTAGGAAATAATGGCAATGTAAACTCCTTCCTTTTCAGAGGTAATAAAGAGATTTATGAATTCATCAGCTGGGTGACAGACATCTACTATATTTATTATTAGTATTAGCAAAATTTGGAATATGCTCTATTTAAAGGTCCAAATTTATCTTTCCTTGGCAAAAAAAAAAAAAAAAAAAAAAAAAAAAAAAAAAAACATGTATCATTGGTTGAGTGGTTTCATGTTTTATATCACTTTTAATCAAATGATATTGTTTAAATATCTGCCAAGTCTTCCTATACATTGCAAAAGGAAACATATCAACACCAAGTACTTTTATTTGACAGAAATTTTAGGGCCAAATTAGAAAAGCTGATAAGCTTTACAGGATATATAGATACAAAAAATATAACTCCGGGGCATTTAATTTTTCATATGTACATCTTTAAGGAAATATGCAAAGCACTTACTAGTATACCTTTAAGGTAACCCAGCTGGGCATAGTGACATGTCTCTTGAAGAAAACCTATGCAATGCACCAAAAGCCAATCTGTCAATCTATGATTCATTCTTTTTTCATAATTTTGCAAAAAAATAATTGAAAGGTGACTGATGCAGAAGCACGTACATGCTTATGATTATAAAACCCCATAGTGACTCAAATGATTTAAGTCCTGGTTTACTAGAAAGTCTATTTAAACTTGACCGCCGTATCTGACCACTTCCTAATGTGTTTAAAGATAACAACTTACTACTAACCTATTTCCTCCTAATGGCATCAGTCCACCACATCTACATTAGAATAAATAAAAAGTGCTTTTTTATCTTTAAGTCCATACTGTAAATTACTTAAAATATCATATACCAAGATTAATGGGGAAAATGTTTGAAAAACATGTTAAAACTGAAGGAGAAAGTAACTTGAACTGTAAATGATGACACTGATCCAAAAAGAAAAATAAAATTATAAAACAAATTTTTAAAAAGACACTGATAGGCAGGCAGCTAAAAAGGAAGCATACCATCAAAATACTAGCACAGAACAGATTATGAATTGCAGACAAATACCAGGCCAACTTGTCGGGTACTGTCCCCTTTAACTTAACTTTACACTATACCAGTCTTCTCTGGTTGATAATGTTAAAAGTTCACAGTTCAATGTCTACATATATGCAAGTAAAGAGAACAGACTCAAGTGCCATGTAAAGTTTCCAAATATAAGTTGATCTTGGAGGATGAAATACACAGTATAAACAAATATAAAATAGATCATACTCATTTACCATGCTCTACATCTTCGCTATGTGTGGTGTTTGTAGCATTGACTCCGACTTCAGCCATAGCGATACCACTTGCAATTCCACATGTACAATATCTGCCTCTGCTCAGCTGAACCACCCACGATGTTTTAAACTAAAACATTCTCAATGTTCAGTTCTACAGTTTACTTCAATCCCATCAACCTTCTACATTTTCTGATTCTGAAGTGGGAGCTACGTGTATTTGGATTCAAATCGGAAGTGACCTATGATTCAATGCCCGATTACAATATTTATTAAGGCCTGACCTGACAATGACCCAGTTGAATTGTAATCTACATGCTGTCAATTTCACCACATCGCATCGCACATGTCATAGCAGTTTACAATATTGACATCATGGGTAGTCACAACAACAACAACAACTGAATGAGTATACCCACCTGTGCTTGGCTGCTGTAGCTTATTGGAGTGATCGAATACTCCTTATCTGTCGATATTTAGCGCTTGTGCATTCTGCGTTTGCAATATTTTACACCTGCGAGGGAAAGACCCGGCTTCCTAGTTGCATTTTGCCGCAACAAGCTGATAGTCCATATCAATCAATGAAATACGATGATCCCAGCCCTCTTTAGATGTCGTGACCTAATTAAAATCAGCGAGAATCGACGAGATAACGTCAATACTATAAATAACTTTCGTTATATGAAATCATAATATAAATTATTATACACCAATAGTGTTGGGCAAAATATATCAGTCGAATTCGTAATAATTGAAAGCAATCTTTCCTATTTTATTTCAGTATCCCATGAGCCTCTAACGTCAATAATCAAGATGGCGCTGAAGCAGGCAGTCCATCAAAGTGAGTATAGAAAATTTATGAAAATTACTGCTTGTCATTCATTATTTTAAGGATTATGTACAGTAACTGTGCAGTTAGCACTTGTTTATTGAAACGCACATATTTCAAATCTTGGTTATGGTTTAGATTTTTTTTGGAGATCAGAAATGCTCTATCGAGATCGCAGTAAACTCGTCGATATGTCAGTGTTATTACTGATAATTTACTATATATAATAGGCCGTATATAATATCCGCGGTCCTTACAGAAAAGCGTTAAAATGATGATGATGATCTTATGTTTTAGCCTTAATAGTAAAATGATTGAACTTGAATGGTTATGGGAGATACGCGGCATGATATCATTATCTTCGGAGTTAGAATTATGACTTGTAAAATTGAATGGGTGGGACCCTCATTAAATTCTAAAGTTTCGTTTTAAATTTACAGCAGGGAAGCACGAGTCATTATCACACTTTAGAAAATCAACAAATAATTCAAACATAACTGAAATATTTCCTGACACTTGAAATAAAAAGTTTGCTTAGATATAAACGTGAACATACAATTTGCACTGTTGCCAGTAACTTCGTACTCAGATATTATTTTGGTTTTTCAACAGGATTTTTATGAAAGTAGCTATTAATATTTTTCAATCATGCACATAAATGACTGAAAAACATATATTATGTTTGTCCAGATATCCAGCCTCAAGCCCTACCACCAAAATTTATAAATATTCTTTAGTGTCCCAGAGTCTGAAGGATTAGTTTTAAAAAGAAATGAAAAAAAAAAAAAAATGGGTGATATTCCCTGATTAAATTGATAAGTTAATTGTCATAATCATCAAACCTGCCATTGACGTCATATTTTCGTGCAAGCCTAGTACATACACATTTACTTAATGACTTACTTTCTTGCCTTAATCATGCTCAGTTGTATGGTTAATTGGGTTTGATATGCTGTAAATTCTTTTATGTGAAATACTTTTTTTTTATATTAGTGCATTAATAATCAACATCTTTAGAGCACAAAGTCCTTTTTATTTCTTTATTTGTTTTATTATACTACTCACTTCTGGGGTGTTCAGACATAATTTGTCCATTTCGATGCTTTGAAAAGTGAGATACAGTAATTGGTTTTTGACATAACTCTGTTACTAAGGGCCCCTTTACACTGGACGGCATCCTTTCTGCGTCCAGCAGCACGGCCCCATTTGAGAGTTAAAAAATTATAATATTTTACCTGCCGACAACTGGCCGATCATTGAGCGTTCTTCTGATACAAAATCAGTGCTCGTGCTTCCTTATTAAGACCACAGCGATGCCAAACTTCATGGTCGCAGAGAGGACGCAGAAAGGACGCCGTCCAGTGTAAAGGGGGTATAAGCAAGATATTATCATCATGGAAACTGGCATGGTGTACAACGTGACTGAGAACCACAATCTAGTGCCAGTGTTTGGTTTTTAATTCCTTTTGTTTAGGAGATATGAGGCCATAACTTTTATGATGTTTCATTAAACAAAGGCATTTTTTCACCTCGTTATTGATAAAATCAGAAGTAAGCATTTCAAGAAAAATTCCTAGCATCAGGTTATAGTGCTTTCTGTTGTGATTGAATACCAGTACTAGTAGGTGCTCTACACAAAAAGGGACGTATTGGCAGAATATGGGCACTGTACAGATATCCCTTGGCTAATACGTTGCCCCTATGTACATTCAATAAGTCCTTGAAGTTGAAAAATACTGAATTTAGAGCTTCAGAAGTCCTTGAAAGTCCTTGAATTCTTTTTTGTATGTTACTGTATGAACCAGGTCCCGGGTACCTTAGTAGTATATGATTTGCACATTCATTAAACTTGTTATTAATATCATGTCTGTATGTTTTCCTTAAAGAGATATTTTTTAAAAAACTTGGTTTCTCTAAAATTTATGAGAGAATAGTAATCAGTATATTGAAATTTTTGTAGGGCCAATCCATAGTTGCCATGAAATTAAGCAGGTGTCACTTTTTAGTAAAGGAAAGAAAAGTATATATTAAGTTAGGACATTGTACTTATTGTGGTTAACCTAAAAAATAAGAAACAGCAGTTCTTCATTAGAGGCATTGTAGACACTTGGTGTTGGTCTCATTAGGATTACCACATTTGCACATACAATATAGATAATTTGCAAATTATAATATTTAAAGCCAGCAGCTAAATTCTCTTTTATAAATACATATAAAAGCATTCAAAATAGGCTGGTGAGAAGGCAGAACATTTTAAAACTGCCATTCTTTGACACTTGGTGAAGGAACAAAATAATGAAAGTTCTAAACAGTTATCAATAATACAAAGATTATATTTAGGACCAAATATCTGAAGTATACCTATAATGTATCATATGCAGCCATTTAATTAAGTTATTATGGAGCACAGAACTGTTAATAATATTACCAATAATATGTTAGAAAATATAGGAAGAAGAAAATCTGAGACTCTGTCCTTGCACTGTTAAAAGAAAAATGTCAGCCCAACTGGTTATTTTCATACTTCATAGGATATTTTGTGTGAGGGAGAAATGACATTTTATTGATCAATCCGTGGAAGTCCTGGTATGTTGTGTGTGCATGTATCTATGTATGGAACCCTCAATCAATATACTGCATTAAATTACAGATAGTTGCCATTTGCCTCAGAGACTACAGAATCAATACAGCTCTCAGAGTCTGGTCAGGTTATTTTAATGTGACGGATACATGTGTTGGCTTTTTTTTTTTTTTTTTTTTTTTTTGTATGCTTGAACAGGGGAGTAATGTCTTGCCAGCATAACTGTGAAATTTAAAATATGCTTGACTCTAAGTACTTGTATATATATGAAAACCTTTACCTTATTTATATTATTTATAGCATTGATTTTTATTTTTCCTGAGCAAGAGAAGTAGGTTTGTTAAGAAAATTACTTGCATCATCAGATGTTTGATTAAAAAAATATTTTTTTAGAAAGATCGACCTGTTGAAACCAGTTGTCCGAAAAAGACCTAATATAGCCTGCTGATTAAACCAAACAATACCTTAAGTTAACATTTTAATTTGTCACCCATACAGAAGTAATTTGTTAAAGGACACATGCCTTGTTGTGGTGAGAGGAAGTTGTTTATGTGCATTTCGAAATTTTAATATGATTCAGTTCTAATGTTACAGTAGCAGGGATTTCCATAAGTTTTTTTTTTTTGTACCAGGGGGTTCTTTTGGAGCTTTTTGTACTTCACCTAAAATTGAAAAATTCATTACAGTGATAAGCACCAAGGACCTCCAAAATATGGGGCTAAATTTTCTTAATTATTTATTTTTTAGAAATTTTGTCAGACGTTGTGAGGGGTGTCAAGAAGAGAGAAGAATGGAAAGTCCTTGTCGTGGACCAGCTGAGCATGCGCATGATTTCTGCATGCTGCAAAATGCACGAGATCATGTCAGAGGGCATTACATGTGAGTTGAAACGATGAAATAAGAATTCTATCAATGTACATTGAGAATAGCTGGGACAAAGGAATGATTAAGATATAATGCAATTTTACTGAATCTGCTATGTATCAGGTAAAAAAAGTTCTGCTTATGATTAAGTGTTTGTAAGCTAGCAACACCGTATGTTAAATACGCAATTTGTAAGATAACTGGATTTCTCCTTGAAGCGTAAACCAATGTTTGAGGCATTGCAATGGTCATCATTTATAATTATTCCTGAAAGTTGTTCTACGAGTAATATTTTAGAATGCTGTTTCAAAGTCTGTAAGAAAAGGCATCTTTGTGAGTGTCAGAAAATGATAAATTTTGAAAAAGTAAGTGAAATTTTCAAGTATTGAAATTTTTTTGTTGTTGTTGTCATTGCTCAGTGGTAGAGGATCTGAACAAGAAGAGAGAGCCATTACCATTACTTGAAGCAGTGTATCTGATCACTCCTGTAGAAAAGGTTAGTACTTGTACAAAACACCAAGGGATATTTTCTAAAATGAACAGTCACAAATTTAAACAAAATGATGTGCCCCACCCCCCCCCCCCCCAAAAAAAAAAAAAAAAAAAAAAGACGTTTTGTTGGTGATACTTAAAATGTTGATTATGTACAGTTACTTCATGTCATGAATTTCTGAGAATGCTAAATCTTGGAAAAGTAAAATATGAGAAGTGAGGCATTTGAAAAATTTTACGTTATTACTGTATTTTAACAGCATAATCTGTAATTGGTCAAATAATGTTTCTTGGACCAGATGTTTATAAGTTACCTGCATTCATGATATACATCATTAGTAAGGTGAAATATCACTAATGAGCAGATGACTTTATGATCATAAGTGTCCTCATTAAAACGTATAGAAGTATTAAAAGATGCTGACATTTTTCAATCTGGTACCAGAAAAAAAAAAAAAAATTAAAGAAAACATTCACTTGAGCTGGATGACTGAATCATGATGTTTCTAGGTGTCATGATGGTGTTTACAAGTTGCTTTCAGCATGCCAGGACATCAGAGTCAAAAATAGGAACTGTGTGATAATTCAGTGACGTGATTATCTGAGTGGATTTCCTCTGCCTTAATGAAGTGAGGATATTAATTTGAAACTAAATATACAAGTATCTATTTGACGCCTACACATGGGGAATGCTTTGACAGGCAAATGGATGTGATTTCATTAAGGAATGTGGGCAGATTACCTTGAGTTTCAGTTACAATGCGTGCCAGCATCTTTGTTTTTCAGAGATGTTTACCAGTTCAGGAGCCTTATGTGGAAATTAAAATGTGAAGAGGATGGGCTTTGAAGCCCAATCTACACTACACATGGGTCTATGTATTTTTCATGAGTAATTACAACACTAATTAGGGTTACTAAATCGGACAAAATTGTTCACCTGATAGATATGATTTTCTTTTCTTTCTTTCTTTATTATTGTTTTACAGAGTATCAATCAGTTGATCCATGATTTCAACTCCCCAACTAACTGCCAGTACAAGTGTGCCCATGTGTACTTTACAGAAGGTAATTTCCTAATTGTTATCAGTCTGAATGTGTTATGATGGTCCAAGGCACCACATACAAAAAAGAGTAAAACAGGGCTAGTAAGATTTTTTAATTTGATCATTTTTGCTTAAGGCCAGTGGAGTGTTAGATATTGGTAAATAAAGTGACAAGTATTGGAACACATTGTGAATGCAAAAAATGATAACAAAATAATTAAAAAAAAATTTAATTAAAGATGGATAATAAAAAAATCATGCAGCTCTCCTGTGCATTGGAAATGTTTTTTAATGTTAATGTTTATTTTATACCTAAGCCATCCACACAGAATGAAAATTTTATTACAGAAATAGAAGTTGTGTAGACAAAAATAAAGTTATACATAAAAAATTATATGTTTTCAATATAATTAGAAATTTTGGAAGTATAACTACTGATTGTTAAGGTTTATGGAAATTAAAACTTAATATTAGGTGCTGTCTTTTACTGATTTAAATCTTTTTTGGCTCATATTTCAGCTTGCCCTGATGAGCTATTCAACAAACTATGTAAGTCTACTGCTGCCAAGAAAATTAAAGCTTTGAAAGAGATAAACATTGCTTTTCTGCCATATGAAGGACAGGTGAGATTTTTTCTTTAAAATTTAGTCAAGTTTATAATGATAATAAAAAACATTGTTAAAAACCGTTAATGCATATTCTGCTGGTTTTCACTTTCTAAGATGGTTAAGCACATGAGATCATTATTATTATTTTTTAATTTTGCAGATTCTGGTATATACATTTGAAGTGGAAAACTTAAAATCTATCTATCATCAAATATACAGTTGAAATACACATTTTTGACATTGCTTTCTGTTACTGGAGTCAAATTCCCGTCATCCATTCTATAGGTTTTCTCTCTGGATTCTCCTGACATATTCCAAGTGTACTACAACCCGAGCCGCCATTCTGGTAGAATTCCGCACCTGGAGAGATGTGCTGAGCAGATTGCCACGCTGTGTGCCACCCTGGGAGAATACCCTTCAGTCAGATACAGAAGGTAGGGTCTCTGTTGATGAGAATGCCACATCCCTAAGATTTATGTGTTACTTGATTGGGATCAAAGATTATTACTTGTTTAACAAATAAGAACATTCAATAAAGGTTAATGCTTTTGATTCGAAGTATTAGATAAGACCATGCATTTTATCATGTAGCAAGAAGAAAAAACTGATTTAAAGAAAGTGGGAACAAAAATGACCCTAAATTGAAAACCAGTTGGCATATGTTTAAAAAAAAGAAAGAAAGAAAGAAAAGGAAAAAAAGTCATACTGAAAGAGAACACGGCATTGGTTTTGTATTATGTTTCACCTCAATGTTAATGCTGGGTTATTTCAGTGACTTTGACAAGAATGTTGAGTTTGCTCAGCTGGTGCAGCAGAAGCTGGATGCCTATAAAGCTGATGACCATACCATGGGGGAGGTTAGTAACACGGAATAGACTGAAATAACATGTAAACAATATCAGGCCCCATTCAGAATAGGGGACTAAATTGTCCGAGGGTCAAATATGGCGACTTACTACAAAGCTTGCTGTCTAATCCACTAATAGACACTGAATAGATATCCCGTGGGGAAGTATTCAAGTGGGTTGGCCATATTAGAGCCTCGGACTAGTTTGTCCCCTATTCTGAATGAGGTCAAAAGGATTCAGAAGATTTAACTATCAGAGGGTTATGAGATAGAGGTAAATCGGGTTCTGTTATTGTTGTTGTTATTTTAATTGATTTTATTACTGTTATTTTTAATGATCTATAGGGCCCCCAGAAAGAACGTTCCCAGCTGATTATCCTGGACCGTGGCTTTGATCCTGTCTCCCCTCTGTTACACGAGTTATCATTCCAAGCTATGGCCTATGACCTGCTGCCCATTGAAAATGATGTTTACAGGTAAGACAGGAACTACGACTGAAAATAAAATAATATGTATCTTTTTAATGATATTGGTATGAGTTGAGACCTTTTATTCATTACACTGGATGTATAAAGCTAAGAAACTGCTTACCCAATGCAGATATATGAGCCAATAACTGGGCAAATTTTGGTTTGATTTTGACTGGCAGCTGGCGTGGGGCTGGTGTTGGTTGACTGATATGGCATTGTGTGTTATCTTCCTAGATATGAGAACACAGTGGGAGGTGATGTCCAGGAGAAGGAAGTTTTGTTGGATGACAATGATGAACTCTGGACGGAGCTACGGCACCAGCACATTGCTGTGGTGTCACAGTAAGTCTTTATAGAGAGGAAGGAGGGGGTGGGGGGTTGAGGGGTGGTGGGGTGGGTTTTTTTTTGGGGGGGGGGGGGGGGGGGGCAAATTGTGAAATTGTCATCCAAGGAGGATGAAGGGTATTTTTAGACAGGGAATTAGTCAAGAAGGAGTCATTTTTAGACAAGGAATGAAATGAAATGAGGAAGTTATTTATTTATTTATTTATTTATTTATTTATTTATTTATTTATTTTATTATTATTTTTTTTTTTTTTGAGGTGGGTAAGTCACTTTAAGGAGAAGAGGTGGAAGGTGATTCATGCATGTAGAATTTATAGTTTTTAAGAAGTCCATTTTCTATTTCTGTGTCGCGTTACTCACAGAACAAATTTGGTGACAAGGACAGCAAATTGCATCAAGGTCTTAAATTGGTATGAAGTTGAAGTTTTTCTTATTCTTTTGTGTTCTGCAAATTCAAGTATTTAGCTTAGTATCTTTTAATATGACCATTTTCCTGTTGCTTGTACTTTCCCTTCCTTCTGATTTTGGTTGTTTAATTAGGATAGTCTCTAATAGGTACTCTTTTCAAATAGAATGTATGAAAAAAATGATTGCATTTTTCTACATCCTTTCTTATTCCTGAATTTCATCTTTATTTTTTCTATTTTTTAAAACACTATCTAGTTGTCTTGCTTTTTTTATCTGAAAGTACTGCATGTTTAACTGTTTTAGAGAAAATATATTTTAATCATCTGTCACATCACAATGTAAACTTTGCTTTGATTCAAAAATCATCTTTTCTTTCCACTTTATGAGAGAAAGATTATCTGATGCTTTTTGGTGCAAAAAAGAAAAAGGAGGAAGAAAAAAGTTTAGTTTTGATCATGTCACATGATCTTGTTTTGCCACTTAAGATGATGCCCTCTTGTGGAAAAATAACTGGAAGTCGCTCCCCCTGCCCCCACACCCACCTCCCCCTATGGTGGAAAGGTGGCGAAACAATTCAAGTGACATGATTGAAATATTCTTTCAGGAATTTTCTTCTTTTGAATGAAAGTTATCAGGTCATCTTTGTGCTCCTTAGTGATACACAGTAATAATTATACTCTAGCTTATGTTTTTTTTTTTTTTTTTTTTTTTACTGAAGTGTTTTGGATTAAGTTTTTCTTCTTTGCTTTGGCTTACTATTTCATTTGCAGAATCATGGCTTTACGTTCTATAGCGGTTACATTTGCATTAAGGTTAGCCTTAGTTTGCTATGTTGTATTTTTATCACTTGTGGTCTGTTCATAAAAATCTTCATGTTTCTGTTGTCCATTTTCTCTTCTGTCTTTTAAATTGAAGATTTTTACCTTTTGTTGCTAGATTTTCCTCTCCTGAAGTGCTTACCATACCTTCATGCAGCATGCTGTGTTCACCAAGAAATGTTTAAAACAGAGATTTAAAAAGGAAAACTGTGAATGGTTTTATTCTAAATATTGTGAGAATAAACACAAGCATGCACATACACAGTCATTTCATGTACCCTGGTAGTACAGTAACAACATAAAATGCATTGTTAACTGTTATGTTTTTACTATTCATAAAAATGTATATATACACTATAGTATACCTAACTATTTTTGCATGACATAATTGTTATGTTGTGTATCATTCCTGTAAATATCAAACAGCCTTGTTAGAAAAAAAACTGCATTTTAATCACAATCACATTTCAAAAACAATGGCTTTAAAAGCCATACAACCAAATGTAATCTGATATTACCACCACGCATTTTGTATGAATTTTAAAAAACTTTTTTTGCGTATTTTCAACATTCATTAAACTAGGAATTGATTAATTTAAACTCTAATAAATAAATATAACAAGATTCAATTGAAAAAAAATGGAATAAATTCTTTTCAGGGCTGTGACTAAGAACCTGAAGAAGTTTGCCACAGAGAAGAGGATGGTGACCACAGAGTCTGGCAAGTCCACCACCACGATGCGTGATCTGTCCCAGATGTTGAAGAAGATGCCTCAGTACCAGAAAGAGCTGGCCCGGTACTCCACGCACCTCCACCTGGCAGAGGACTGTATGAAACAGTACCAGGGCAATGTGGACAAACTGTGCAAGGTGGAACAGGTAAGGAAATGAATGAAGGAATGAATAAGTGAATGAATAAATGAATAGATGAATGAATGAATGATATTTTATAGATAAATAGATTAACTTTTAGTTTATTTCACTGTATATAAGGCCTCCGGCCTTTTTACAATAATTTGATATAAACAAAAAAAAATAAATGAATAATTAAATAAGTAAGTAATGAAATATATGAATGATTAATAAATGAGTAGACAAATGAATAAATGATAAAAAGAATAGAAAAAATAGTTGAATAAAAACAGATTTTATGTTTGTTGGGCACAGGGTGATTAAATAAATAAACAGATCAATAGATAAAACAGCCCGTGTATCCAAACAGAAAAATAATGAAATAGAGATCTATCTTTTAACATCTTTAATATATATTTGTTTCATTTAACCAGGACCTGGCTATGGGTACAGATGCTGAGGGAGAAAAGATAAAGGACCACATGAGAAACATTGTTCCTATTCTGCTGGATCAGAATGTCACCACAAATGATAAGATCAGGATCATACTGCTCTACATCATCCATAAAGGAGGTACAATGCTTTGTCATTTTTGTGTTAGCATGCTGTGAACCTGCAGGCCTGAAGGTTGGGTGGGTTGGTTAATAGAAGTGTCTTTTTTCTTTCCACTGCAGTAACTGTTGCTGTTTTGCTTCAAACTCGAAGAATTTACTCATTGTCTTTTAATGCTGGTAATGCTCAAAAGTGGGCATGCAAGTTACATTTTCTTAATGCCCATTTTACCTATGGTACATGGTTAAAAATAGGTGTTGACGGTAAAGCATTATGTGATATTGCATCAAAATAGACAAAAACCCTACTCGTTGCTTTGTCATTGTTATTTATTTCTTGTTTATGCCTGTACATTTGACTGCTTTGCTTCCTTGTTTATATTTTTACTTGGACAATAATGTTGGCTGTGTTACTGTAGGAATATCTGATGAGAACCTGAAGAAGCTGGTCCAGCACGCAGGCATTCCAGATGAGGAGAAAGGAATCATCACTAACATGCAGAACTTGGGAGTCCCTATCATCCAGGACGTAAGTACAACAACTAAGAAACTTGACACATATGCATGAAATGCATATTATAGAGATACAGCAGACTCTGAATTGCTCAGACACTTTGAGACTACACATAATATGATCAAGTTGGCTAATGTTCTTATTGATTTCATCTAATATAGTACAAAAAAATATGAAAATTTGGTTGAGGTAAACGAGTTTTGCAGAGTCTGCCATGCCTTGGATTTAAGACTAGGGGATGTTCCTCTTAGCTCTTGGTAAGGGTCTCCTCACCACCTGAGAAGTCTTATTTATTGGTTAGCCATGAAAACACTTTTAATTGGGATTCTTCCACCACAATAGCTGTACTAGTTCTTGCACCTAGCAATAGACAAATTATTCCATGTAAAATTTGAGAAAGCAGGTGGTTATAAAAAGGGCTACAGCATCAGGCACCAGTGACAGAGCAATTTCTGCAAATGGAAAAAAGAAATTTAAAATGAAAAAAAAATATATATATATGCCAGTATTTTTGACAAATGGGACATGATAGCCCTGTCAACTTATAATTTACTACCAGCCCTTAGTACTGGTCATCTAACTCCCACATATGGAATGAAATATGTGGCTCAGGCCCAATATCTTTCATTTTTGACTTGTGTTATCATGCACGGATTGGAAAATGACATTACTAGCAACTGCGACAGCTAGCTTGTTTATAACCTCTTACTTTGCAAGTCAACTGGAAAGTTACGTGAGACAGAGTATATTGATTTAATTGAATTTGTAGATTTGCAATGAAAGCTGAAACTTAACTCTCTGTTTGGAAGTGATGCTGAAGCTCCTGCAAAAGATGCAGAAGTGCATTATGTAGAACTGTTTCACAGATTGGTTAGATATGCACATGGGTAGATATGACATGTACATATCTTATGTATATGTACACTGTGGGTCCGTTCCTGGAACAATTTGAAGTTGAAAGCTGATTTTAACTTTAAGACTGAAAAAAAATTGTAATTCATTTTGATCAAAAATGATTAAGTCATAAGCCATATCTCTGAGAATATTTGTATTTTCTTTGAAGTAAAATATAAAGTATGATTTAGTCTATGTTTTTAACTGATAGTTTGTTTGAGGAGAAAGATTTAATCTTGCTTAAAATTTACCAAATTTATAGTAAAAAATTGAATCCACTTTCAACTAATTTTTATTTATTTATTTATTTATTTATTTATTTATTTATTTATTTATTTATTTGATAAAGTAGTGCTTTAGAGATCGAGAGAAAATGTAACACATCAAGTTTTAGAAATGCCACTGGTGTTTTAGATTATATGTTGCTGGTTGATCAATTATTAAAAATTTTCTTTTAATTTGTTTATGGCTTGTAATTTACTGCACTGTTTGCCTGTATTTTGTTGAATTCGGATTCCGGGTTCAAACCAAGGAGTCAACATATTTGAGATTTGCATTATTATGTTTTAACAGTCTGTTGATAACCTATGCTATTTGCTACTCTCCTTACTTTAGCAAAGTAGGAAAGTAAGTCCATGTGGTACAGTTTTGATGTTAATGTCTCTAGAAGTGTGAATGTTTGTTTTGATTGTTTATTTGTTTGTTTTTTTATCTCTTGGGTCAGCTATTGTTTCAGAATAAGAAAGAAGCCATTTCAAAGAATGAATTTAAGAGGATGGCTTGTATGCGGTTTTTTAAAATTGCTATGGCTAGTTACTAAATGTTGACAGATTATTTTGTGTGAGTGGCTTACTTTTTTCCAAAAGCCCAGGATCTTTTGTCATTGCAAATTCACCAAGATTATGAAAGATTTTTTTAAAGTTGGATTTATTTAGAGAATTATTAAAAGGCAGTCATACTTTCTTTGTAGCAAAAACTGGACACAATTTTTCAGTTAATAGATGAGATTTGATAAGTAAAGATACACTGCCATCATCTGATTCCGAATTGGAAATAGAATTACTAAAATGTAGATTAAATACTGAAATAATGGTGGACCCAGTTTAGCTGTATGTTTGTGTGAAAAGTGTGAATATTTTGTCAAGTTAACTTTTTTCGAACACTTGAATACTAAGAATTGAAATAGATAAAGATCTTTATCTTAAGCCTTTATCTAACTCTTAACTGTTTAACATTAAAGTTAGCCTTATTCAACTTCTACTCTACTACTTTTTTTGAAAAGCATTTTTGAAGTTGTAGATTTGTTTTTATCACTCAGTTCTTATTTAAGTATTTGTTTGCTAATGTTATTGCATAAATTGATTGATTTTGCTGTCATTGTGCTGTTTGTAAAGTTGTGATGAAAAAAGTTGTTTGTTCATCCATATAATGAATATATATTTTTTTAATGTTGAACTTGATATTGTACCAAGTTCTGTTATTTTTGTCATGCTAACCATGTATATATTTATAAAACCTTTTGAGAGATTATGGTATTTTCAAATACAGCATTCCTTTGCCTGCATAGAAATATTGATGTTAGAATATTGAAGATATTAAAAGTATTGCACCACAGAAGTAACTACATTTAGTAAATAATTCTCAAACTTTAAAACACTTCAAATTAAGAAAAGGTAAATAGCTGATATAATGTAATATAGTAGGTAAGCATATTTTATGATTGAAAATTGTTTCTGAAGATAACAATTTTAAAGTTATTTCTCTTTTTACTTCCTCCATAGACCTCCTTTACTACAGTAAGGAACAGTAGTGTGCTGTGTGGTAGCTAACACTTAGTTCAAAACCTCTACAGCAAACTTTGCTGATTCAGCTTTTTTAATCACCTTTTCCCTGCCCCCTCCATCCACTGAAAAAAACTATTGTTCCCCAACACAATCTCAAAAAAAACTGTCTCACAAAGCTTTGTCACGTCAAATGCAATAAGAACCCAATACACTGTAAGGAAAACACAATGTAAATTCTCTGGGCTGCCTCACACCTACTGCAATAACAATCAAACACTGTTATACCTAGCACAATATAGTTTATAATGTGTCATCTTACATAGTGAAAATCTCATGGAATGTTGTCATGCAGGTAGTGTTGGACAGTAACTTCCTTTATTGCTTCCCAATCAAGCCATTTAGTATAATTAACAACTTTTAGGAATATTTTTTAAATATTTATGAAATGTTTAAAGGAATTTAGTTTTAAAAATCCATGGGCGTGTGCTACGTTCTCAACTAAAATGAGTTGTCTTATTCCATAGAAGTACACTTCTTAGATCTTACCTAAATTTACATTAATTTATGAACCTGTTTAGCCTAAAGATTGTATCAGTGTTTGTCCCCATTACCAAGTTATTCAGAACATCCCAGACTGTACAATTAGTGCTCTTTTTAGGAAGAACCAAATATAATATTTTTGAAGGAATGTATAACCATCCTTTTTTTAAAAACTATCTTTAGAAACTAACTGTATAAATAACAACAGTGGAAAATTTACATTAGAATAATTTTATTAATAAACTTGTCCCTTTTAATTTAAATCTTAATCCCAGAGGTACTTTTTAATCTCCTAACTAAAGTCAATTTGTTTGTCTGTCTCTTTTTGTTTTTGTGGGCTTGTTCGCTTTTACTATTTTTTTCTCATTTTTAGACAAATAATTGCATTATTATTATTATTATTATTCTTATGTGCAGACATTTTGGCATGTCTGTACATCAACATATTCAATGGAAATTGAAAGTGCCAATCTAATCTTTCATTTTATTGTTTGTTTTTCTATTTAGATTAACTCAATTTTAAGCTACTATATGTTCAATTCCATAACCACATTGTAACATTAATTGATTTAGTAACTTACATTCCATAAATATTCAATATTGATGTTATTTATATTCAGTATGCTTTCAAGCTGGTTTTGTCTGCTCATTTAACAGCATTGCTGTCTAGGTTTGATTAATATTAGACTTCTTTAGTGATTACTACATATTTTACTTATGGAGAATATATCTGTTCAAAAGTTGCTTAATCCTAAACTATTATGAGTGAGTAGTAGAGCTTATTAGTAATGTGATCTGTTACTTAGTGTAATATAGGTTGAAGCTTATCTATACCTCTCATTATAGCATTCATTGACTGCACATGTAAGTTGAACCACAGGTATTAAAGTCCATGGCAAACAGCCTTATGCTAGTTTTCCATATTACCCATTTGGACTGTTTATGAAAAAAAAGAGAAAAAAAAAACATCACCCCTTGTACAGAGACCTTGGGTATTTTAAATTTTGTTATACTGAACCATTAGTAGTGTATCTGTCCATTCGTGTTTTTATATTTTGTGACTGTTTTTGATACGTTGTGTACATTTACCAATCCATATCTTTGAACATTGGCTGCTTTCTGACAGGGGGTGAGGTCAACTGTATGAAACAGCTTTTGTATGAACAGTCAGTACCCAGTGTTATGCCCTTTTGTAGTTTTCATTAAGACCTGTCCACCTTTTACTAAAAAATACCTCTAGATTGTATGTTATTCCATTTTCAACTAGCTCTCCCAGGATGGGAAACGTATTGTGTCCAACATGCAGAATCTGGGCATGCCTAACATCCAAGTATGTGAGAAAAAAACATACATGGTGGTAGATCTCTAGCAACAGTTACTAGGTTACCACTGTGTTGCCTGGCAATTTTGGTTACCTAGCAACTGGTGATAATTTCCAAGTAACCAGTTTATGTTGCCAAGCAACTGTATATGGTTACCTTTTAGAGCTGGTGATTGTTGCTTTACAACCATAATTGATTTTTTTTTTTATTCAGTAGCTATATTTCCTTTTATTCATTTTCTATTAGTGTCCTCTTAGAGATTTTCCCCACTGCTGGTAAATATGCATCTTCATTTGGTGAATCATTTTCTCCCATTATAAATAAAAAATTCAGGTTAATTCACATTAGGAGAAACGATTTATCTGCAGAAGTTAAATTTTTGTTGTGATTCACATAATATGGGTGTGCAAATTTATCATTTACTTTTTACACATGAGACAAAGTTCATGGAACTATCAATAACAAAGCAATTTGAACTGGAAAAAAAAGTAAAGAATTCTAAAATGGTTAAAGTTGTTCTCAGCAAAAACAGCTTTAAAACCATTTGGCAATACAAATTATTTTTCCCTCTTTTTAAAAGTTAAATTTGCTTTGGTATTGGCAGTTATCCTTTTACTTTCATCACTTGTCTTACTAAACACCTGTTAGTTATGATTTGGGGATATGAGCCTTTTTTTTTTTTTTTTTTGTCTGGGAATATCTCCATTTTATAGATGTGGAAATGGCTATTTATGGTATATCACTTATCTCTATTGGGTTTCTTAGAGGTGATCTGAACTGGGAGTTCTATCGAAGAGTCAGGCAGCACATGGCCATTAACTTACCTTTTTGTTTTATTATTTAACAGGTTTTGAATAAAAAATCTTATTATATGATATTTACATATTTTAAGACAGATTGCTTGTTTGGTTAATTTAACACTGGGATCCAAAAAGCATGCAATATTAAACTGGAATGGATGTGTGGAGTGGGGTTTCTATGTATGAAAACTTTTTTTTAGAATTACAATATGCTGGTTTTTGGGATACATTCAGTTTTGAAGTTACATAACTTTATAATACAGCTTAGATTCAATGCTCAAAATTCAGTTTTAGGGGCGTTTTCAAATAAGGACTGCCTAAACTGTAAATCAGTCCGTTAACCCCATCGTATCTCGGATTGTTAAAGCACGCAATTTGGACCCATTTTCGGTTTGAAGTAGTCCTTGTTAGATCAGGCCTAGGGCCAGTTTCACAAAAGAGCTATAGTTGGATGGTGCATTCAACCTGAAGACTAACAGCTATTTTACTAGAGTGGAGTATTACAGATTCATGGGGGATTGGAGAAGATTGAACTTTTCAGTCCTTATGTCAAGGTCAACTCTCTACAAAGTTTCTTGTGTGAGACTGGACCCTGCACATTTCTCTTTTATTTTCATTTGTTTCCTGTTGTTTTTGTCTCAATGATGTTGATTTGTTATGTGTCTATGTGTTTTGCATGTACCAGTGTATGTATTAAACTGATTCCATGTGCCTTCTTCCAATATTATATTTAACGAAAGAATCTGTTCTGGCAACTTTTTAAAAAGTCAGCTATAGTAAATTATCTTAATAACTTATAAAATTGGGATCTACTTTCATGAAAAAAATTTTCAAGTTTAATAGTATGATGAAGATAGAAACATTTCTTAGAGACGTGTAGTTTGAACAAAAGAGGGAAATCTGGGATGTATATCATCTTTGTTTAGTTGACTTGGATGTTTTTAGTGAAGTTCACTTTTGATGTTTTTTTGTATGAAGTGTTACCATGTGTGTAGGAACTGGTGTCACCATATTTTATATATTTGTATTGTATTGTGTAGCTCAGATGTGAATGTAATATATGTTGTACTCTGTTTAGCTTGGACTTTCTGAAACTGCTGCTGGTGTATATCATCTTTTGTGTAGAGAACTAAAAATGTGACAGTTCTTGTCTAAAGGTTTATTTCAGTTTGTTTGAACTTTTGTATTATCTGATGCAAGTTGGAAGTCTATATAGTGATTGAGTCAAGTGCAGTCCATTTTCAGTTTTGTAAATTTCTAGCTTTGAATGTTGTTAGTCTTACTTACTAATACCATGTGCCTGAATAATTTGAAATTTTTCTTTTCATTTTTTTAAACAAGTTTTAGTGTAATCCACACAACTTCTATCTTGATGAATCTATCAGAATGAGATACAATTTCAAGGAATCAAAAATTTGGAACATGCAGATTGTATGAATCCCTTATCATTGCATCTTCACTCTGTTCTAATAAATGTGGTTTTGATAATCTTCTGATGGTTTTTAAAGGTAAGTCGCCGCAAGTCCCAGCAGCCGTACAAACCTGACAATAGAAGAGAGCGCGTGTCAGAGCAGACGTATCAGATGTCTCGATGGACACCATATATCAAAGATCTGATGGAGGTGAGTCCCGTGGGTTATTTTATACTTCAGCCGAATCAAAATGTGGACTAGCCTGCATTATCAGATGATGTTTATTAGTTAAGTTACTTCAGTTTGTTTTCTAAAATTAAAGAATCCTTTTTACCAGCCAACTTTTCAGCATATCAGAATTTCAAAGTTGATTTTTGTGAATAAACAAAATGATACATCTTTTTAAAAAACTCTAAAGAAAAACTCTGGACTTAGTGAAATGTTTAAAAAATATCAAGTAATTGCCATACTGTATTGCAGAGAGTTGCCTACTTTTCTGTACTTTTTTTTTTTTTTTTTTTTGGGGGGGGGGAGGGTTCTGATAAAACAAGTTAGTAATATTTATGAGCTTATAGTATCCCTTTTATAGGTTGGAAAGTAAATAAGGATTTCTTCATAAAATCACTTATTTTTCAGATAAAAAACTTTAAAAGCAGAATAGATGACTCTGTTCGAATCCCTCTCTCTGTCTCTCTCTCTTTCTTTTTTCTTTCTTTCTTTCTTTCTTTCTCCATCATGAGTACATACATACCCATCTTGTGCTACCATTTCACTTGATTTACTATTCACTGTTTCCTAAGCTTTGTCTTGTCTACATGTTTCAGGAAGCCCTGGAGGACAAGCTGGATTCCCGCTCCTATCCATTCCTAAGTGGTGCAGGCAGAAGACTGGGGGGTGTGGCACCTACCAGGTACAAATACAACCTAGTTATATTTGTTCATTGCAACTGAAAGCAGTAAGTTTGTATAATATAACAGAAGACTTAATATATGAAAAACAAGAAATATGTTACATTATAGATCAAATGTGTTTGAATTTTAAACAACAGACGTAAAAGGTAATTCGTGAGCTAAATTAATTTCTGTTACATCAAAGGGTCCTAAATGGGTAACTTACATTTTTGATTATCCTTCTTTTCCTCTCCTTCATACCACCAAAAAAAGAACCTCAGAATTTGTTTCAAACAAAGGCCCTAAAAGTTATTTTAAAATATCATATAGCATATGCCCATTTTTTTGTTTGTTTTAGTGCTCGAATGTATGGCCAGTGGCACAGATCGGATAGAGGCCAAGCACGGAGTGGACCCCGTCTGATCTTCTTTGTGGCCGGGGGCGTCACTTACTCTGAGATGAGATGTGCCTATGAAGTGACAAAACAAGCTAAAGGGAACTGGGAGGTTCTTATTGGTAAGTGGGGCCCCCTTCCCCCTCCCCAGCCTCACTTCCACCCCTTAGACTGGGTTCCCATGCCTACATTGATCTAACTGGATCGACCCATCTCCAAGGGGTTTTCGCTAAATTCCTTTTAGCTTAAATGGCTTAGATTTCTGGCAAGCCTACTGAAGCTGCTAAACGATAGTTAATTACCCTCTTACAGCTTCAGTGGGCATGCAAGACATTTAAGCTGCTTAACTTGATAATGTAGTGAGAATCCCCTTGGAGGTAGATCGATCCAAAGTTAGAACGATAGGCTCTGGGAATGGTCTCTTGGTGTTTTTGATACACCATTTCATATATGCAAGAATTCTCATAGTTTTGTTTGAGCACCCATTCCCTCCATGTTCTGTTTGTTTTATGCACAACTTAACCCTTCCTCCACTCCTCTCTGTGTAGCTCGTTTGGTTTTTTCCCCCCGAAGTTTGTTAAGGATGATCTCCAGTAGAGTTATACATTTTTATCTGAAGTTTGCTAAATTGCTTTCTTTATTTCCATTTTCCAAATGCATTAACAAGGTATGTGGTACTTGGCCTTTTGTAGTATTCAACTTTACATTCTACCCATATTATTTACTATTTCACCATTACTTCTCTTCTTTCCTAGCCAAAAAATCTTAAAACAAGCTTTCAAATATTGCACAGAAATAAACATTTTAGCTTTGTTTGGCTTGCTGTAGAGGTAAATTTGTACAGCTTGTGAATTTACTCTATTTTCTTTAATCAGATTAGCTACTGGTAATATTTCAAGATGTAAACTTCTTTATTGAATAATAAAATGGTGGAGGATTTCTAAAAAAATGTTTTATTTTCAGAACTGAAGACAATATGTCAATTTGTCTGTTTTTCCAGCAGTGTAGATTATGTATCAAATTGTATGTTTGCCTAATTTGAAATCCATAGGCGGTTCCCATATTATTAAGCCTGAAGAGTTCCTGAAGAAATTGCGCGAGGTTTCCGAGCAGAAACAAGAGCAGGAGGAAACACCACAATAGTTGTAGAGTAGGTCTCAATACTGACCATTGCAGTATTTTTTGTTTACTAGTTTATTTGTTTTTATTCAAATTTTAATATGTGATTTTTATTGCTTTGTGAATTTTCACAAGAATGTGCTTTTTTAGTACCGTATCTCGCTTCTCAATGTCATGCTTTTTTGTTTCCAGTATTATTTCCTGCTGAGTGAAACTTGTAAATAAAGGGAATCATTGCTCAAAAATCCATAGAATATGTGTAAAAACCCATATTTGTGGATCTGTAGTTATATTTTTTGAAGAGAATAACATGGTGATCAAAAATGAAAATGAAAGTTTTCCAGATGCCCTGAATGCAGATAAAATTGCATGATAGAATTGAATGATTTAAATTCCCATGTCCTCATTTTTTATCATATTTACTATATGCTTTGACAAATGATAAACAAATCACTTTTTGGAGGGTAGTATACTATAGTTTAGAGTGCATTTGTGTGTCTTTCATTTTCCATGTCCCAATGTGCACATTTCTGTTTCAGTGGAGTATGTTTTAGATGTTAATAGTTTGAATGATGGGGTGTAGTTAGACTTGATGGTGATGTGCAAATGTCCACTGAGTTAAATAACATGCACAGTTCATGTCTGCATGCAGCAATATGTATGAGTAACATCATTTGGAGCTTTGCACTGTAAAATAAAAGTGATATGGTGGGTGTGGGAAATATATTACATGATATGTATTATTATATATATTATGAAGGATAATGGGATCCCACCACTGTTGAATATGTGAATATCTGTTGCCACCACTGTAGATTGTTAGTATTATGTGTTAGGTAATACAGTGTCATCCCAAGTGACATTTGCCAGAAAACCTTGATTGTCTGATTTATAACTTATTCAGATGAACTATACTCACTATAACTGTACTTACGGTGTGGCATAAAGCTGTGGTTTATTATTAACTTTAATATCTTGAATGCTAGCTTGCTTTCATGCTTTGTGGCTCTGGGCATTTTTTGCTTACATCACTATTATAACATGCAAGTTTCTTGGGGCTTAAACGCTACAACTCCAAGATGTGTTGTATAACATTGGAAGATAGCGATCTTTGAAATGTAACATTTGTATTTTGACACTTGCTGGATATCCAAGGTTTATTTTCTAAAAAAGAAGATATTGCAGTAGATTTATTTACATCATTAAATTGGACAGGGCAGTATTGATTTTTGTTTCCTTTCAGCAACACTGAATTTTAGCATTAATCACTTTATTGGTTTTACGTTTTATACTAAGTTTAATAATAAATTTTTTGAAGCTCATTTTCTCTTAAGGTTTTGAATAATTTAAAAAAAAAAAATTCACGTATTATATTCATAAAGTTGGTTCCATTAAAAATTATAGACTAAAGTTTTGAGAATGGCTTATTTAAATAAGGATTGCCTTTCAAAAAGAAAGAAAAAAGATTAAAATACTTGCATTTTATTAATTAAACATATTTCATTGCCTCCACTTTTCAGGTTCCAGTAACATCCTTACACCTGAGGGGCTACTCAGTGACATAAGAGATCTCCGTAAGTAGACAGGAAAGAGCAGCATCACGTGCCCACATATTACTACACTATCTTAAGCTGCATCCTGGTTATATGGACCAGTAAAAGATGGATTTGTGTTTTCATTGTCTTTGATACAGGAGGAAGACTGGAGACTTGTTGAAATGTGTGATGATCAAATATGTTCCTTTGAACAACTCTCGGTGATTTGGTAATAATAATAATTATTGTTTTATTCAGACAATGTAGTTGTCACTAAAATAAAGACAACCAGGTGTGGCTTGTTACAAGTTCAAGAAGGGGAGAAATTTTCTGAGGTCTGCTACTGAATGTTATTGTCTTGATGTCCATGTTCAGGCACTCTTTACATGTCAAAGTACTTTATATTATCACCATTAGTGAATATTTCATGAATGCATTTTGTGACATGTTTATTGCTAATAAGAAGGAATTCTCTAAGTTTTTTGTACACTTCCCTAGAGATGGTTTTAATTGTAGCTTTTGAATTCATTAGAAGAATATGATTGGTTACACATTGAACTTTGGTTCTAAAAGAAAGGATATTTATTCATTTAAACAGCAACAGCAAAAAGCTGGAAGAGAATTACCTGTTCCGTTGAGAGTTTAAAGAAAAGTTAATGGCTATGCTTGGTCATTTTCTAGTTCTGTGAAACTAGAATCTGATGCATAAAAAAGTCTTTCAGGACTCGTGCTTCATCTGATTTTCAGTTTCATATCTTGTCTCACAGCTAGTGTGTGATTTAAGTACTGTTTGCATTGTGGTGTAGTTTTACATATACCAAAGAAGATGTCCGTTTATCAAATTGCTTGTATGGAAAGATTTCTAAGATGGATTCTTATCATTGTCACACTGTTTAAATTTAAAAATGAAGGATGGAAACTTACCTAAAAAGTTAAGAAAAATAACAGCACCTAAGATATTATCTGTAGATGTTTTAATATGAAAAAGTGATGATTATAAATCATTTAATTAATGAAAAATGTCAGATATTGCTTAGACATTGTCATGTATCAATATGGTGTGATTCATTGTGAATGACGGTGTTTCTTGAGTTTTTCATTTTTTTTTTGTTGCCAAGACCCATGAATGTAAAGCAAACTCTTATAAAAATTATGTACTACATATTGTAGTGATGATATGTTATGCATTATTTTATGCTGTAATAGGTAAAATGAGACTTTTAAAGAAATGATGCATTATGCAGGAACAAGGGTTGAGCTGTGTTAAACATGGGTATATATGGTTATAAAGGTGCAAGTAATGAATTTGATTTTAACATGTGCAATACAGCTTACTAGTCTTATTATTGTGTTAGCTACAAAGACTAGTATATGATGTTAGGAAGTTAAACTTAAGCCTCAAATAGGCTTTTTCAAAATGAGTAATTTCATCTTTTCATGAATTTTTTTCTATCGCATATTTTGTTTATGCGTTTCAGACATCTTACATTTTTAATTAGCGAAGATCCATTCCTACTCTGAATGTACATTTTCACATGAAGTGAAAGTGCAGTTCATAATTCTAACAAAAGGTGGTCCTAAACTGTTTATTTGTTTCNTTACTTATAGTAACTTATAGTAACTGGCTCGCGCTGCCAGTAATTACGCCGCGGGATATTCAGGGCACAGACCGTGATCATAAGACATACCGCGAATAGAATTTAGAAAATAGACATTGCATGTGAACGAAGCCTTAGAGTGCATTTGTGTGTCTTTCATTTTCCATATCCCAATGTGCACATTTCTGTTTCAGTGAAGTATGTTTTAGATGTTAATAGTTTGAATGATGGGGTGTAGTTAGACTTGATGGTGATGTGCAAGTGTCCACTGAGTTATATAACATGCACAATTCATGTCTGCATGCAGCAATATGTATGAGTAACATCATTTGGAGCTTTGCACTGTAAAATAAAAGTGATATGGTGGGTGTGGGAAATATATTACATGATATGTATTATTATATATATTATGAAGGATAATGGGATCCCACCACTGTTGAATATGTGAATATCTGTTGCCACCACTGTAGATTGTTAGTATTATGTGTTAGGTAATACAGTGTCATCCCAAGTGACATTTGCCAGAAAACCTTGATTGTCTGATTTATAACTTATTCAGATGAACTATACTCACTATAACTGTACTTACGGTGTGGCATAAAGCTGTGGTTTATTATTAACTTTAATATCTTGAATGCTAGCTTGCTTTCATGCTTTGTGGCTCTGGGCATTTTTTGCTTACATCACTTTTATAACATGCAAGTTTCTTGGGGCTTAAACGCTACAACTCCAAGATGTGTTGTATAACATTGGAAGATAGCGATCTTTGAAATGTAACATTTGTATTTTGACACTTGCTGGATATCCAAGGTTTATTTTCTAAAAAAGAAGATATTGCAGTAGATTTATTTACATCATTAAATTGGACAGGGCAGTATTGATTTTTGTTTCCTTTCAGCAACACTGAATTTTAGCATTAATCACTTTATTGGTTTTACGTTTTATACTAAGTTTAATAATAAATTTTTTGAAGCTCATTTTCTCTTAAGGTTTTGAATAATTTTTTTTAAAAAAAATTCACGTATTATATTCATAAAGTTGGTTCCATTAAAAATTATAGACTAAAGTTTTGAGAATGGCTTATTTAAATAAGGATTGCCTTTCAAAAAGAAAGAAAAAAGATTAAAATGCTTGAATTTTATTAATTAAACATATTTCATTGCCTCCACTTTTCAGGTTCCAGTAACATCCTTACACCTGAGGGGCTACTCAGTGACATAAGAGATCTCCGTAAGTAGACAGGAAAGAGCAGCATCACGTGCCCACATATTACTACACTATCTTAAGCTGCATCCTGGTTATATGGACCAGTAAAAGATGGATTTGTGTTTTCATTGTCTTTGATACAGGAGGAAGACTGGAGACTTGTTGAAATGTGTGATGATCAAATATGTTCCTTTGAACAACTGTCGGTGATTTGGTAATAATAATAATTATTGTTTTATTCAGACAATGTAGTTGTCACTAAAATAAAGACAACCAGGTGTGGCTTGTTACAAGTACAAGAAGGGGAGAAATTTTCTGAGGTCTACTGAATGTTATTGTCTTGATGTCCAAGTTCAGGCACTCTTTACATGTCAAAGTACTTTATATTATCACCATTAGTGAATATTTCATGAATGCATTTTGGGACATGTTTATTGCTAATAAGAAGGAATTCTCTAAGTTTTTTGTACACTTCCCTAGAGATGGTTTTAATTGTAGCTTTTGAATTCATTAGAAGAATATGATTGGTTACACATTGAACTTTGGTTCTAAAAGAAAGGATATTTATTCATTTAAACAGCAACAGCAAAAAGCTGGAAGAGAATTACCTGTTCCGTTGAGAGTTTAAAGAAAATTAATGGCTATGCTTGGTCATTTTCTAGTTCTGTGAAACTAGAATCTGATGCATAAAAAAGTCTTTCAGGACTCGTGCTTCATCTGATTTTCAGTTTCATATCTTGTCTCACGGCTAGTGTGTGATTTAATTACTGTTTGCATTGTGGTGTAGTTTTACATATACCAAAGAAGATGTCCGTTTATCAAATTGCTTGTATGGAAAGATTTCTAAGATGGATTCTTATCATTGTCACACTGTTTAAATTTAAAAATGAAGGATGGAAACTTACCTAAAAAGTTAAGAAAAATAACAGCACCTAAGATATTATCTGTAGATGTTTTAATATGAAAAAGTGATGATTATAAATCATTTAATTAATGAAAAATGTCAGATATTGCTTAGACATTGTCATGTATCAATATGGTGTGATTCATTGTGAATGACGGTGTTTCTTGAGTTTTTCATTTTTTTTTGTTGCCAAGACCCATGAATGTAAAGCAAACTCTTATAAAAATTATGTACTACATATTGTAGTGATGATATGTTATGCATTATTTTATGCTGTAATAGGTAAAATGAGACTTTTAGAGAAATGATGCATTATGCAGGAACAAGGGTTGAGCTGTGTTAAACATGGGTATATATGGTTATAAAGGTGCAAGTAATGAATTTGATTTTAACGTGCAATACAGCCTACTAGTCTTATTATTGTGTTAGCTTCAAAGACTAGTACATGATGTTAGGAAGTTAAACTTAAGCCCTAAACAGGCTTTTTCAGAATGAGTAATTTCATCTTTTCATGAATTTTTTTCTATCGCATATTTTGTTTATGCGTTTCAGACATCTTACATTTTTAATTAGCGAAGATCCATTCCTACTCTGAATGTACATTTTCACATGAAGTGAAAGTGCAGTTCATAATTCTAACAAAAGGTGGTCCTAAACTGTTTATTTGTTTAATATTATAACCAAAAGTTAGAAGTGATGTCTAGAAAAACTTTGAAGATAATTTTTTGCCCCAAAATCTGAGATGGTCCCAGATACATTTTAGTTAGTGATAGTTTTTCAATCAGGAGTAGTAGATTTTAAATTCTTATTTGTTAATTTAACATCTAATAATGAAGTAAATTAAAGTAGTTGTTGCCATTTTTAGTCATTTTCTTGAGCTTACACACTGAAGTGGAAAGCCTAGACTTCTTTAGAAGAAACCTACTAAACTTGCTTAAATATCTAAACAAGGGCTTATGGATGTAAGAAATAATTAATGTGAAAAGGGTATTTCCCTTTTCAATGAGTGTATATACAGTAATGGTTAGATAAATGACTTGAGTATTTTAAGAAGAAATTGCCTTTCTGTCTGAATATCCGTTTCATTTATTAGTACTATTATTTACTAATAACTGATTGATTAGATAAGACACTAAACATTCAACACCTAATCAGAGAAAGTTAAATGATGCAAGAAAGGATAATGTAAAGAAAGGTATTCCATTTAAATTAAGCACTTAATCATAATATAATATTTCTTTGAAGCAATGGATGTCTGTTTTGTACTTTACCTTTATGAACTATGTGGATTATATGTGTGTAAAATTTATTGTGTGTCATCTCATCCAATTTTGTCATTTAGAAATCGGTGATATACATGTGTACAGATTTGTCAAATAAAATATAATTGTGATAGATTTGTTTTAGTTGTGAAGTTTGTTTTTAGGTCTTTTCAAAGAATTCTGAAACACTGTATATAGATTTTTCTCTATTTTCAATTCTAAGCACTAGTTACAACACCGGTAGTCCACTGTATGCGACATACAAGAGCGTAATTATATCGAGGCGAATTGACTTATACCACAGAAACATAAAAATACAGGCAAACCTGTATGTGAAATACAATTGCAATTATCTTGTTCTTCTAAGTGCCAGCCATAGTATAATGACTTGCATATACTGCTGTTTCTATATATGTTAAGAGTTATACAGGGGTTTGTAGGATTGTACCACAATTAAAACAAATTCATCAGTCACGATTTGCAGTTTTACAGACACAAGACTGAATATTAAATACACATCTACTTTAAACATTTTTTACTTGGAAGTTAAACATTTCAACTAAAACCTTGATCATAATACAAACCAGATCACTTGCAATATTTCAACTGCTATCTTCAGGATAAGACATTGTGTAAGGTTCCATTGTCTGTTAAAGAACATTTCCAACACCCATGAGAACATTTTGAAAAATCCTTGTGAATATTTACCGTTTACCTCAAATATATAAAACACTTGCAAAAATCAATGATAATTATGTCAAATTTTCCCAAATACAAGCTAGAGTACATTTTAAAAAGTTACTGTTGCAGCAAACATTTCAGTGATTTAGATACATGAAAGTTGTGTACAATTATTACCAACAACACATTTATTATTTAAAAAAAAAAAGGACGGGTCATTACACAACAAAGTGAGCATTTCAGTCATAACAGTGACACGCATTTTGTGTAATAAATGCATAACAATTTTGATTTCAACAAGACAGTTTGGAGGGGACGGGAGGGAGGGGGGGTAAAGTCACCAGAAATCCCAGTGCTTATCCTGGTGTTACAATTGTTGTAGATTTCCACATTGTAGGATACCATAGTAAAAAGTGAAAAAAAAAATGATAATAAAGTTGAAATTAGGCAAATATAACACAAAGGTGTGTATCACTGATAAGACTCAAAAATGTTTTTTTTTTTTTTTTTTGCTGAATGACTCTTATTAATTCAATTCCACAATATATGATTATGCTTCCTTAAAATCATTCTTTTGCTTTCCATCAAGTCTTGCTTTGGTCTTTTCATAAAGTTCTAGGCTTGTTCTAAAAAACCTCACATTTAGCGCCATCCAGAAAAATTGGGGGATGTTTGTTGCTGCCCTGGAACAAAATGGGGGAAATTTTCATTATTCATAATCCTATTCATATCGCTCAGACAAGTGCAATAATGGACTTGATTGTTTTTTTTTTTCAATACTGTAATCATTTATGATCTATTGAACTTTTATAACTAACAGATATGCAATTGCAAAAACCATTAAAATGCAGACTAACTCACCCTGAGGGCTTCCAAACCCACCAAATGTGGGTGCAGCTTGGGATTGGGCAGCACTTCCAAAACTTGGGGTGTTCCCCCCCTGGGCCAGGGCTCCAAATGTAGGGCTACTTCCAGCATTGGCAAACCTGGGGATGATATTAGCTTGTCTTGAATATGTGAAACAAATGGAGTATTTTCATGATTATATTAACTTAAATTTTGTCCTTGTACAGCCACTCATATTAGAACAACTGTGGTTTATGCCTTAAAAGAAGAAAGTAAATGTCAGTTGTTGTGTTCTTAAGGTTTCACTACTAACAAGCTTCTCCAATTCAACTTACGCAGCAAAACCTCCACCCTGGGCTGTCTGGGAGGACCCAAATGTGCTGCCACCTACAGGACTGCTGAATGTAGCACCTCCACCAAAGACACTGCTGCTGCCAAATGCAGGGGGACTTCCAAAGGCAGGTCGTCCTCCAAAGGAAGCAGCTCCACCAAAAGTGGGAGAAGCACCAAACCCACCTACATAATGTCAAGAAAATTTAAAATAATTGAATATAAACACTGATGCAAATGAATTTTTTTCAAATGTGCTTGGCTTTTATAATTTTTAATTCTCATGTCCTTTCCAGATTTAAATTTAATAAACAGAGCTAACTTTCTCTTTCTTTAGTAAAAAGAGAAAAAAAAGACCAACAGTACCTGGTGGTTTATTTTGTTGTTGTTGCTGGCTGAATCCTCCAAAACCTGTCTGTGCCACCCCTCCACTTCCACTGCTGAAAGCACCCCCACCCCCACCACTGGTGCCAGCCCCAAATACACTGGGAGCTGGGGAACCAAAGGGGCTGGTGGTGGTGGTACCAGAGGAACCAAACAAACTGGCTGTAAATGAAATTAATCAATGTACATGTTAAGAAACTGAGGATCAATGAATATTTGGTACTTATACAGTATCCCCTCCACCACACACACACACACACACACACACACACACACACACACACACACACACACACACAACTTACTATGTTTTTTGTTCAGTGTTTTTTAATTCAGCCCACTCAAATATTTTCAGGGATGTACATCAGAAAATCTTTTCATATAAAAATACCATAACTCACATCCTTGACTGGCTGGAGCAGCTTGAAATCCAGTTCCTCCAAATACATTTTTACTGGCATTCTCTTTACTTGGCTTTCCTCCCAGACCCCCAAACAGGCCCCCACCACCTCCAAAGAGACCCCCAGGGGCCTCTGATGCACTAGGTGTGCCAAATGGACCAGTTCCAGTACCACTGGTTGCTGTGGAGGTCTGCTGCTGACCAAACAACCTGGAAAATATAGATTAAATATACATATATATCAAATATATTTTAAATAATGCAATTAGATATGACGCATCACTTTTATTACATCAAAAAGCATTAATTGTTTCTCTTAAAATAAAAGCGACACTTTGATCAAAACTTTTGCCTTGTTAAATAAATTATGTTTTTTTCTCATTTATCCATTTTTTTTTTGGTATGCAAAGGTCTACGTATTTATTGTCTTTAAAGGTAAGATACTTTATCCTCACCCTGTGCCACTCTGTCCAAATGTGCTTGACCCAAAGGCAGATCCACCTGTGGTTGAAGGCTGGACACCAAAGACAGATGTACCACCAGAGGACCCAAATGTTCCACCAGAGGTCACAGTGGAACCACCACCAAATATGGATGCTGCACCAGTGGAAGTTGTGCTGGGTTGAGCACTGCCAAAAAGCGGGGCTGAAGTAGCAGTGCTTGCAGTTGGTGTGCTACCAAATAAGGGTGGTGTTGCAGTTGAACTTGACACCTGTGAATTACCAAAGAGCGTTGTGCCAGTGGTTGCAGTGGTGGCAGACTGTTCACCACCAAAAAGTGGTGTGGTGCTGGTAGAACTTGTGGGTTGTGCTCCACCAAATACTGAGGCTGTAGTAGCTGAAACTTGGGTTCCACCAAATACAGATGTAGTGGCTAAATGTTGGGTTCCACCAAATACAGAAGATGTAGTAGCTGAAGGTTGGGAACCACCAAATACAGAAGATGTAGTAGCTGAAGGTTGGGTTCCACCAAATACAGAAGATGTAGTAGCTGAAGGTTGGGTTCCACCAAATACAGAAGATGTAGTAGCTGAAGGTTGGGTTCCACCAAATACAGAAGATGTAGTAGCTGAAGGTTGGGTTCCACCAAATACAGAAGATGTAGTAGCTGAAGGTTGGGTTCCACCAAATACAGAAGATGTAGTAGCTGAAGGTTGGGTTCCACCAAATACAGAAGATGTAGTAGCTGAAGGTTGGGTTCCACCAAATACAGAAGATGTAGTAGCTGAAGGTTGGGTTCCACCAAATACAGAAGATGTAGTAGCTGAAGGTTGGGTTCCACCAAATACAGAAGATGTAGTAGCTGAAGGTTGGGTTCCACCAAATACAGAAGATGTAGTAGCTGAAGGTTGGGTTCCACCAAATACAGAAGATGTAGTAGCTGAAGGTTGGGTTCCACCAAATACAGAAGATGTAGTAGCTGAAGGTTGGGTTCCACCAAATACAGAAGATGTAGTAGCTGAAGGTTGGGTTCCACCAAATACAGAAGATGTAGTAGCTGAAGGTTGGGTTCCACCAAATACAGAAGATGTAGTAGCTGAAGGTTGGGTTCCACCAAATACAGAAGATGTAGTAGCTGAAGGTTGGGTTCCACCAAATACAGAAGATGTAGTAGCTGAAGGTTGGGTTCCACCAAATACAGAAGATGTAGTAGCTGAAGGTTGGGTTCCACCAAATACAGAAGATGTAGTAGCTGAAGGTTGGGTTCCACCAAATACAGAAGATGTAGTAGCTGAAGGTTGGGTTCCACCAAATACAGAAGATGTAGTAGCTGAAGGTTGGGTACCACCAAATACAGAAGATGTAGTAGCTGATGGTTGGGTTCCACCAAATCCAGAAGATGCAGTAGCTGAAGGTTGGGTACCACCAAATACAGAAGATGTAGTAGCTGAAGGTTGGGCACCACCAAATCCAGAAGATGTAGTTGTTGAAGGTTGGGTACCACCAAATACAGAAGATGTAATTGTTGAAGGTTGGGTACCACCAAATACAGAAGATGTACTAGCTAAGGGTTGGGTACCAAATATGGACACCCCAGTGGAGGAGGTGGTAGTCTGTATACCACCAAACAATGAAGTTGTAGAAGTTGCTGCAGTAGGAGCTGTGGTAGTAGTAGTAGTAGTAGTAATAGTAGTTGTGGCAGCTGCTGCCTCTGTGTTACTTGTAGCTGGTTGACCTTGACCTCCAAAGAGTGAAGTCCCCCCTCTGCCCAGGGCCGTAAACCCTGTAGCTCCACTGGTAGTTGCCTGCCCAAATAACCCAGTGCCTGCTCCACCACCACTGAATAATGAAGTTGCAGTGGTCGTAGTGCTAGTTGAAGTGCCTCCAGACAATGAACTTGTTGCAGCAGTAGTCGTAACAGCTGTTGTTGTCTCTGCTGTTGCAGTAGTTGCTACTGTTCCTAAAGGTGCTGATGCTGCAGTTGTTGTTGCTGGTGCTGTTGTAGCAGTCACTGTAGAAGATCCACCAAATACAGATGCCCCTGTTGTTGGCTGAGTAAATGCAAATCCAAACCCTGAACTGGCAGTTGATTTTCCGAAGAGACCCACACCAGATGTTGCTGGTGCAGCACTCCCTGCCGCACCCCCAGCCACAGATGAAGATGTAGTTGCAGTTCCACCAAAGTTGGATCCCCCAAAGGAAAATCCACCAGATGGTGCCGATGTGCCTGTTGCCAAAGAAAAGCCAGAGCCAAAAGCTGAAGAAGTTGTTGTTGTAACCGTTTCCACTTTTGAAACCACTGGGGATGACTCTTCCACTTGTACTGAACTTGTGGGTACTATTGGCTTCCCATTCAAGCTTTGGCCAAAAGTGACAGAAGTGGCCCCCCCTTCACCTTGTTCGGCCCCAGCATCACCAGACACGCTGACTTTTGGTGAACTGTTGGCTGCTTCAGGCTTCCCCACTAAGCCTTGACTGACAGAAGTGGTGCTCCCTTCACTTGGTTTGCCACCAGAACCACTGAAAACACTGGCTGTAGTTGCAGATGTTGTTTTTGCTGTTGTCACAGTTGCTGCAGGTTTTGACCCCAATACATAACCAGTTCCACCAAATAAAGTAGTACGTGTTGGCGCTGCAGCTCCAGAGGAAACAGAAGGGCTGACAGTTGCAGTTGTGGTTGAAGTTGAAGCTGCAGTGCTTTTTCCACTTGAAGAGACTGTAGTGGGAGGAGGGGCACTAAATGAGAACCCACTTGTTGGTTTTGCTTCAGACTTAACAGGTGGTTTCTCTGATGAGCTTTGCATTGCTTTCCAAAATGCAAACTCTCCTGGAAAAAATAATCTTTCAAATGAATAACTTGTTTGAAAAGATGTTAACATTTAATGAGATAGATATTAGATTTCATAACAGTTGCTGGCTAGAGACAATATATCAAATGATGTGGTGCAAAACTGGAGAGGATTTGTAAAAAGAAATGCTACAACTGTGATCTGATTGATGTGACTCCAAGACAGTGAGGGATTCTAGTTACAAATTTTGATGAAATTTATCTATCACTTAGAACAGGTCCAAAAGATGTGAGAGCCTTTTAGAAAACATGTAAAGAGGGGCCGTCTAATAAGTACTTCTTAAATTGTAAAGGCAGTAATGCATTGAAGCAGGGTATGAAATTCGTATAAATTTGAAGCTGGACAGCAGGGCTGGCAACTTTGAAAAGTAGCCAGCCCTGACCAAAAGTAGCCAGTCCTGAATTTTTTTGAAAATTACCTGATTAAACCAATTTCAGGCAGGAACGATATTGAAACAAGGACTCTTAGTCTCAAAGTGAATTTATTCTTCATTGTCAGCATCTGAAACATTATGCTCTGAACCCAAATCGGAAAAGTCTGATTCACTGCATGTGACCGTCATAATCAGAGTCTAGTTGCATGACCCGCTTGTTACAAATGACGTTTTTACTATCAGTCTCATCACAAATTAACCCAGAAAATTCAGTTTTCCACGATGGCAAAACTGATCTTTTCCTTTTGCAGGGCTTGACGCTAACTTTAATGAGCACCTGTCCTTTGGACAGGTGATCATAAATTTGGCGTGTCCTATTTTGAATCCAATCTGTCCAACAAAACCAATTTTTTCCCTTCATACCTCTTGGTAAACTTTGTAAACATTAACATGTGTAGTTATACATGTAATGTATTTATAACCAAGATATTCAGCCAAATGAGCCTGGAAAATGCAGTGGATTTATTTTCAGATAAAAAGTTGTTTTCTCATACTTGTGAACTCCTGAATATTTAATCTTGCATATAAGTCTGATTTAACATGGTTTCGATCAGGGCTTTTCCCAGGGTTTGGGGTACAGGGACCACTTATTGTAAATCTGAAATTTGATAACAGATTCACATGAAGTTGAACCAAGTCTTAAAAAAACACTGTGAGCAGGAGGTGGTGGTGGTGGTGGTGGGTGGGGGGGGGGGGNNAGCATTATATTATTTTATTAAAATATTCAAAATTTATAATATTTGAATAAATTTTATTAAAAATTGAAGAATATTCATTGTATAATAGTTTACTTACATATAAATATCACTAATATTAAAGTTTTTTTTAATTGATATTTATATTATATTTGCTTTCTTTAGGGGTAACGTGTTTGATTTTTTTAAATATATGAATTAAATAAAATCAGTCATTTAAAAAATTTCCCTTTCTTTTTTGATTTAAATTCTCACATTTTTATCACTAATTTTCTTCCTTACATCAATATCACACTGGTATATGACAGCATTGCTAATTTATCAAATTCCAGCACTAAATTTTGAACTGTAAATAACACAGGTGGTGCTAGAGTCATTAAATAAAACATCTTACAAAATTTCAGGTTATGCAAATAAACAACATTTCAACAAGATCTTCATTCCCAAAGTTTGACTTTCCAACTTCAAATGGTTGTGAGGTGATAGTGTGCAACACATTTGATTGACAGGCAGTATGTTGCCTTGACAACAAACTAGATACATCCAGTTCATCCAGTCCAATCTGGCTGTTGTACCCAGTACTTGTGTGGTTTCTATTTTAGGAACGGTCTTTATTACTAGAGCACGTAGATTTTAAAACAAATAAATATTAAGTAGTCAGCCTGTTATGTGAATAAATTCTGTCTTGTGAAGTTCTGAAAGGTGTTCACTTTCATAATCTGGCGGTAAGTTTGCTAAGACTTCGTTTTGTGACCACGTGTTTTGCACCAATGTAGGTCACTCTTTTTAATGCCATCCAGGAAGAGACGAGAAGACGTTAGTATGCAACAGAAATTTCTTTTTCAAGATTTTTGTTCTTAAGTTCTAATAAGACATAACCTGTCCATCGGACAGCCCACCCTGCAAATTCACTTGTCCGAACTGAATTTTTACCTGCGGAGCCCTGCTTTGGTGTCATCATACACTTTATTTGACTGTCTGTTATCTTCCTGTGTTGTTTTCTTACGTGCTGGGGCATCACATTCATTATTAGCACCAAAATACTTAGAGAGGGTAGACTGCAACAGGGGTAATCCACGTGGGTCCTGACGTCATTCAATTAAATCTTTTATGAGAAAGACATCGTACAATTACAGATTATAGAAGAATCAAAAATTAAACTGCGTATTTAGAAGAGATTGTGTTGTTCTGAACTTGAATGAGCACACATCGTTCATTATTTGTCTCGCAAACAAGCATATAAATGCTGCGTTTGATACTTTGTATCAAATGTTTCATAACACGGTGAAGGGTCTTTGCGCTAGGCATGCCGGGAAAACAGTGAATAAGCATGTAGGACCTACTATCGGTTTTCGTTCATTTTTTTGAAGGGTGAGCCTCATTGTTTTCGTTTTATTTCAACCAAATCTGCTTAATATGAACGTGCATATTGATATACAATTATTTTAGAGGCCAGAAAATGGCCAGACCGACGGACTGGCAACTTTTGGAAAGAGACCGCCCGGGTGATAATTGAGCCGTCCCGGGCTGCCGGACGGTCCTTATTTCGTACCCTGATTGAAGTAGAAACTGGAAACTACATGTTCTAACCTAAGGTAAAGCTGGTCTGATTTCCTCCCATGAAACCAATTTTCAATCCAGTAGCTCCTGCAGAGCCACTTGCAGCTAGTAAGGTTTGGCCAACACCTAATATTATAGGATAAAATTACAGAAACTTTTTTCAAAAATGTACAAGAAGTTAATAATCAAAATCAATAATCAGCTGGATCTCTAGGTTCCCCAAAGCAAGCAATCCATGCCAAAACATTTTACACAACTGGCAATTTGGGTAATCAGGTACTAAGAATCTACTGGCCTTAAGCAGAAACAGCTGTCAGTGACTGAATGGATTTAAAATTCCACAGTCAAGATTACATTAACATTAATTACAGGAACAAAATAGGCAGTTTTTGACCTTGTTAGTCCTCAACTGTGAAGTCTTACCAGCTTGGTTATCCTCCTCAGCCAGGTCCTCCACTCTGTCTTCTTCCTCCTCCTCATCTCCACTCTCTGATGTAGACTCTGGAGTCAAGTCTTCAACTGAATCCCAATTAATTAAACTCCCTTTACTATTATGTTCTAGGGCCGGGTTCAAAAAAGAACTTAACACCAATTTTAGACCAAAATTTCAGTTCACTTTGACCCAGTAAAATTGGGCATGTTTTATAGTCAGAAAGATGTGGCTATTGTTTTGGATCAATCTTTACTCTGTAATTCTATCAATATTTTTTTCTAAACCAAAGAGGACCAATTTTTTGGTCTAAAGTTCTCTTGTGAAGCTTGTCCCTAAGTGTTGTGTATGACAATAGGTGGCGTCACTGACAGCATTTTTTCACCATCACATACATTTACATTTCTTTCTCACAGCAGCTAATTTTGCTGTGCAAAGCATACAATAACTTAAATTACAAAAAATGCATAGGATACCAAGAAATTTGAATATGCAGGATAACATCTCATTCTAAGAGAGAGCAGACATAGAATCTTTCATTTTACCTTGAGGTTCCTGAAAAGGTTCATTTGCTGGAGGCCCTCTGCTAAAGGTGCTGTCGGTGCCAAATTTGATGGTACCAGCAGCCCCAGGGTTAAACATGCTGCCAAAGGTTGGCCACAAACCAGTGTCTGCAGGCTGGAGAACATATAACAACCAACATGATTATTATTGGATATAATTAGATGCAATTGGATGTAATTAGAGAAAATGGTGCAGAAAATTAAAATTTAACATACAAAAGTTACAATGATAGTTTTTTCAAAACAGCAGCTAAAATCAAAGTTATTTGCATTGCAATTATTTTTATAAGCGTATAGCATCATCTATGATTTTTTAACAAAAAATACATCAAGAATTCCACTTATTTTGAATGGCAGCAAAATTTAGACTGGGTTCCCATGCCTAGATCAATCCATCTGGATCAATCTAACTCCCTGGGGAGTCTCACTAAGTTGCTATTAACCAACCGGCTTAAATGTCTGTCATGCCTACCGAGTCAGCTAGGGTAAAGATAATTACCCCCTAACAGCTTTACTAGGCGTGACAGACATTTAAGCCGGTCAAGATGACAGCAGTTTATTGAGACTCCCCAGGGAGATAGATTGATCCAAATATCTGTGGAAATGGTCCCTTACTTCATAAAAGGATAAGTAGTTTTTGCAGGATACACCACATGTCCAATTTTTGATTTTGATATCTGTCATGGTATAAGTCAAATACATCAATTGTCAGCAAGGTGCATAGGACATCCACTCATGCATTACAGTAATGTATACCATATATACCTTGTTGACTTATGTTGTACCTATCCCATAATCATACGATCTAATACAAGTAGAACAGTCACAAATAAAGTGTAAAAACACCATAAGTACCTTAGTACCAGACAAAACTGTAACTGTGGTAGTTGTCGGCTTTGCTGGTGCTGCAGACATAAGGTTGCCTAGGGCAGGACCAGGGCTCTCAGCCATCTTTGCTCCACCAAACATGCCGCCAGATGGAGGCACCGGACCAGTTCCAAAGGTCAAGGGTCGAGAGGGTGTTGAAGTTGACGCTGGTGATGTAAACAACCCCTTTCTAGCTGTCATAGAAGCAAGAACAACTTGGGTAGTGGAAGGAATTTTCTCTTCCTCCTGAAATAAGGGACATGGCTAGGTGAGTTTGCTATGTTTAGAAAGATAACATTTATCTTAATTTTGTTAAAGTTATGTGAATGTTGATCTGTTTATCACTGTTTATCTGCAAGTCTGTCAATATTTAGATGTATAAGAAAATAGTTCAGACGACAAGAAACACAATATTAATATATTAGTGAAAATTTTGTTAATATGGACAAAAAACAGTTTGATAAGCCTTTCATACAACCAACATCCTGTGGTAAAGCAATGAACTTTGTAACAACTTACATTAATTCCTGGGCTCTCCTTCACCTTAGCAGCAGCCTTAAGTTCTGTGACAGTATCACGGGGTTTCTCTTCAATAAAAGAATCTTCCTCAAATCTCTTAGACAAGACTCTGCGAAGATCCTGTGCAGAGACTATCTTGGACATGGATAAATTGGCTGAAATGCAAATATTCTTCAGAAAGGCTGATCAATTAATGTTTTACTGATTTCTTTTTTACTAGGTCTAGAGGTTAATGAGCTACATGGTCAGATGGTCAGGTGAGGTAACAGGGGCTGATGATGTTGCAAACTGTGATTTAAAACAAGTAGTAATAAGTCATTTAGTAAAAAAATTATCAAACAAATAAATAAATAGTCACCTGGAGCTGTCACTTTCACAGGTGTCACTGCCCTCCTTCCCAGCAACTGACGGAGTCTGGACTGCTTCTCTGGTGACAAACTCTTCACGGGGGGTTTCTTTGGAGACAGTCTGGTCTCCAGCAGACTATCAGCCAGACTGGCCAACTCCTGGTGTTCAAGGTCACTGGTGGGGGAAAAATTTAAGGTTGAAAATTTTTCAATATTCAAGTTGTACATAGCAATAGAAGTCTTGAACATTATTATTATTATAATTATTATTGTATTTATTATTACCATTATTTTTTTTTTTATTAAATCAGTATTTTGAAAAATAAATTGTGAAGAAACTCATCAGCAAAGTTCTAAAAGCAAACCTCCCACAAATTTTTCTTTACACTTTGTCATTATTCATCACTCCACATACATTTCAATACAACATACCTCTTCTCCTCTGGGATGCTAAAGCTCCTATTTTCCCAAGAAGCCGTCAGGTTATGTAACTTCATGGCTTTCAAATCTGTCACCAGACTCTCAATCCTCTTGGTCATTGACAGGATCAGATTGTGGTTGTTACTTAGGGTTCTGTAGATTGTGTCAGTGGAGGGGGCCTGCATCTGCCTAGATGGAAAAATTAAAGTTATTCTTGCACTCAGTGCTGAATGAATGAATGAATGAATGACAAGACACAAGCATATAAATTATGTAGCCTGTCTTGTCATGCAATGCTGACACCTATGGTCCTGTTGACTTACCTCCCTTTGGCCTTCTTGTCTTGCTGATTCTCCCACTCTTCATCTAGTTTAAAGTTAGCATCATTTAGGGTCTTTTCAATATTCTGTGTCACAGCTCGCAGCTGTTTCATCTTGGCTGTGCTCATGGGATCTAGGGCACGAGATTTTAGGAGCTGTTGATAACGAGGCTCCATATTGCGCTGTTGTCTGACATGGCACTCCTCAAGCTGTGTGAAGGCTTCCAAAACATCAGATTTTAAAGAGTGGATCTCACTGTTACTTGCCTGATAAAGTAAGAAATCGTAGCATGATATTCCCGTTCTAGAATCCTGAATAGTCAAATATCAAATCACAAATTACATTTCCCTTGTGAGTACTCAAGAATTGATGAAGAGTCTAATTTTTTGCCTCTGTGGTGTTTGCAACTGACAATTTTAATAATAAGTTTTGATCTCAATTAAAATTATATTTTTGCTTACGAGATATTTTATTACTTTATCAAGGGATTTCAAATAAATACTATGCTGTAGTGTGTTCTGATCATGAAACCACACACCAATTCAATCTTTCTCAATTGATGAAAAATATTAACTTAATCAAAACTTAACTGCACAAGCAAAAGTTAATTATAGCCTTGGGCAAAAAGTCAGGCTCAGTTTTCATGCTATATGTACCTGGGTCACAGTCTTGATTTCCTTGATGAACAACTCCACTGACTCTGTGTCTTTCCTTAGTTTTGACAGCTCCTCTTTAGTGCCAACTTTGTACTGACACTGTGAGGACCGGCTCTTCAAGTCTTGCATCTCCTTTTCAAAGTGGGACATCTTGGGGAAAATTGAAAGATATACATATCTGTTTAACAACTACTGCACGATACATAAATAGTGTTTTAACTATGATTCTGGCTCCATTAAAAAAGTGTTAAGACCACACCATTAAAAGAGAATAGAAAATGCTGTATAATTTTTATTTCAATAACAAAGAGCTCCTTCATTTTTAACAAAAGTGAAACACACCTCTTCCACAATGCTCCTTGTAAAAGTGCTCTCAACTGTTTGATTGGCTGAAATTTTGCCTCCAGATGGCATCCCAGTAGTCTCAGGAGAGGGATGGCTCACAGATCCTATCCCATGAGGCTGTGGGTCTCTTGAAGCTGACGAAACAGGCTGAGCTACAGTGGTAGAAACCTGAACAGGGTGCGACACTGCAATAGGTTTGCTAATAGATGACGCTGGCTGTTGAGGCAGTGATGTCATGGTGGGTCTGAGCTGCTGCTGCTGCGGCTGTGTTGTTGCTATGGTAACTTGTGGTAACTTTGACTGGCCGGCGAGAATACCAGAGAGTTGACCAGTGCTTGGTTGTCCAAAAGGTTGTGTTGTGACTGGTTTGGGTTGCGAGAAGAGCCCTGGTGGGTCAGATGATGATGAAACTTGCTGAGGCACACCAAACCCTGCGGATGTTGCATCTGTCTGGTCTGAAAACAGCAAAATATCAAATGAGACACCAGTTTTGTTAATGCTGGTTTCAGCACTACTAGGCTTGTCAAAAGATGATTTAAAAAGGTAATATTTTTTGAAAGAAATTATTTTTCAAATGCAGAGCCATTTCTATAATTTTTTCTAAAATACTCACATACAGTGGAGCAATCATCCCCCCTTTAACAACATAAACTGAATGACCCTAGCTATTAACAAATAACTAAAAAACAATAAAAAATCTTAATCAAACCGAAACATTGTCCTAAATAAAACTTAAAACTAAGAGAAAAATCATTGAAAAATCACCAAAATGGAGGATCACACAATCTTAAACACTAACCACCAGTCAGAGGCCTGCTCCCTCCAAACATGGCTGCTCCTGGTGTGGACTTCACAGCCAGGCTGCTGGTATAACTGGGAGGAGCTCCTTTCATGCTGAATAATGACGTCAGTGGTGCAGTAGTTGCCACAGGGGCAGCAGACATGATCGTATTTGCAGGAGGAACAGATTTTGGTGGCTGTTGCCCAGTGGTGCCAAAGCCCAGTGTAAAGCCGCTGCCACTAGAGGGCAGCCCTGCAGTGCTTCCAAACAATCCACCAGATGGTGCTCCAGTGGTTCCTGCACCAAAGGTAAATTTGGTTGCACCGAGAGCAGAAGTTGTGGCAGCTGATTGAGGAAAAAATTAAGCAAGCTGGCTAATATAACTCTTATATATCTATATCAACTTATAAAAATGTTGCCTTAAAATAATTTAAAAGCTTTTTCTTATTGGTCAGTTTCATTGAAAATTCATCAAGGGGAAACCTCTGAGTCATTTTTTTGTAGATTTTCATTTTGGTAAGGGGTAAAAAGTGTGTCTTACCATTATCGATTTCCAACATGAAACCTCTAAAAATCAGAGTAATCATTGAATCACAGACATTTAAGCAGTGCACCTGACTCACCTCCTTGACTGGGTTTTGGCACAGACATTGCAGTTGCCTGTCCAAGGGGCTTAGCCAGGTCAAACCCCCCAGAACCACCACTAGTTGGGGCTGCACTAAAAGAAAAGCCTCCTCCTGGTTTACCAAATAAGCTTGTCTTGGCAGGTGCAGCAGATGTAGTTGATGGTGCTACCGCTGCTGGTTGTTTTGGGATTGCCTGCTCTTCGCCTGAAATGAAGGATGTCAATCTGTAGTACAATTGTGTGTTGCACAGAAAAGGAATAACTATAAGTTTTTATAAGAATTTTGCCAATTTACTAACAATAGTCATTTTAATCTAGGCTCACTGATTGCTTTGAAAAAGTAAATAAAATATCTCATCAAATTTTAAGTATTAAATGTAATTTGGTGAAAAAATAAGTTATTTGGCAACACAAATAATATGCTAGTGGCTCTAGCCAATCAGTTTAATGGATTCAAAAGTCTAAATTCCAAAGGCCTTATCTACCCTTTCCAATTCTTGCCCCAGCAGATGTCAGCACCTGTGGTGGACATGTCAGCTGCTCGGCTCCAGGGAAATAATTCATCATATAAAACAAAAGCAACTGTCCATCTGTGTTGAGGAGCATATAAACAGGGGCAGGGGGATGGAACTTATCTTCCCCTGAAAAGAACAAAAAATTCATGGTAAATAATGAATTTAGTGACTCTGAAAATATTTTCCCAGCTCATTTTACAGAATATAACTCTGCATGAAAATTACAATTAATTTTTCTTTTATTTTTCCTTGTAGGATATCACAAACTTTTTATACTGGAGTTGCAGAACATAGGTTATCATCACCCTAAGGCTTTCAATGGGTCCTCGGTTAGTTGGCCAATGGTTAGCAAGTCTCTGGACCATCTTCATACAACTTTCTCTGAACAGACATGGTGTATTCAGGATAAGATTAATGACAATGGCCTACCAAAACTAGAAGATATATCCTTCAATTTATCACTTTTCTCACCCAGTGGTATCTGCCTCTGTGATGTATAATCTATGGCCACACCCACAGGATAAGTGTCATCGTAATCCTCTGTGGTGGGGAGCTGAGCACGCCCACTGTCCTCCAGGGTCCACAATTCCCAGCATTCCTAGAAACATAAATATATTATGATTACCTTTTCCAGGGGACAATAGAATATAATTATATCAAATATAAAATAACAGCTACAGATTTCATTTTGATTGTGCTAATAATATGCCATTTGTTCCTTTATTCATACTAATTTCTGTTGACATCGTCTTTGTAGGAAAAAATACGAATACCATAATTTTTCCTACAAAGACAGAAATAATGATTTTCAAAAATTGTAAATAAAAACATGTGCTTTAGATAAATTGCATATAAGGAATACTTGAGAAATGGTAATTAAACTTCAACCATCAAATTCGGGGTGCTTACCTGGTTATCTGCTTTCTTGCCCAGAATTCCACACTCTGTAGCATTGGCAGAAGCCACCGTCATTACCCCCCTGAGTGAATAAGGAAAATACAATGATATCATATTATCATAGCCAAAATTATTTTTTAAATTCTGAGCAATGCATTTTTTGCAGTGTAAGATAAAATAAAATAACTTATCTTGCTAATTAACAATATATGTAAAGTAAAATTGGATTACATATTGTGAATATGCTATGTACTGATAGGAATAGTGATTAGTAAAATTTTCAGTACATGATTAGGTAACATCTGACTGTCACAACTACTACACTGCTGATATGGCACATCTCTTTATCACAATTAATACATTATCCAGATTTCTTACCACTTGATGATATGGTGAAGATAATAAACAGGTTCTCTGTCCTCTCCCTGGCCAAAACACACATCTTCATAATTGGTGAAAACTAAATTGCCAGTTTTCTGAAAAAGAAAAAAAAACAATATTTCAAGGGACATTCAACTTTAAACCAGTGCTGTCCTGTTACACAATTATTCTATTCCCATCTACCATTTTCTCCTGGAAAATTAGACTGATTTAAGTCAAGATAACATGGTGTCTGGGAATGGGCAATATTTCAGATAACACTTTATCTACAGGATGCATCACAATGTTTTCACTCTCTGACATCATAATTTGGAAATGTACAGCAATGGTCTTTTGTATTTTTCACATACCAATCAAATGCTTTTCACATGTGTGCCAAAAATATTTCAACCTACTGGTCCTCCAGGCAACCAGTCAGTAATAATCTACTGGGCCAAAGCAGAAACAGTCACTTGTACCTGAACAAATTTATACATTTTTGCTGTCCCTGTTTCAATTTTACTTGCATTTGGCATAGTGTTGATGTTAAAATTGTAGACTTTAAGAAGATCTGATTTAATACCGACTTACTGGGGCGTGTACAAACACAAGTGAAGGCTGCTCTGTGATGGCATCTCCTTGGGGCATGTAAGCCACTTGAAATGTGAAGGTTGTCAACCACTGAATATCTAGGACTGAAAAAAAATTGTTTCAGATCTAAATAAACAAATCCTTACAATTAACCATAAAAGGCAGCAAATATGAAACATGGAAAATTAACATGTAAATGACTAACAATGGCAAAATTTGATCCTAATTCAAATAACACCTTTCCCAGTGTCATCAAAAATATAAAAATCAATGGAAAAACAAACTACCAGACTTAATTTTTCTTTAGCTATAAAAACAATTGTTAAGCAGTCACATATCCTTTTGTAAGGAGAGTAGAAGCCATCCAGATTTATAATGTCTGTACAGCAAATGTTTTTATAACAGAATAGATTTATTATATTCTCTTCAGTAAGAGCTAGCATTGTTGACGGATAAAAATAAGGGACACACCTTTCATGGGGTCTTGAAAAATAGTGGGCGCTGCAATATTCTTCTTGAGTTTTAACTCTTGGTCGTACTGTTGCATGGTACCATCCTTCTTTCCAACCACTATCTGTTTTCCTTTAGGGCTCCAACATACTACAATACATTTAAAACTACTATTATGAATCATTTATTATGTGAATGCAATCAAGGCGACATATCAATAATAAACATCAAACATTATAAGAATAATCAAAATACTGGTAATCAAAGTAAACAATGAGGTACTATAAAAAAAGAAAGAACCTGTTTTAAAACTAGAACCGAGTTTAATTAATTATAAGTGATTATAAAGATGGCAATACAACTCAGAACCCATAATTGTATATAAAATGGACAGAATGTCTTTGCAGCCAAACAAAATATTTCCAACCTCCTGAAAAAGAAAAAAAAGTCAAGCTGTCCAGCACATGTACCCCAGTAATACCCCTACCTGCAGTGACCCCAGAGCCAGCCTTCAAGCTGCCCATTATCTTCAGATTTTCTGTGGCTTCCATCAACTTCAAGCTACCATCTGACATGACAGCAGCAAAGACAGCAGGGAAGTCTGTGCCAGGGTTCCATACAAAGTCTACCAGTCTGACACTGGGGCTAGTGTATAATGGGATAGTATGGAAAGTTCTTGGCTTAGAATCCTGAAAAACAAGTCACATAAAAAATTAATTTCAAACATCAAGTTTTATAATGTGCCCTTTGAAATAATGAAATGATGTTAGTGGTTTTATGTTTTTATACAGGGATTATGATATCTATCATTCACACATGCATACCAGGAAATAAAATCAATACCAGCCTAAGGTCAGTTATTTCCCCCGATTTCAATTGTATTTATACGTGGTAAGCACTGACAAACCTTAAAACGACTTTCACACTGTTATGCATGATATTAAGTCAGCCCCAGCCATACTTACATTACTATGTGCAAAAAAAAAAAAAAAAAACTTATTTTGCACCATGCAAAACCATATGTGGATACGTCATAGCCCTTGAAAATACCATGTTATTACCAATGAGGTTTACAATGTATCAATCTATATATGAACTGTATGAGTATAAAGAGAGCTATCCATACTTCTCCCTCTTTGGATTCATTTTGAGGAACACACATCTTACCTTCTCAGCAAACACCCTGATGTCATACAGTAAGACCAAAGGTAACCCTTCCCTCTCTACACACACGGCCAGGGTCATATCATCATTGCTGAGGGCCAGGTGGGTGGGGGCACTCTCTGTACTGACCACTGTCCACATAGGGAGGTCAGTCACCACCTTGTTCTTGTCTGATTCATTGGCATCGGCATTGATGAGATCAATGGTTTTTATGACCTTAAAGCCTGTGAAATACATGGAGACCATTAACAGACAAAAAAATGCAGACAAAATACAGAAGATGTATTCAATAGCATGAATCTGTCAAAAGGAAATACTGTTGATGAAATAGAAGACAACAAGAAAATTTATAAAAGTTATTTCATGTACTTATTGTTTTAACATTTATTTTCCACAAGTAAGGTTATAAATTCATATCCTTATCCCTACCACAATCTTTGCGAGTTTTCAATCACTGCCAAAAAATGAAGTCCTCAATCCTGATAAGAAAAAAAATATATAAAAACCCCAGCATACCTTCCTGCACACCAACAAAAGTCAATCCATATTTGTTGGACACAGCCAGCAGTTGTGACCTGTGTTTGGGAACAGAGTCGGTCTGTCTGGCTGCCACCTGAACCTTGCACATCTGCTGGAACTGAAACTCCTGGAAAAACAAACAAAGTGAAACTCATCACAGGGGAGTCCAGGGCTCTGATAAGGGGGGTGGGGTGGCACCGGGATGAAAAAATGAGATATTTTTTGTTTAATTTTGGTATGAAAATCTATAATTGTAGAGAAGGGCAGTTTTACTGAAATATAACTTTTGTCTCACTGTTTACAACTTAATACATATTTCTTTGTTGGCAAGATCTGTCTAATATACGCACAAGATAAGAAACTGGTGGAAAGGCAAAAGTAGGCAAAGAAGTAGTCTGTAGTCAAAAGATTCTTAACCTTTTACCAAAAAGTTGAGGCAGGCCATGGTAAATCTAAGATTTTGGGTATTTAATATATTTGATTTGAAATGTACCAGAACTAAATATTGGGGGGTTTGGGTCCTAATAGCATGAAAGATGTCCATAGGCACCATGCATGAATGAAATCTGCACCACATATTATGGGTCTAAGCTTTTTCAGTCTCGACATCTGCCATGGTACAAGTCAGATACACCAATCAATTAAGTTACATATAATATCCACTCATGCCTTGACTTCAAGTATACCCCAGTCCTGGCTGGCTCATGGTTTATGTATTACATTAAGCATACAATAATTTTACCTTAACATCTCTGGTAGGTGGATCATCTGCCATACTGATTATCTTCAATCATTAATTGACTCTTCAGATAGGTTATCTATAATAGACGACAGATAATATTAAAAGACCTTTTACAATGTTAAGCCTGGCAGAGCACAGTTCATTTAGCTAGTGACAGTCTGAATACCTGTGTGCTAGTAATTCATGATTTAGCACTCCGGTTGACGATTCTGATTGCCAAACTGTGCTAACATACATGTATGGCACTGCAGATACCGCAGAAACTGGTCTTCATTTTACATTCTTTGAGGTCTTTGCTTTCATTAGTTAGCACAGAGTAGATCTCATTAAGTGTCAAAGGAGTGCTAATACATGAATTCTGTGCTATATATATATATATGTAGTACTAGTAGTAATCTCCACTGTGACTGTTCAAGAGTTGAACCCAAAGCTGGTACCAAAGATGAAGTTATCTATAGCGCCTTTTTGGGAGAGTGTAGAAAAATCACCAGCCAGACCAGGGATCGAACCCGGGACCTCTCGCTAACAGGGCGAGTGCTCTACCACCTGAGCTATCTGGCTGATTCTACCCTGCGTCTGACACTACATATCTACAGGTAATTATCAGTGGATAGGGTCTTGGCGGTTAGTACCTCAAATGTAACTTTAAGGACATAACCTGAGGCAAAGTCTTAAAATTGACTGTACAACAGTGAATACAAAGTTTTAAGATTAATGTAACCCCTATCGCCAGAATACAGTTATTTGTATTTCGGTTAGGAAAACGACACCTTTGTTTTACTTACAAAGATTTATCAGTGATTCTGGCAGTGGGTTATTATGCCTCAGTTTTTGCTTTCAAGGCACTGCGGTAAGTAACACAACTAAGGCAATGCCAATGCTGTATTTGACTCAGATTTAAAATGATTTACTTTATCACGAGAGCATAAAAAAGCGATCAGTAATCAGTAGTCGCATCGGCACTTAAAATATTATCTAACTATATATGAATGATTTAAACGCAAAAGCTGTACATATGTACCCTACTCGTTACCGGGGATTTATTCCTAACGCAAAACGCATCTGGCTTCTCAATATTACATACTTCTCAGAAATGAAATCGAGAAATCCCCAATTTTCCACAAAGTATAACGCGCAACGTAAGAACGACAGGGTAGCTTACCATGTCTTTATCATATTTTGGTACTTTTGCTTCATTCTTTCTTTTCTTTAAAATGTCTTATAAGACCTATCTCGTAAGTATTTATGATAAAATCTCACTCAGTAAAAGTTCATTTAAAAAGTGTTTTACAAGTATAGATATATAAATAGATGTTTCAAATTTACACGCGTTATAGGTCTAACCAACTGTTTAACTGTACTCCGTTTGCTAGAGAAATTCTTGCTGTCGAATTTCCGTTTTTTTGACTGGAGGTATTTATCTCCTGACCCAGGTAAATATAGAACTTATTGTTAGTTACCTATTTTTCATTCCATTTACGTCTGTTTCAATTAACACTACATGCACAGAATACTAAAGGAATGATACCCTTCATTTTTTTTTTTTTTGCATATATTCAAATGCAAAAAGCCGATTTTTTTACTTTATTATTATTATTCTGTCTCTCAGGTTATCGTGGCGAAGTAAAAAATTATATGAAATGCATGACATTTAACTTTGTGTTTAACTTTTTAAACTTTGCTTGATTTGCTTAAACATTAACTATGTCTGTCAGCTAATATTCGATAACCTGGAGCAGATAAAAACAATGTCACTTGTCATAAATTATGCATTACATTTTTCATTTTTATTCGACTGTAAATCATTTTCAGCGCATGTGGCCTTGTCAGCTGAGCTGATGCCATTTGCTTAGTTGATGATCATAAAAGATACTGCGCACGATTGCTACTGTACTAGTTTTACATTGTAATTCATATTTTGTTTGCTAATTTTGCCCAGTAACAATTTTGGAAAAAAAAACAAAATAAAAATAAATAAATAAATAATGGCAAAATCATACTAAACTGATCCAAGCATCAGGTATCAGAGAAATCAGAGTAATCATTCCCCCAGATCTAATCTGTTCATCTCAGTTTAAAAGAAGAATTATTGTTATACATGTAGGTCTAGCAGCTGCCTTATTTATTATATAAGGCCACAGGCTCACAACCATGCCTCCTAAATTTAAGAGGACTGTTGACAGCTCGGACATGGCCAGAGCTAAAGACTCTGAAAAAGTAAGTGTTTTCATTCATTTAAAAAAAAATGAATTATACACTGTATCGGTTCTGTCTTTTATATTGGTACATGCTCCAGTGAGTCCAAATTAATTTTGGCTTAATAAATTACAACTTTTTATAACAAAACTGATGTTATTTAGTCTTGGTAAATGATTCTACTTAATCATCCTATTTAGAGACCATGAAAAACCTCTTTCATAGCATCATGCAGTATTTTGCAAAGTTATGTCTGACCTCACACCAAATGCATTAAAATTGATGGTGGGCCACTATAACTTATATTTGTTAAGTAACAGGCTATTGTTTCTGCTGTGGGCCACTAGATTCCTATACTTAGTCTAGTTTGGTCATGACACAGACTGCTGTTATGACTGCTGTTAGGATTTTAAAGAGTTAAATCTTTCACTGAACAGCATTGAGTAACTGGGTTGATTACTTTAGTGGACTGCTTGCACTGACCAAGGCTTAATCTTATAAGTTAAAAAAAAGTACCAGAAAGTATGATTTTATCATTTACACAATTACTGGTACAAGTTGGACTTTTATGTTAAAAAATTGTCAAAATTTCCTGAAAATTGACATTTTTACTATGTATGGTATATTAAAAAGTGTAGTATAATTTTAATGCTTTGTATAAAGGACAGAGTAAAAACATTAAGTAGTAGAAGTGTACAGTTAGTATCATTTTTACGTTGCTCATTCAGTTTTAACTGCACCTTAAAAAATATTGTGAGTGAAGTAGTTGTTCTTTGTTTTAGGTTAGCCTACTGGGTGAAAACTCTGATGATGAGCAGGAAGACTTTTTTCTTAAGTGAGTTTTTATGGAATTTGCATTTGTTTACAATGGCAACATAATAACTTGTCAGGGTGATAGCTCGCATGGCTCAGTGACATATGACAACAGGGTGATAGCTCACATGGTAGAAGTGCATGTTGCTCTAGGGATGTTACAGTGAAAAAAGGGGAAAGGGCAACCCAAAAGATAGAGTTGATAAACACCCTCCCCACCCTTAAATCTTCAATTTTATCATCATTATTTACTTTGATGAAGTAATATATTGGCTGCTCATGCTGCTAAATTAATGCATATAAACACATTAACATGTCTACAAATTTGTTAATTATTTTTTATTTAGTGTTGCAATTTCAAAATGAAATATGTCTGCTTGCTGCTAATGTTCTTTATACATATTTACACATATCTGTACACTGACATCTACAAGTTTGACAATTTTAGTTAAATGTTTCCTTTTTAAAATAAAATATTTTTTCCAGAGGCCCCAATGCAAGACCAGGGCGGCTCTTAAAAGATGAGAAAGTACAAAGGTGGGAATGCAGTTAAATAAAATAAAACTGTCCTACAAGACTGCTATATGGGATAAATGTTCAAGCAGAATTAATAATTTAGATTTATGCTGGTTTTATTTTTACTGGAGTCAAAGTAGGACGCATTTAGAATAAAAGGTTTTTGCTTGGTAGTATTGAAAGTCTAAAGTTCCTTTTTGTTCATAAATATTTAAATTGGGGTCTGGTTTTGTGGAATAGAAGAAAGCAAGATTTTCAGTGCTTTAAATGTTATCTTCAAAATTTTGATCACATTGTTTGATCATTTGTCCAGAAGCTGGTTTTTATGAGGGTAGCATTGCTTGGCTCAGTGCTAGATATAATGTTGATATGTAACTTTATCACTTTCAGAAAGGAAAACTGATTAACACATTATTTTTTTAAATCTCCATGGAGACAATGAATTTACCTTGGGTAGAAATTGTGAGAAAGGAAGTGGCCTTATTTAAGTGTTATCTTATGGCAGTCTGACAAGTGAAGTAAATTGCCTTGCTAACAGGATTAGCCTGCTATGCCAACTACAAGAAGGTGCTGCAGAGTTAAGAAGAGCATACTTTTGTGTTAAGATGATGTTGGTTCTACACTTCTTTGTTTTAGCTATTTTAAATCATTATAAAAAACCAAACAATACCCATTTTCTTTTGCCAGTGTTAATGTTGTAAGCATTTTGTGGTGGTTTTAGACAAGAGCTTGGAGCCAGTTACTAATAGATGACTTTCTGCTACTTTATATTTTCACTCAATAAGTAAATTTTTGGGAAAAATTTTTGGCAGGGTTCAAGAACAAGTAGATGATGTGGTGGGAGTGATGAAGAGTAACATAGGCAAAGTACTGGACAGGGGAGAAAGACTTGAAGATCTGCAGGACAAATCAGGTAATTTTTGCTACTACATGTACTAGTAGATCCATGAAAATTGAAGGCATGCACATGATAATATACAAGGGATTATCTTTTTTAACCAAAGATAAATGGATTTTATGTATGTGATAAACAAACTGTAAGAGTTAAAGAAATAATGTGAAATTAGTGACTAAAAATTTACAGTATTCAAATTTCTTTGATCTTGTCTTCATAAAGTTGTGCTGAAGGGTTATAGATAAGATGCTTTCCATCCCTACATATTTGTTTGTATGTGGGTGAAAAGTTGATTCTGCATATTGGAACGAATGTGCTGTTTGTTTGGTTTTATAGTGTGTGCTTGTGCCATGTAAGATACAAATACATGTATTTATTCTCTCTGCATGGCAAGGTCTTGCCATGTTACAGTCCAGAGATATGCGTGCCTAGGGATATGTGCACATATATGATTTATTGTCATAGGATTTATTTTCTAATACAACACTGTATATTAATTGTACCCTGTTGCAGACCACTTAAACAGCAATTCCAGATTGTTTCAAGCAAGAGCCAGAGATGTCAGGTCTGCCATGTGGTGGCAAAATTGTAAGGTGGGTATACAGATAAGGAGATACATTACGTAGTTAGGAAGTGATGCCCCAGAAATCAGTTTGGTTGCACTCCCCTACAACAAAGGTTATATGATTGACCCTTATTGTTCAGAACCTCAGTTTTTCATTTTTTGCTAGTTTACAACTTGAAAAGTTTATGAGCTAAAATGTTCATTAGCTTGGTAGATGGATCATAAATGAAAATTATCAAACACAAGCCGAAAAAACTTTCATACCGTTAGCTTAGGGTATGAAGTTTTTTGGCTTGTGTTTGATAATTTTCGTTTATGATTATTAAAAAGTTTGTCTTGAAAAATGTCCATTAATACCAAAAGTGCTTAGCCTTGTAATCCAATATGGCAACTGTCTTTTCTTTTTTTTCTGATAAAAATTATACAGAGTTTGTATAATGAAATATTGTATTTGCTTTGGATCAGAATTAGGAGACTGGCCTAGAATGATGAACATTATGGGACCATTCAGGTCGAGTAGAGCCGAGTGCTAGTAAGGCCGCAACCAAAATATGACTGACTTACATGAAAGGAAGACCGCTAACCCTGTAATGGTCTCTCCGCCTCTCACATGCCTCACCATGTGTTGTCCCTCGACCGGTTGAATTGAGCCAAGATTTAATTACTGTGCCCCTGCAGGGACGACGTGTGGGGAGGCGTGTGAGAGATGGAGAGACCCTTACAGGATTAGCGGTATTCCTTTCATGTAGGTCTGCCATATTTATGTAGCGACCTTTCTATCACTCGGCTCTTCTCAATCTGGATGCTCCCTATCATTAAGTCAGTATCTGTCATTTCCCAAAAAATATATATGTCAGGATGTGAGATGATTTAAAAGAAATTCTCATAACTATTTTCAATCGGCAACTGTTTGCCATATATTTGACAAAATGTTCTTTAAATTTCAGATGAAAATTATAGTTATGATTGTGATACTGATCATCTTTGCTGTCATAATCAGTGAGTACGGTATTCACATCTAATATCAATAAACTGATTGAGAAGCATTAAATGGATTTTTAATTTTTGAATTTAATGAATAGAAAAAGTACATAGCTTTTGAATTTCTTGTCTGAAATGCTCATTCATAAAAAATGTCAATTCAAAGCTATATATACAATTTCTTTTTCAAAAAAAAATTATAATAAATAAATAAAATAAAATAATAAAGATATCAGATTTTCTCTTGATGTAGATAGATGTAAAATAGAATAATGAGAACTTTTTATATGATTTTCTTCATTTCACCTAAGGGCTGTTGTGCCCAAACGCTTATCCAAAAGTAAAAATAAAAAGGTGAAAAAACCCTGATAAACCTTTAGGTGCAATGGCAGTCGGGTGAAACAGAGATAAATATAAGAAAAATTCTCATCATTCTATAACTTGGCTTCTTGAAAAGATTAGTCAGAGCACTGCCAACATGGAAATATATATATTTGATATATAACAAATATGTATTTATATTTTCATTACAGTTCCTATTATATTGAAAGCAACACAGCACCAACATTGAGTTCTGCTAGACAAAGTCATGAAACGGAGACAGACATCTTTTACCCCTTTACCCAATAGTAGTTCTGATACAGTAAACCAAACAACACTTGCAAAGCTAAATTATTCTCTTCAGTGATGCCCCTAGGCATTTTTTTTTTCTTTTAACTTGTTGACTGTTACAGAATGGTGTTTCTAAGATCGGTTTATAGATTTTATACTGCTGAGCGTTGACTCTCTGACTGCACATTGTTATATTATTTGACTGAATGAAGATTGGGCAATGCATAGCAATAATGGGAGAAGTTTCTTGAAGAAATGTTTTCTTGAAATGCATTAGATTGTATGAACTAACATACAAGTCATTATTATATCTCTTTCGTTTTCCCAAATCATCTTATGGGGGATGGTGCAATAAATGTTATATTTATTTATATACTGTCTTATTTGAGGAGGGGTTTGGTCAATTGCTTTAAGTTAAAAATGTAAATAACGACTTAGGTTGGGCATTTGAACAATTTAGAACAATGTAAATATTATAAAACAGTTTTTAAAGTTAGAAAATGATACCCAATGTAGGTCAATATTTAAACATATATTTGTAAAATGTTGTGATTGACAGGTTGTAATGTTGTTGTATAAATGTTTTTTCGATGATGAAAATTAACCTTTTGTTGCTCTTTGAAGAAAAGGGGGGGGGGGTATGATAATATACCATACAAATTTAAGGCATACTTGTATATCCTAAGAAACAACTCACACACTTAGCTTTTATTTAGTATTAAATCTCAAAACCTACCACTTTCACAGCTGTTATTTTTATTTTTTATGTAGGATGTTTGGTAGTGTCTGTTATAAAATGCTTTTATTTTTGTGTACCTCATGATGATAGATATAGGATGGGGAAAGTCACAAAGCCACAAGAGTCTGTTCAGAGTTCCCACTCTTAACAATGGATCAAAAGTGCTGAAAGATTTTGTGATGAGATGAACAATTTTTAAATGAAAAAATTTGAAGCAAACTGATACACTCGAAGTCAAATGGCTTAGGCAAGTAAAGCAAAGGCTTTGCTCTTTTCCAACCTACATGAAATTGGTCAGGATTGGTGATAACTAAGGCAGTGTTTAACAGTATATAGTTAAACTTCAGTAGTTGATGTTTATAGAGCTGTGATGTAGGATTGATGTGTAATGATATGTGTACATGTAGATACTTATTATATGTCCACTGCCGTGTTCAGGCAACTGCTGAAACCATTCCTGTTAACATCTACAGCAAAGTGGAATAAGACCATCTTCTTGAAGATGAAACAAACTTTCTTGAAAGACATGGAGCTGCCTGGAAATTTTGTTCCACAGATTATGCATAATTTTACGTACAATGTGATCAAATGACTGCTGAGAGCATTCCTGTTGCAACTTATCGTAACAGTTCTAGATCAAAGCAGTTATGACAGTCCTCTGGATGGTGGACAGAACATTCTGGAGGGACATTCTCATTACCTGGAATACTGGGTAGTATGGATGCATTTTACCTTTTAAAATTTGACAGACTGGGTGACCATGAGGCACCTTTAAAATTTTGGTTTTAATGAAATAGTATGTAATTTTGATCCAGTTCATATGATTACATGATCACAATTGTAAAAGACACCTTTAGAAGTTATGGGTTCATTTAATATTTTGTCTGTCAAGTCAGGTACTTGGTTGAAAGAATTTTGACTACCGATGGTTATATCTGTAAAGCAAAAGTTTTTCTTTTTACAGACGTGCTATAAAGGTTGAAATATCTGGTGCTAGCTGAAGTTTAAGAGGTTGTATTTATTCACTCATAAAAAGGTTCATTATTAAAATGGCATTTAGTAAGAAGGTTATCTATTTTTAAAACTTTGAAAACAAGGTACATCATTTTCACTAATAACAGCCATTTTGTAAAATAGGTTTATTTTTGTGTTTAAAAAAGTTGTCAAAGGGTTGCTAAATAAATGTAAATATTGAGGCACTGGAGTTTCATCTTTTTATTTTTCTCACTAAGAAATTTGAACTCAAAACTTTTTTAATCATATTCAAGACATAATCTCATAATGTACTTCATGAATCGCATCCTCTTCCCTCACAGACAATAAAATAATACATTAGACTTAAATTCTGTCAAATTTATTAGGTTTACAACCATACTTTAGACACCTTTAACCTTTTGCCCACAGAAAATTATTAGCAAAATAATTACTACAATCAAAATGTTATTTAAATATAGCACACATTATCTTAGAATCAAAAACAAATCAATATCTACAAAAAATAGATATGCATTTGTTATAAAATTAACAATCTTTTTTGTAGAAACTAAAAGAATTTGATCTTATCAGAAAAATATTTTAAAAATATATTTTGCAATATATAAAACATTTTGTCAAAATGTTATCAACAATTTTTATAAAATCTCAACAATATTTATAAAATTTTCAAGTTTTTATCTCAAATGGTAAACATGTAAATGATCCCATGTAAATCAATTCCCCTCTTTCAAGTTTTATACAGGTTTACCATCAATGCATAGATGCAGCTGCCATCAAAGAAGGTTATATCTATTTTAGGTTTGGTTTGTCTTTGTGCCTGTTTGGTAGCAGACAAGATATTTCAAAAGGTTACTCAAAAATGGTGAAGGGAATTAAATTGAATTAAATTAAATTGAACAGTTTTTCAGGAAGGGGAGAATAATTCCATATATTTTGCATATACCTATGATAGTTTTATTGTCAATCCTGTAAAGTTTTACCCATAAAGTATGTGTCATTATAATAACAGAAATATGCTAAAACAACAGTTTAGTTAGCATTTTTCTATTCATATCATCACCCATATCATCACTAATCATTAATGCTTATCCTATAAATACCAAGAATCACTTCTGTGCAACACTGGTACAACACATTGTAACAGCTACCTGAAACCTATATGGCAACAGCAAATATTTATGCAGTGCATAAAAAAATGACAAATGAAATCTTCAGGTTCAGTTCCATATCTCAGGTCATTCCATAACCTCAGGGCAGATCTAGAGATACTTTTTGAGTCTTTCAAATAACCTCTGTTGATCCATCCTCTATTTTTGATCGTCTTCCAACAGAAAAATTAAATACTCATCAATGTAAACCTGAAAATTCTGACCACCTCCCAGGAGACCCAGAGGACAGCTTCCATCTGCCCCTCTGAACCTGGGGTCAAAGTCAACATTGTCAACACTGCTTATCTCTCCCCCTCCATGTATGCTTTCATAGCCTGACACAACCTGTCAGCTGCAGACAGGAGCACCTCTTCTTCAAAGTAGCTTATAGATATCCTGGCACAGTTCTTGAAGTTGGCATTAGGTGACGCACTGAAATGGAGCAGAATTAAATATCTGTTTTTGTCTTTAGTTCTTGACATAGGGTGAAGTGTACAGAAAAAATTAGGAACCTGTGAATTCAATTGAAGAAGAATATTTTTGTGTCTGAATGGGTATGCTCCTTGATGCTGGTCTGGTGGAGTTGAAATTGATGAACTTCAAATAGAATATATAATAATCATCTTTAACCTTGTTGTCTTTCACATGACTGACTTCCTTGTCAATTCAGTTTCATACTAAGGCAATTTTCCTTAAAGCGGAGTCTATGTGAAAAATTGCTAATTGTATAAGAAGTATTAAGAAGAGACCAACCATGATCCAGGCATGAAATCCAGTCTGTATTTCCTTTTGCACAGTTCAACGAGTTCCTCACAATTCACACTCTCAGGAAGTGTCAGCCATATGAAATAGCCTCCCTGAAATGTCATCAGAGACCAGGGTGTCAGTGAAAAATTTGAAGATTCAATAATTTTATCATAATGGTATAGTCAATAGTTAAAGAACAAAATCACATGGCAAAGAGGTGGGGGTGGAGACCAAATGGAAGAAAATAGTTATAGCAGACCCAAATCAGCATGTTTTGATTTTTTTTAAATTCTCCAAACATTTTCCATTTTTTCTGTTTGCTAAGTCATCAAAAGTGACAAGTGTCAATAATAAAATGCAGATTTGAATAATTTGGGGATTGAGGACATCCCTACCTTAGGTTCACTGAACTCGACTCCTTTTGGCAATTTATCTTTCAATGTTTTGCACACCTGTTTCATGTTTTTCTGAAAAAATATGACAAACATAAATTTGCCAATTTATGTATGTAGTGTAGTGCTATTAATGCATTTTAATCAGTTTCCAAACTTTTTTTAATGTCAATTTTTACTTCAGAGCTAGATCTAAATCCAAAAGCTTACATTTACATACAAAGCTCATCACATGAAAGACATAATTAATTGTCATTACAGGTGAATGTGATAATTGGTAGCATAACAAAGAGACAGCACACCTCTAATTTCAAAAATCCCAAGTAAAAAAAAATGCACCAGGGCTAAGACATGCTCATAATGCATTTTGATTTAAAATATTTTATCTCTTTTTTATATATCAAATGTTCCCTACTGCATATTTCATCTTCAACATTTCTAGGTGATGTGACATCATCCCCGTTTCCATGGCACCTGCCAATATACCTGCCATACAGTGATTGACACCTCCTCCACTTTGTAATGTGTGACTGTAACAAAACACAATTATATACTTTATCTTCTCCATTCCAAATAATTCACAACTCCTTTCAAGAGATAAATGACACACATGAAATATGATATATACATTATAGGCTGACTGATGCATGTACATGCATGGCCAATAAAGACCACTTTAAATTATGTTGACCCAAATAAAATATTATTATTTAAAATCATTCTTGCATCTCTACTTCAGCACTATCATTATTGCTAATTATATTTTACTCACTCATCTTCTTAATTATCCTCATTTTTTTCTTGAAATTTCAAATATCATAAGTCTCAACTCCAACCTAAAAATGAACAAGTTTTACAACTGACTTCAAGCTAAATGTGTCATTTCACACAGTCTTATATCTTACCTTTCTTTAAGTAAATTTACTATCCGTGGAGATGCCTCAATCCAACCCACGCGGACCCCAGGAGCAAAGATCTTTGAAAATGTCCCATTAGAAATAACATGACCTTGGAAATCTGGATCGGTCCTGTAATAATTCAAATTCTGAATAAAGACCAAGTTCATAACTTATGTCCATGGATGCTTTTTTAAATTTAAACCACTCTGAAACATAATAAACATTCACCAAACATTTTGTATTATTTATCTCAAAATGTAATCAAAAAAACTTGTTGTACCAGCCATGGCTGCTGCATTTGCAGTGACTTTCATCAAGAAATAAGCTTAAATAAAAGTCAGCTATAGATAAAATTTCATTAACTTAGCAATTAAGCAGGCAAAGATTGTTGTAAAAGCTTGCATTGGTTGCATACTTCTTGTCGTAGGCCAGTAGGCGTTGTGGCGGGGGCTCTGCAGGGTCATAGGTCAGCAAGTTATAAACATCATCACACATGAGTAGCAAATCGTGTTTTCTGGCAAGCTTGATCAGGGACATGCAGCGATCTTCAAGCATATGAAAGGACATGAACAGATCTTCACATATTTGTCATTGTGCTAGCCATGCACTTCTCAAAGCAAAACCTTCTTTTTTTAAATAAAACATACATGTAGCAATATTAAAAAAAAAACTTTCTAAAAATGCTTTCAACAATCTTGTGAAAATCTAAAAGCTGGTCGACACAATAATTTCAATAATGCTTAAAGCTGTTTTTAGGGATGGAACCAAACTTATCCTCAAGTAAGCACTTCCCTGACCAGTCCCTGACTTACCGGGTGCCATTACTCTCCCTGTGGGGTTGTTGAATGTTGGAATGAGGTACAACATGGACCAAAATGGTCTTTTGGGACCCAATTCCCTTTTGTGGCCATGCTTCTCTTTTTCAGTTTTTAATATTTTTTCAAACTCTTCAACATTTGTTCCTTTTTCATCAGTGGGAACTAAAAGAACAACAAGAATTAAAAAAACAAAATTCACATGCATTTTTTGTGTGTGTATATAGTTTACACTATGATTGTGTTTCGTGCATTCAAATCTCTATCTTGGTGTATGGCTATAAGGAAGGTAGAACTGATTACTGAAAAACTTAAACTAAAACTTAAAATTATTTGCTCTCATTGAAGGGATAATATAATTTACAGAATATAAATATCTCAAAAATTGTAGTTTTAAAAACTTATCTGTATTTCTGAGTTAATTCATAATGCAGTAGATTGATAATTTGCACATTACTGGTAGAAAACTGCAAGAACATCAGGATATACTGATAATTGTATCTCTCATGCTGACTTCAGTCCAGTACTCACTCCATGTGACCACAGTTAACTATTTTACCTGATATAATATTCATTCCATAGTCTTCTCTTAACATGTTAATGGCTATAAAGTAGGTTGGGTCCTCTACAAAGATGGTGTCACCAGGTTGGAAGAAAAGGGTGGTGACCAGGGATAGTCCGTGTGTTGCCCCTGCAGTAAGGACCAGGTCTTCCCTATGCCAAATATACAGGTATGCAAATATATGAGGACAGTATACAGGTTTTTTACTGTCTGAAATGTTTTTATTATCTTTCATTAACAGAAAGGACTGTATTTCTTATTATAAAGTAGCTAGATGCAGTGTTTCATTTTGATTGGACTAAGTCCTAGCTATTTATGATTTGTGGAAGCATACTTAAATTTTAGATCAATGTTTGGAATAAGTATCCTGTGAAACAAGCCTCTAGGGCTAGTACAGCTCACCTGTCTAATGAGTCCTGATAATTGTGGCTGAGGAACTTGGCCAGTTCTTCTCTATAATCATCACCTCCTACTCTGGGACCATACTGGAACAAGTACCTGGAACTGGGGGCAGCCTGAAAGACAAGGAGATGGTCAGTAAAATTGGTCTACAGCCTTAAACAAGGTAGTTTGCATCAAAAGGAATATTAATATACTGGTCTACAAGGAAGGCCGTCTTCCAACACACACTAAAAACAGGACTGCCCATCACCATGCAGATGACCAAACTGAGTGATATGGTGATGTCATGTAGATTTGAAATGGTTTAAACTTACAAATTATTCTGTTAATTAAAAAATTGTGTTCCTGGCCTCATCTTAGCTATCAAATTATCTCATTAATCATAAAAACCAATTAAAAATAATTAAGTTACCTTTTTCCGTCAAACACTAAATGTGTTTTTTAATCAATCAATTAATTAATTGACCAAATAATTAATTTATTTTTTATTTATAATTATTATTTTTTATGAGACAGACTTAATTTGCTTCATATATTGTGAGACCATTGGGAAAGGGGCTGATCGCTCCTAAACTTTAAGTACACTGAGTAGGATGATGAGTTTTTATAACATTTCTCTGGGGTCATATTTACTAGTTTCTTTTCGGTTGCTTTAGCCAACATTTCTTGTGAGTCTACCAGAGCTGCCTCCCCAGGGGCTCCCATATTCAGCGCCACTATCTCTTCATTAACAAAGCCAAGTTCCTCAAACAAAAATCGGTGCCGCATCCTTGTTGTAGCATCGGCAGTGCTTTCGTTTTCCATAATTGTGGAGTAATGAGACGTAGACAACCAAGTTTTTAAATTCTGTCAACAACAGACGAGTTCAAGGCAGTCGCTTCGTGCACAAATAGGCCAAGGTGAATGGCGTCCCAGGGCAAAGGAGGGTCCCCCTGGAGGGTATGTGCGGCAGTACAAAATTGAAAAAAATTGACAATCAACAAAATGACAGTATTTAATTGAACATATTAAAAAACAACTTTAAGTGCTGCTGTTCCTGAATCCCTATTACTTCCACATAGTTATTTTGTCACTTTTTTAAAGAAGAGAATGCTTGAGCATGTCCGTGTCGGTGGTCATCCACGTGCCCCGGGTTTGTTTTTCTATGCACCGTTTCAATCACGTGACAGATTGTAGCACCCTCTACAGGAAGCGTGTAAAACGTCATTGATTTACGCGGGTGTGAGCAGATCGTGATTTGGAGAAGGAATGGATTTTTCACAAGTGGGCCCACCAGGTGGAGGTTTTTCTGACCCAAATTCAGCGTTTGCCGACGCTTTAGCTCGTGCTAGACAGGTAAATGAAGAAATCAGGGTTTGTTGTACTTAATTGTGTTTAACTTAGTGATGGAAGTTATCGTAAAATATCGATACTTCCGAGGACCACGTTGCCGACAGTCGGCCATTTTGTTTTGCATTCATTGACCGCAACAAAGAAACGGCATGCATTTCGTAAATTTCGTTTCAAATGACTAAAATAACTTATGTGGATAACTGCTGCATATTTACAATGTTTTGATCGTAACATTCTTATTCAATTAAGCTGTTCAATTGTGCACCTAACATTTTATCATTATTCGGTTGTATTTTCCTTCCCGAGACACACTCGTCAAGCTTTATTTATGCTTTAAGGTCACGAATTTCTCAGGAGCAATGCAGCAGGCTGTCGTGAAAAAGTTCAGTGTAAGATGTTATGTGGATTCTTAAATGACACACCTGTGTCGTTGTCATATTTGTACTTTTGCATCCCCCCCCCCCCTCCAGCCCACCCAGTATAAGACCGATTTTTAAAGCCTCACAATTCAGTTATGCGATGATTTTCATCAGACTTGCCCCTAATCAAACAATTGTTTTGGAAATGAACTAAAAGTGTTTTTACAGTAAATTTGTCAGTTATTTCACCATTAAGATTTCAGCAAATATTTGCCTTTCAGTGGCTTAGATCATAATTTTAAATGAGCATGAAGTCTCTTATAAAACATTTAGGAATTAGTAAGCAAATTGTCAAACAATTTGCTTTAAGTCACCACATAACAATATTTGGAAAAACATTGGAAACCTTAGATTTGTAAAAGGTGTGGCAAAATAGTGCAAAAGTACTTCGTTTGCAGTGAGCATTCATATACATGTTTTCCTTTAATGTAGATGCTCTTTATATTATGATGAATAATAAAATATGTAAGTAATATGTATGATCATTTAATAGATTGCAGCAAAGATCAGTAGTGTTGACGGAGGAGGTAACGACTTGCCGAACGACATCCAAGGCCTAAAGCGCCCCCTTCAGGACAGTTTTGGAGGTAATCCTGATGATAGTGACGACTTTAAGAACATGCCCTTCATGTTTTCTGGTAAGGTGGAAAGGAGAGCGTGTCCTCTAGGCAGCTGCGGTATTTCTTTAGTTACCCTTCATGTGAAAGCCAAGGGAGAGTGGGGTACCAGTCAGTAATATACAGTTGATGTGTATACACAGTGGTTTATATGGCCAAGAACAATCTTGATTTAAAAGGAAGATAGTATCTTCATTTGAAGAAGTCTTTTTGTTTCATAATTGATAATTAAGTAATTGGCAAGGGAGTATAAACAAAAATTTAGTAGGTAAATTATATAGGTTAATGTTATGCATGCATATACTTAATAAAGTACAAGCCTTAAAAACAGTTACTTGTTAGATTACTGTAATAGTCTGGTTTACTGGTTAAGTGGGAACATTAAATAATTTACTAGAGGTCTAAAAAAAATGGTTACAAGGGAATGGAGTATATTAAAATGTGGGGGGGGGGGGGGGGGGGACCGGTAAACATACCACAGAGACTGTAACTGGCAATATTGCAGCTGTGTAGATTGGGATCTGTTGTTGTTGTTGTGTTTTGTGGCCAGTAGAATTAGATACCCCTTTTATCCTGCACTTTGTGATTTTTTCCTACTAAAATATTAGGTGTTTTTGTAATTTTAACCTTCTGAGTGAGTGCACCTGACTGATTGAGGATAGAATTTAGTATCTGTTTCCTTTCATGGGTAATTCTTTCTCTTCTTTTCACCCTTAAGTGATTTAAAAAAAATCTTAAGTCTTTGTTTTTAGCTTATTCTTTCATTTACTGACTGATTTGATGATAATTTTTTTAAAATGGATGTGACCTGTGTATTTTCATTGCATGATATATTTTTTTCAAGCAATTGTTACAATTTTTGTCATAGTATATTCATTGTTGAAAAATAATTTGCCATTTTTTTTTGTCTGCAATTAACTTTTGCATGAATTTTAGTGTTTTTATTAATTATTTATATAACTTACTGTTTCACATTTCACATAATTTACGCATTTCAAAATGTACCAATTTTTTTAAAGTTGAAAAAAATTGTTAAATACAAAGAGTGACACTTCAATGATAAATTAACAAAAGGTGGAACATGTATTTGATCTTCGTGTGTTTTATCACTTTTATTATAGCGCAACCAGAGGCTAAAAAACCAGCTTACGACCCCTTCAGCTCCAGCCTGGGATCTAATAACTCGGCCGCTGCAGAAAATGATCGTGAGTTAAAATTATTATATCTCTGACCAATTGTAATTTAAGTGTTTGGAACACACAGATGCTACTAAATAATTTGTACATTTGCTTAAAGGTTGCTATATGTGCTGCTGAGTAAGTTTATATTTTTAACATCTCTTTCCACAGTAAATACATTTTATCAGACAATTGATTAGTGTAACTTTTTCATTTGCATTTTATCTTATGCCTAAAGTTTTGAAGACAATTTAAGCAAATTGAAAATTCTGACACAAACATTCCAAATTTTTGGGATATTTAATGGATTTGTGAATAAAAATGTTCCGTTTATTTTCAGCAATAGGAGCCCAGTTACGAGCCATAGCAGAACAGCAGCGGTAAGGGGCATTTTCCGCTTCTTTCAAATTTGCTTTATGAAGTTTAGAAGTGTATTTTAAGCTAACATTAGATTATCCTTATTGTCTGATTCATGTCTTATTCTTTGACATTTGCTTTATGAAGTTTTAAAGAGTATTTTAAGCTAACATCAGATTATCCTTATTGTCTGATTCATGTTTGCCACCTTTTCATGCATTGGATATAAAGTGAATAAGGTTATAGTGTGTTGTAGAGCTTTATTAACTACTTGTTGGAGGAGGATTTTTTTTCTTTTACTAAAGCAGTTCTGTCAAAAGCCACATAGATTTATTGAACTTTCACGTAAGATTTTTAAAAAATGAATCGTTGTACCAGAGACATGATTTTTATATATCTATTCAAAGAAAAATTATCCATCAAAGAAAAATGGGCAGAGAATCCAAAGATTTTCACCATTTATCAAAAAAAAAATGCCAGCATTAGCTACAGTTACCTTATTCAACTTCAACTTCATATATATTAATGAGTTCAAGGAGAAAATATTCCAACTCAGAAAACTGTTGACCTGGCAATTGTTTCTGCCTTAAAATCCTGTGTGAATTGGCTACAGATAAAACTGACTTGTAGAAGAGGAAAAGAAAAGAAAAAAAAAATGTCAAGAGTGAATGGCTGTATGTATGCAAGCTGTGAGCGTGCCTGGTCTTTGGTTTTCAGGATGTCTCAGGCGCAGCAAGCGGCCCAGCAGATAGCCTCCAAGCTGAACCAGAACCTCGGGGCGCAGCCGACAATGCAAGTCCTGCCCGATGCAAGGTTTGTTGTGGGAGTTTGATTTTATAGGGAGATTGGATTAGTGTTGTTTATTTTGGAAGTTTGTAACTTGAACAGCAGTTGGATAAGTTGTACCAGCTGACTGGCATTTGTAGATTGTTTTCTGTTATGTATGTATGTGATCTGGCCAAAACATCACTTCAGTTTTCTGCCTAGTTAGTTGTAGAGCACTTACTCCTGTTTTGTAAAGTAAGCCTCAAATATATATTGGCAAGAAATGGATTAGATTGTTAATAAAAGTAATAGGCATCTTTCTTTAGAAATTATATCATATGTGCAGTAATGAGAGTGGTGATGTTTTATCAAATCTTATCATCAGGATGGGGAAAATACTATTTAGTAAACTTTTATGCTGGAATTAGAGTTGTTGAAGATTTGGCCATTCACATATATCTGTTTGTGTATTGCAGATGGTCTGAGAGGCCCCTCCCCCTTTCCACAAGGTCTGTTAATGCCTGTGGTGATTCGCTGTCTCGTCCTCACAACTCTGCATTGCCTGGCAAATCTAAGATGAGGCTAGGAACCGTGCACTCCTTGACCAGCTGATGTTTTCCAATCATATCGCTAACATTGTTANGTGTGTTTTATCACTTTTATTATAGCGCAACCAGAGGCTAAAAAACCAGCTTACGACCCCTTCAGCTCCAGCCTGGGATCTAATAACTCTGCTGCTGCAGAAAATGATCGTGAGTTAAAATTATTATATCTCTGACCAATTGTAATTTAAGTGTTTGGAACACACAGATGCTACTAAATAATTTGTACATTTGCTTAAAGGTTGCTTTATGTGCTGCTAAGTAAGTTTATATTTTTAACATCTCTTTCCACAATAAATACATTTTATCAGACCATTGATTAGTGTAACTTTTTCATTTGCATTTTATCTTATGCCTTAAGTTTTGAAGACAATTTAAGCAAATTGAAAATTCTGACACAAACATTCCAAATTTTTGGGATATTTAATGGATTTGTGAATAAAAATGTTCCGTTTATTTTCAGCAATAGGAGCCCAGTTACGAGCCATAGCAGAACAGCAGCGGTAAGGGGCATTTTCCGCTTCTTTCAAATTTGCTTTATGAAGTTTAGAAGTGTATTTTAAGCTAACATTAGATTATCCTTATCGTCTGATTCATGTCTTATTCTTTGACATTTGCTTTATGAAGTTTTAAAGAGTATTTTAAGCTAACATCAGATTATCCTTATTGTCTGATTCATGTTTGCCACCTTTTCATGCATTGGATATAAAGTGAATAAGGTTATAGTGTGTTGTAGAGCTTTATTAACTACTTGTTGGAGGAGGATTTTTTTTCTTTTACTAAAGCAGTTCTGTCAAAAGCCACATAGATTTATTGAACTTTCACGTAAGATTTTTAAAAAATGAATCGTTGTACCAGAGACATGATTTTTATATATCTATTCAAAGAAAAATTATCCATCAAAGAAAAATGGGCAGAGAATCCAAAGATTTTCACCATTTATCAAAAAAAAAATGCCAGCATTAGCTACAGTTACCTTATTCAACTTCAACTTCATATATATTAATGAGTTCAAGGAGAAAATATTCCAACTCAGAAAACTGTTGACCTGGCAATTGTTTCTGCCTTAAAATCCTGTGTGAATTGGCTACAGATAAAACTGACTTGTAGAAGAGGAAAAGAAAAGAAAGAAAAAAATGTCAAGAGTGAATGGCTGTATGTATGCAAGCTGTGAGCGTGCCTGGTCTTTGGTTTTCAGGATGTCTCAGGCGCAGCAAGCGGCCCAGCAGATAGCCTCCAAGCTGAACCAGAACCTCGGGGCGCAGCCGACAATGCAAGTCCTGCCCGATGCAAGGTTTGTTGTGGGAGTTTGATTTTATAGGGAGATTGGATTAGTGTTGTTTATTTTGGAAGTTTGTAACTTGAACAGCAGTTGGATAAGTTGTACCAGCTGACTGGCATTTGTAGATTGTTTTCTGTTATGTATGTATGTGATCTGGCCAAAACATCACTTCAGTTTTCTGCCTAGTTAGTTGTAGAGCACTTACTCCTGTTTTGTAAAGTAAGCCTCAAATATATATTGGCAAGAAATGGATTAGATTGTTAATAAAAGTAATAGGCATCTTTCTTTAGAAATTATATCATATGTGCAGTAATGAGAGTGGTGATGTTTTATCAAATCTTATCATCAGGATGGGGAAAATACTATTTAGTAAACTTTTATGCTGGAATTAGAGTTGTTGAAGATTTGGCCATTCACATATATCTGTTTGTGTATTGCAGATGGTCTGAGAGGCCCCTCCCCCTTTCCACAAGGTCTGTTAATGCCTGTGGTGATTCGCTGTCTCGTCCTCACAACTCTGCATTGCCTGGCAAATCTAAGATGAGGCTAGGAACCGTGCACTCCTTGACCAGCTGATGTTTTCCAATCATATCGCTAACATTGTTATTGTTATACTTTAGTATAAATGATGCAAAGGTAGTGTAGAAGCAAGTAGTTTGGTTTGTATTGGCAGGTTTATCTTTAAAGGTTGGCCTATAGCATGACCATTGACCATGTGAATTCTGAAGATGGAACTTTGGTTAATCTCATCTTTTTCAGTATCTCACCATTAAAAACATTTTCTTTTTATTTCAAGCGCCATAATCAAAGCACCATTTTACCTTTCAGCTTCATGTACTAATACGCCCTTTCTTCCAGGCAGGCCTTTATGAAGCACATATTCATCAGTATTCTTTCTTATGTATCGTATTTAGAGCTCAGCAAGCAGCCCAGGCTGCACAAGAGGCTGCAGCAAGAATTAACCAGCAACTTGGGATTGCCCCGGGACAGCAGCAGCCACCCCCACAACAACCCCAGCCAACCCCCTCTGGTATGGGCATGACTGGGGTTGGGCCTCACGCGGGACTGGGCATGGTACAGACAGAGGAGTTCCATGTGCCAGACAAAATGGTTGGACTGAGTAAGTGGTTTTAAATTTGTAGGGTAGTTTGTAGCAGATAAAAAGTTGCAACTTGGGTCTTAAGCCTGGGCTGGGCTTCTCGAAAGGTTTTGCTATGTTGCGCACGTGCGCAAGCGTCTCGATTCCATAACCGATTCTATTTCGAGATACGGGACCATGGAAACGAGACGCTTGCGCACGTGCGCAACTTAGCAAACCTTTCGAGATACGGAGCCCTGGTATTCTTGATTAGAGAGGCCATCCAAATTCACAATTTATGGTTTTATGGATCTAAATGACCTCCCCTCTTTGTGTTTATGTAAGCTATAAAGCTTCAGTATATTTTTCAGTCCGTCTATACCGTTTGCCTAACAATCTATTATTCTCTCGTCTCTAGTAATTGGTAAAGGAGGTGAACAGATCAGTCGTCTTCAGGCAGAGTCCAGCTGTAAGGTGCAGATTGCCCCTGACAGCGGTGGTATGCCAGAGCGTGTATGTACTCTCACTGGAACTAGAGATGCTATAGAGTAAGTTAATGTCACTTGGAAATTGATCAGTAATCATTGCTTTAGAGTATCAGAGAGTATCACTTTTGGCTCCTTAAATTAGTAAAATTTCTGCTTTTTATTTGAACGGGAAGTTCAGAAACTTTGCTTGATTTTGTTTTTTATGTTAAAAAATGGACATTTCATAAGAGGTTGGGGTTGTCATATTTTTTCTACTCTGTTTGTTTGGACAAAATTAAAAACGTTGCAGCCAGTAATGAAAATTGGCCAACTAACCAGCCGCCAGTAGCTTAACAAATTTACACCAATTTTCAGTATCATGGCTACAGTTTTACTGCCATAAGACCAATGTTAAAGCCTACAAACATTTGGAATGAGAATGGGTCCTTTTGGTTTCAGGAAAGCCAAGCAGATGATGAATTCCATCATCCAGAAAGGCCAGAGTGCAGCTGCTCCCATGGATCCCAATGCTGTACAAGATGGTCAGACTGTACTGGAGATCATGGTGCCAGGCAATAAAGTGGGACTAGTCATCGGGAAAGGAGGAGAGACAATTAAACAGCTGCAGGTATGGCTTTCTACTGACTTTATTTATTTTCAGTTGTTTAAGTTATTTATTTTTATTCTCATATATTTGCAAGTTCAATCTGGACTGCAGGATAATAGTAAATGCTCAGCCAAAATGTTTTTGTTTTGATTGAAAAAAATTTATATTCAAACTCAAATGGGTTGAAGTATTTCCAACATTTGTATTACATGATTGCAAGCACCTCCCCATATCAAGGATTGTGTAAGTATTGTAAATATATGTAAATAAGTATGACAGTACAATACAATATATTGTATTATAATCCTCAGGAGCGTGGAGGTGTGAAGATGGTAATGATTCAGGACAGTAACCAGCCCACCCACATGGACAAACCTCTGCGTATCACAGGAGATCCCATGAAAGTACAGGTAACACACACTGATTTGGTACACTCTGAAAGCTAAAACAAACTGCTCTGTATGTGGGACTATTTAATAATTAAATATAAAGGTATTGTTCTTTAAAATTGAATTTTATTATCTAAATAAGTGTGTTAAGTGTGCTTGGTGTTGGTAAGTTTGCTGATTTTTCTCTCTCTTAACATTTGAGTTAAGAATGATTAAATTAAAAAACTGAAAATAAAGACATATTAATAATGTGACTCTGTGGTGTGGAGATAACAGTGTGGTTCAGCACAACCTAGAGCCCACCACTTGCTTCCCTGGGTGTCTGGGTGTAGATATTGTGCTACATGAACTTGCAGAACTTTCTTTTCTGGTTTTAGCTTTTTGGCTGAAACTTCTTGACATGTTCTGCAACAGCTGAGTGGATAAAATGGGTGGAACATAAACTAAGAAAAAAGTCACAAATGCATCTAGGAGTATATATTTGTCAAGTTATACAAATACAGTAACTGATTCTTATAATTTATGCTTTCTTTTATGAATTTCAGAGAGCTAAAGACATGGTGATGGACCTCATCACAGAAAAAGAGATTGAGGTAGATATGAAGTTTTATTGTCATTTGTTCAAGGAAGCATAATAAATGTGTATTTCATTAAACCTTGTAGTATTTGTTTGTAATTATAGTGAATAGTTGCTTTTAAGGAAATCAATGTTATTGTACAGGCTGTACAACAATAGTGGACTTTAAGAAAGGGATACAAAATATGCATAAAATGTGCTATATTGATTAGACATTTTCAATCCTTTCTTATTGTAGAGTATGCAGAAGCATGGAGGAAGGTTTGGCAATGAGTATGGAGGTATGGGAGGAGGCGGTGGTTCAGAGGTAAGAATGGTAATACTGTTGTGCTAAAGTAAGCAGTAAACTTAAAATCTCAGATCTTTATATCCTAATGGGTGGAAGATATGGTGTTTATCATCTGGAGTTGTATGTTGTACATTTCATTGCTTGAGGCACCTTGATTCGCAATGTTTTGAATTCTGGCAACAACTTCCCAGTTTCCATAGGAATTTTTTGCAATGCAGTGCTTCAAAGACCTTTGTTTGATTAAAATGATGACATTATTGTTGGAGCAGTCTGTGCCCAAATCATGAGAGTTTACAGGCCCTTAAACTCAAAATAGTCTGGAAGTTGACCGAGTCAAAACAGAAACATCTTAACTAAACAACTCTACAAAATTTTACTGGCCTGACTTGAAATTTACTGGCTTTACACAAGAATAAATTGGTTAACATCCCAAACATCCCAGACTAGTGGGGTACAGGAAGTATTAGTATCTGATCAGTGGTACATCTTTCCACTTTCAGATTAACGTGCCCCGCCAGGCTGTAGGTGTGGTGATAGGTAAACAGGGAGACATGATCAAGAAGATTCAGCAGGAGACAGGTGCTAGGGTGCAGTTCAAACCAGGTATTTAAATGGGGCTGAGTAAAATCATTTCCATAAAAAGGTCAATTGAGTTGACAAATTTAAAGCATGCAATTCACTGGGGTCTTTATTTATGGTAAACTTTTTTTGGCACCTACTCTCAATGGTTGTGATATTTTTTCACCTAAATAAAATCCTATTTGATTTTACCTGATAATTGTGGAATCATTTCATATCCATTTTTTAACAGCAAGGAATAGCACCATTTTCCCATCTGAAGTATGTTCTTAATTAATGTGATCTATGTGTGGATGTTTCAGATGATGGTGCCCCAGACAGGCTGTGTGCCATTACTGGACCACCAGACAAAGTACAGGAAGCCATTGAAATGATACAGGAATTGATAGAGGGAGTCATGGTAGGTTCCATTTTCTCCTCTGTTTTTCAATGGAAATTCAGCCTGAAAATTGGTCTTAATTTTGAGTCCCAAAGTTTAATCTGTTAAGTCACAAGAGAAGTCCCTAGTCCTACAATTAACTGAAGTATTGGAGCTGTATTATAACAAGAAATGCAGGATTTGAACCAATACTTAGTGAAGTAGACAACTGAATTCATCTGAATTTACCAGGAATTGTAATAGATTTTAAAGAATCCTGTTCAATCCTGTTCATGTAGGTCAGTGTATGTTACACAAGTATCACATTGAACATCTGCTTGACCTTATTAACTGACCCATGCATTTTTGATAATGCTAAGAATACATTACCAATGACTTCTCACTGCACATAATTAGAGCCCAGTCAGCCAACACAGTGCTCCCTGGGTGTCAACTTGTGCTAAATAAAACCGTGGAGGATTCGCTAACACCAGTAAGGTCTGCTGAGGTGGACCTCTTGACTGGGGTTTGATAGTAGACTTCTGCACACTAGCCTCGGTTTTAGAGCCTCATGTGGACCAGGCTCTTCACTTTATACTTCCTTATGTGCTCCCTTGCAAGGTTTGAGCTTCAGCGGCATTTTGAGCTTCAGCGGCATTTGGTTGAGGTCCAGTGTGAGAGAGAGAGAGAGAGAGACCATTATGTATTTGAAATTCCAGAATTTCACCTATAATATTCAAAACATTTGTTCTTCTAGACCCAAGGAGGTCCCCCAGGCAGAGGTGGTTTTGGAGGCAGGGGCCGTGGACGAGGACGTGGTGGATTTGGAGGGGGTGGCAGAGGAGGTGGCCCCCCAGGGGGTGGTTTTGGGGGTGAGGGCGGAGATGGTGGATTCCAGGATGAAACTACTTACTCTGTACCACAGGAGAAATGTGGATTAGTTATTGGCAAAGGTGAGGATGTGAGAAAATGATTTGTCTTTGATTTTTCTATTTCCAAAAGTCTACCATTTGACCTGATTGAGATTGAATGCTCTTTAATCCACCAAGCTTTTATCAGACATCCTAAGTTTTATATTGCAACCTTATTTTTCCCTGCTCTATACCCGTTTAGTTCCCTTGTAGAATATTAAGCATATATGAATGTATCCAAATGCTGCTGTGTGTACTTTAAAATAGGACTCCAGCACCAGTCATCAAATAGAATAATAAATTGTACTATATCTGGCCATGTCTCAGTTGCTATTCATCATATCCAGGTGGCAGCACAATCAATGAAATCAAAACCCAGTCTGGTGCTCACGTGGAGCTGGACAGGAACCGCCAGCCACGCCCCGGCGAGAAACTCTTCATTGTCAGAGGCAACCCGTCCCAGATCCAGCATGCTATAGGTCTCATATGTGAGAAGGCTGGACTGGTGAGTGAATAGTTGAATGTAAAGATAGAGAGAAAAAGAACAAAGACTTTTAAAAGATTTTGATGTCATAACACTGCTTTCTGAAAAAAGTACCATTACTGTACAATCTTGTGGCTAAAAAAATGCGACAAAACCCATGATAATGTTTGATAGAACTGAATCTAGGTATTTAATATTTTTATTCATTGTTTTATTCAGCCACCACCCCAGGGGGGTCCACCAGGCCCAGGGGGACCAGGTGGCCCTGGGGGTCCACCAGGGGGACCAGGGTAAGTAGCGCTATGTGATATATGATAGAATTTCAATGTATAGTAAAAGAAAATATGGTTAGAGTTGTAGTTTGTTTAAGAAGGGAATTTGTATGCTTTGTTTCATGTTGCAGTAACAACAAATTGTTTTGGTATTTGGAAAAAGCACAGAACAGGTATCTGAATGAAAAAAAAAATTATTTATTTATTACAGGCAGCAGCCTCCTCCTCAAGCCTATGCCCCCCAGGGCTGGGGTAATGCATATCAGCAGTATTCTAATCCTAATGATCCAAGTAAGTAACAGCCAGTTTTTACAAGTGAAGGATCGCTGGGTGCAACATGGCAAATAATTTGTAATTGTACTATAAGTCATGGCTCAAAACGTTTATAATAAAATTAATAAATATTACTGACCTTAAGCATGGGGCTAACACCAATTTCCTGACTATACTATTTGTCAAAGGTGCTGTTGGCATACCTTACTGGTTTAAAAGATGACATAAAGAACTTGATTGTTGTTTTGGAAAGTATAGCTCAGTGCCCATCTTTTTTTCAGACAAGCAGGCGGCTGATGCCAATGCAGCGGCGTGGGCAGCTTATTATGCACAGTATTATAATCAGGGAGGTCAAGGTCAAGGTCAGCCATCTCAGCAGCCCCAACAACAGCAGCAGCCTCAGCAACAGCAGCAGCCCGCTGGAGCCACTCCAAGTAAGGGTCTTGTATTGTGAATTTTACCCTGTTCTAAAACCTTTCGAGCCCTACAGAGCCTTGGGGGCACCTTGGTGTAGAAACCTACTCTCCCAGAGCAGGATCTGTAACCAGTGTAGACATATTGGCAAATGGTGCCAGTGGTCTACATCCCAGTCTGAAATTGCAGCCAAATTTTAGTTGGTTGAACCAAATGACCAAATTAATTCACTAGCTAGAGATCTGGGTACATGAGTTTTGATGGGAACTCCCCCTGCAATTGCACCCACTTAGTCAAGAAATACTATCCAGCTAAGATGGTAAGGTCAAACTCTGAGATGTAATGATTCCAGGGGTTTCCAAGCACTTGATATGATATCCTACCTTTTAACTTGGCTGATGCAACTTTTCCAGAGAATCCCCAAATTTCTTGGGCATTAGAATCTGTCCCAGTTTTATCCAAGGTTTATTATTACAGCCACTTTAGATAAAAGGCTTCCTTTCCACCTCAGGTATGAACCCCTCCACAGGACAGCCTGACTACAGCGCACAGTGGGCCGAGTACTATCGCCAGCAAGGGCTGCACCAACAGGCCGATGCCATCTTGGCCTACGCCAGGCAGCAGCAGCAGGGAGGGCAGCCGCAGGGCCAGCAACCATATCAACAACAGCAGCAGCAACCACAACAACAGCAGCAGCAGTATCAGTAACTGTGAGATGACAGCGATGGCATCAGCAGCTTAGTGGTATGATTCTTAGCCCTATATCAATATAACATGCTTCCACAATATGTCCATATTCACAAGCTGTTTGTGTGTGTTGCAAAGTGTTTTATTTATTTATTTTTCTTGATTACTGCATTTCCATCTGTCTTGTTTTTTTTCATCAGACCACAGTTTTTTTCAGAAGCTGCGTTGTCGCTGATGATGTTTCAAGGCTGTTTGTTATCTATGCACCCTTTGTTTTTTATTTTTCATTTGCTTGGTAACTTGAAGCACTGTAGATTTTGATTGTTACTGTACAATTTATTCAATTTTATATTGAAATTGGGGTTTATTTTGGTGGAATCGGTATATATGTGCTAAATCTGAAATTATCTTTGACAGCTTTCCATATTTTCATGTAGCTGAAATTAATTACTAATTTGAATAATCTTTTCCAAAAATGCTTTAATATTTTTCAATCTTTTATGTTTATCATTAAATGTAATTTAACTAACAACTGAATAATCTCTTTATTTAACTATTCAATTGTATCTGTTTTCTCTCTCTCATCTCTATTCACCAATCTGCAGCAGATTCCCCACCATCTTTGTCAAGCATGTTCTTCTCTCTGTTCACATGTACTAAACTCACACATGATTAAATTGATACTTGTTATTTGAGATATTAAACTGCCCATAGGGTGTGCTGTCGTGACTTGAATGTAAATGTTTTATAAACATTCCTTGCATTAATATGAATTTTATTTAAAAGAAGGAAGCAAGGCCCGGGCGCCTTTGCCTGTTTCAGAATCAATATAATGGGTAAGTATAAAGATATAAATATGATTAACGAGATTTCAACTCTGCTCTCTTTGACATGTTGGTTTTTTCTCCTTGTTCTTTTTAGGTCTGGTGTGTTACGGAAGATGATTTCTCCTCTGCGAACTTTGAAATACATGTATTGAAAATGAAAAAAAATATTCATGCATTTGCATTGAGTCATTATGATTATTGCTGCATATAATGATGTACCTGATGATGTTGATGATGCGATTTGACATTGATATTGTTGTATTTCTGGTACTATTTGTGTTTTATGTTTCTTTTATGTAAACAGTTAAATAAGTGAGTCTCAGAGATAGCTAGCTAGGATGTTGTATTTTGTATTATATGATAATTTTGTGCACTTGAGACAAACTTGATGGTAGTTTTGAATATTGTAGATAAAGAGATGAAGATAAATATTTTATCATTCTGTACCCATATGAAATTGGTTATAGTTTTACCATTCCATTGTACAAATAGAGACATTGTTTAAAACCATTATTTTGGATGAGAGAGAGAGAGAGGTTTAAATGAGTTGTTCTCCAGTTTCCAATATGACAGCGTTGCCCAGCAGTCAACAAGAGGTTTGCATGAAAACCTCAAATCAGAACATTTTCTTGTAAATAAAACCGTTCACAAATATTACACTTAACCACATTTCAGAATGACATGCATATGTACTATATTTTCCCCCCGTCTCAGCATGTGAAGTTTTTCATCGACAGCTTTGACATTGGTTAATTAATTAGAAGACCATTGGTTTTTTATCATAATATGAACTGTTTATGGAGTGGGAGGAATAAGATTTGTTGTAAAAAGTTAATATTGCTACAGATGCAGTTTTCATCCAAAGGGAAAGAGATCTACGTGGTTCTTATTGGTAAATGCATAAGCAAAATGGTCATCTATTTGAATTGATTATGGATTAATCGCATTATTCTCTTGTCGGGTTATGCCACTCTAAATCAGACTAACACTTGTGCACATACATGTAGAAAGAAAAGTTTCATTATATGTCTTTGTTTATATCTGATTCATGAATATATTGGACATTTAAGAGTTGATCTGACATTGCATTTTTACACAACATTTGGGATTTGCATCCTTTTAGAAATATTCTCCCAATTTATGCTAAATGCTGTTGCTGTGGTATGAAGAATTGTTTGATTATATGATCATATTGTTTATTTTTTGCTTGTTGAAAAAATAGGGAAAATTTGGTTTTTAATTTTGTAGGCATCTAATGCAAATAGAGGCAGCGGCGAAATCCTGGACACGTGCGGCAATCTGGTTTTATGGTTGAAATATATTATTTAGCGTGCATATGTATTTCTGCTTATTGCTGTACATTATATATACATAATATGTTACATTCAGAAAGAGAAATGTGCACTTAAAATTGTTTATTTGGTTCCAATTCTGTGTTCTACTCAATTTTTCATGTACCATGAAATGTTTTGTTATTTTTAAGACCCATTAGTACTTAATATTCAGGTGCTGCAGCAAGGCAGAGTTGGAAATACTCTGAAGACACGGCATGACATTTTTGCACAAGATGTCCTTACTTGCAATGATACTGTTAATCAGTTGTTATGTATTACTTTTCTAAAACGTATATTGTTGCTCTTAAATTTTACTTGAGAGGGGAGGGGAAGGTCGGAAAACAAAAAGTTAAAAACATTTAACACTGAAATAAACGATTAACAGTATCTTTTGCACCAGTCAACTTACCTGTTTGTAAAGAAGAAAATAGTGGTTTGGGATTTATGTTATAAATGCACATGGTCATCTTTTGTGAATTTTTATGAGATCGTGTAGATGCCTCTGTTGCATGATTTTGCAAACTAGGTCTCAGAAGTGAAACCATAAGAGAAAGGTAAGGCCATAAGAATTGGGAATGCAGAATTATCATTATTTTTATGAATTGCCATTTGTTTAAAGGTGATGCTTAGATCAGTAAATTTCTTACAGCAAACTTCAAGCTAGGGTAATGAGCGCATACATGCCTAACTTTGTAAATACATTGGAATGTTTCCTCTTTTTATAGATGATGTAATGCTCATTATTGATAAATGATTGGAAATATGGTGTGTGTATCTACAGTGTCTTTGTATTCAATATTATGGATTCTATTAAATGCTTCACATATATGTTGCTGTGTGTGCGTGCGTGCGAATGCACCCACGGACATGGCGTGTCTTATTGTTTTTTCTTGCAGCCCATTTTGGGGTGGGGATGAAGCACCTCTTGTTTCAGAAAGAAATATGCCATGCGGAACTGAGAATTAATCGGTCTTTGTCATTCTTACTATCAACTGTATATTTTGAAAATTTGACGTGTATATGATTTGTAAAACCATTTTTCTCGGTGTCCTGTGTATATGTGAGATTTCTTGGAACTTTTGCATACCTTTGATAACTAAATGAAATTTTTGTTATACATGGCCCTGGGAAATATTTTGAATACACAACCCTGAAGTTTAATATTATTGTGATTTTCTCTTTTAAATATTTTGAAAAAAAAAGCACTTATATCACATGCATATTTTGATTGTAACAGACATTCATACAGATACATTTTTGCATTTAGATTAAAGACGATACTTTTACCTTTCAATGTGAATAATGAAAGAAGAAAGTTTTGTTGATAGATTTTTTATCAAGGTGCCGTTTGTTTACTTTGTGAAAAGCAATGTAGTTCTGGGACAAAAATCAGTTGGTTATTTGTCGAGTGCATGGATGCTAATAATATGTAATCAAAAGATTAACACGTAGCGTGCTTAAGTACATGAGAAAAAATAAATATCGTGTAAATTCTGAGAGCAATTGCTTTTCCTCAATCAAACCGCATCTCCGTTATAGCTTTTTTTATAGAGATCGAAATCTATTTTATAGAAACCTTGTCCTGTTTGTTTGTATTTTTAATTTTCAGTTCAATAAAGTCTGATTAAAATAAAAACGGCAAAGTTTTCGCGTAATACCTTAATCCCTTCTGTTCTTAATAAAAGGCATGTTTTTCCCTGTCACGAATAAAACAACTCTGTGAATTGGTGGAAGGGTGGGGGTCATTCTCGTGTCCGAATTTTGGCGTGTGAAAAGCGGCATCGCCACACCAAGTGCAAATGTTTTGTGTGTAAATATTGCCCCTTGTCTTTCTGTGGAACCACAACGCCGTATTGGATATGACCAAGTGCGCATTCGTGATTGGTGTGGTAACCTTCAATGAAACTTAACACTTTAAGTATGAGATAATGCAATGTCACCCGAGACCAGTATGCCAGACTCGATATAGCTTGGTGAAAAAAAAAGCCAGAATGCACCTGACCCGAGGTCTTGATACACTTCTCTCATGTAAAATTCTAGTACGTTGAGCTCATTTGTGCCCCGATTCCGCCAATTTTGGTGCATACTGCAAAGCTCACCAAATCGGTGCGTAAATAAGCACCTGTGTTTTACTTCTTGGGCGCATTTGAGACGAAGAAAGCCAATATATGTAGTCACTCGGTTCACATAGTATGTTGTGTGTAGAAGAGAAATTACAAGAATTATCAACACACACGACGGTAAACTATTCTTTCAGAAAGAAATTTCTGACAACCAGAACTCCTTTACGCGGAGTGAAATTCGGGCGTGGGGTTAACTTCAAAATACGTCTTACAAAAATTAGTGATCGGCCTCAGTTTATGGTGACGGCAAATTGTGTACATGCAGTTGGACAAAAGGTATAGAAAGTACTGTAACTGAATGTAGGTTAAATTGGCTGAATTTCCAGCTAGTTTTTATAAATTAACAGTAGAAATTACCGCGTAAAATGCTTTCTTTAAACAAATTTTTCAAAGAAAAAAAATTTAAACTTCATAAAATTGACCCAAAAATGCAGTACTTTCTCGAACTTCTCTTTATTTCCTGTGACTTGCTAATTTCACTTTGATGTTTGTAATAATTTATGACCACGTTTTGTATTACACCCTTCAGAATTATGTCGTGCAAACTCCAGTACTGCCAGTGCCTGCACACAGTTTACTCTAAAGACCTCACTACCCTGTACCAGGGTGGCAGATTCTATAGGGAAAAAATGGCTGTCTATTTATCTAGGAACTTATCTGTGAAATGTCTTGGAGGGGGTAAATCCTCACCACCTTGATGATGGAGAGAAGTTTTTTGTAAGCTCGGAACTTGTCTCCGTTTTTTCACTAAAGACGGTAGCCAATATTACAGGACCTTCTGTTGAGAAACTAAATTTAATACAAGGCGGCGGCCAAAGAACGCTGCCCGAGTTTAAAATCATTGTGAAGCTAATCTGTGTTGTGTACTTCTGCTGCAGGTGCTACAGCTGGTAAAATTAAACCAGATAATTATGTGGATTATGCAAATTTGCATATTTCAGTTCAGTTCTTAAGTTTTCCACCAAATGATGGTTTGGTGTACAATTTAATTTCAAGAGTCGAGGAAAACAATGAATAGTCCTAAATATGAGAAAATCCGTGTCCATCTGCAGAGATTTGAAGGTTTTAGGAAACTATGTCGAATTCCCTTGATCTTGCCACGTGATTTCATGTCCGTGGCCGAGGAAGCACCTAGTCTTTGTGACTGTTGCTTTGTACTTACGCCTTTTTACTGTAAATAGCCTCAGTAAATGGGGCTTCAAACATGATAGCGATCTTGTAAACCACAGCTTTCCAGAGAGCGAGCAAAAGGCCTGCATGGCTAGCTTGTATAAGAGCTCCACCAAAGAAGTTCATAACAGATCCAAAATACATAGGGTTGTCCATAATGTTATATGGGAAACTGGTCACCTTTTCATCAAGCAAAATGCCAAAATAATCTCCCAAAAATGTCCCTGTGATTCCCAGAGCGTAGGTACTAGTCACGACCAGCGTGACCCCAATGAATACAGAGACGTATCCAGACCAGAGAACCCAGTCACTGGACAACTCGGGAGACTTGGGCTGGCTTTGAAGAGCCAGGCTGAACTTCCCATCCCTGTAAATGCCTAGTATACATATCGCAGCTGTCAAGACATAACATCCTATGTATGGGGACCCGCAAAGTCTGTTGAGCAGATGGGTTCTGTATTCCCACCTGGCCACCACATTCCAAAACAGTGGACTGAATGCAATACACAGAGCAGCAACCCACAAGTTAGGGTCTGCGAAGTTGATCCTCAGTTCTGGGACTTCCATACCACGGGAGCTACACTGTGAGGTAATCCTGAACGTTCACAATAAAGAAATAAATAATTGTGAGATAATTTTGAATGTTCACAATAAAGAAATAAGTAATTGAGAGATAATCCTTAACGTTCACAATAAAGAAATAAAATGATTCGGCTTGCACCCAAAACTGAAGGAAATTTATGACCTAGCTAGCCCCCAGCTCGTTTCAATCACAAATCACGAGTGGTCTTTTCTCCACTCCAGTATATTCTGCCTACAGCAATCGGGTTTATCGGCAATCCTTACATGTCTGTCCATACACTTAACATTTCAATATATTCTCTTATCACAAACGTGATAACTTTATGACTTTCAATTAAAATCCAATAACTTGAGTTATAGACATTTTAAAAATGAATTTTCTCCGAAAAAATTACGGTGGACTTCTGACGATTAAAGTATGTAATTAAACTTCATTCAGAAAAAAAAATCCAGAAGCTTGAAAGTAAGGTCTTAAAGTTGATCCTCACTCCTGGAACTTCCATTGCATTGCAGCTACACTGTGAGATAATCCCGAACATTCACAATAAAGAAATTTTTAAAAAATTAATAATCTGGCTTGCACCCCCCCCCCCTTTTAAAAAAGTTAAGAAAGGTTACGGCTTGGCTAGCCCCCAGCTCGTCTTAATCACAAGTCACGAGTGGTCTTTTCTCCACTCCAGAATATTCTGCCCACAGCAATCGGGTTTATCAAGGACCCGTACATGTAGCAAGGCTCACTGGTCAACACACTCTCTTAACAATTTGATATGTTCTCCAAGCAAAAACATGATAACTTTATAAGTAATACTACTACTACTAATAATAATAATAATAATAATAATAATACAATCATTAAATCAATAAAAATGATAATAAAAGCGTGCCCATTAATAAATCTCAGTCATACGTCACTGCTATTGCCGCAGGGTTAGATTTCAGAAGAGAAATCATAATGTAACATGTGTAAGGTACCCTGTATTTTTCTTTTGGATTCTAGGATGTGTGCTACCCCCTCCTTCCGGGGTGAAGCAAGTTCGCACGCTTGTACAATGTACTTGATGGTTTAAAACTGAATTTGTTCTGAAAAAAAATTACAGTGTACTTCTGGCACTTAGATCTATAGATCTTCTACAATTAAGATATGAAAAATATCTAGAAGCCTGAAGGTAATAGTATTCCCTCCATCTCAATTTTTATAAATAAAAAGGGGCAAACTAACCCCACCTTACCCTACACAAAAAAGCCTCGGTAGACACGTCTCGTTACATGCCTTTAAATCCACGAACGGACAAGAACATGTACGCCATCACCAAAAGTTCAATTACTTCTAGTTAATAGGCCTACACGTGCCAACAGATCTTTAAAGTGGCACATGGACCGAGCCCAAAAAATGCATTTTTACAATTAGACAAATGGTCCTTATTGACAATGACCTATATAAAAGAGAAGCTCAACAGGAGAGTGCGAGAAATTTGACAACAACAGTAAGGGAGGATGGCAAGGGCCTATTGATTCCTTTACAAGTACTAAAAACGAGACCATTATACAATATATAGGCCCTATATATATATTTACAAATTTTGAGCTGCAAACGTACTCTGTGGCTTTATTCTTAACTTGAATGGATCTATTTATCGTTATTTAATTTTTTATCTGAAGGCACTTTCATCCAATGGTGCTCGGATTTATCGACTCTATTATGTTTCTATCGGCAACGTCGATTTAACGGTAAAAGATATATATTTTATTAACATTATCATTCACTCAATATTGAGTTTTGTGGAAGTGGTGTGACATCATGGGGATACGCGAGTGTAAGACGCAGGTATAATTTTTAGGATAAAGTGTTGTATTCGAACAACGAGTGGACTTTAATCATATCCACATCTGTTCTGACCTTGACCGTTCATGAACAGTTTCGGTCACAACCTCTCACCTAAAACTAGTCATACCTGTTGTGATTTGCATAACAATAAGTTGCTCCTCCTAGTGCGAGCTGTCTTCCAGAATACTCACTTGGCAGTTGGACACCGTCAGGTGAAGACGCTTCGATATGTGTGGTGCTGTCGCAAGGTTGGGCTTTTATAAGGCGTAGAAGCTAATAATGTTTTGTAAGTATTTTAATTACTTTAGTCACACCGTCATTAAATACTACAACTAAAATCGCAGATATGCGTTAAGTATCTAGCATGTTTAAGGCCGAAAACTGAAGCAAATTTGTGGCGCTATTTTGAGAAGTAGATAACCATTATTATAACTACACAGGCATAAGGTTACATATAACTTCTTGTTTTAGGTATATTATTTCTTTCAGAAGAGACTTGTGTCGACTTGAGCATTCTCCTTTTGCTTTGGATGAGAAGCTGTCAAAGGCCGTTTGGCAAAGTATGTATGCCTTATATAATACTGCACACATGCACATACACACGATATACGTACATTTATCAGTATGTCAATTGCTCATTATACAATGCACGATAAACAGGTAAATATTTAACACTGTCCGTCTTTTCCAGTGCTGTTCATACATACACTACACGAGCAACTAAACTGGAACTTGATTGTACTTGCATACAAATTACGTGTAAAATATCTGATATATTCTTCAAAGAGAATTTTCAAATGAGATCTATTTGGCGCTTCTCTGAAATGCGACAAGTTACCCCGCCCCCCAACGCGTGATGCATAGCTGTTAAAGATATTATAACATTCAATATTAAGTTTAAATATTAGCGACAACAGTAAGCTTTTGATTTTAATGTGTCTTTTTAACCAGATCTCTCAGATAGTTGTATAATTATTTCATCTCAAACAACCTCGATTTCAGCCTTATATGTTTTTCTGAGCTAGCTGAACCTGAAGTTCTGACAAGTCAATAAACATGCACGTCATTTCAATTTTAAGTGCCCTCACCTCTGTGGCAGTGTAAGTCCTGTTCCAAGAACCTGTCCGTTTAGTCAAAACTGTAAACAATATTTTCTCATTTCAGAAGCTCCGAGATGCCGCACAGCATTTGCCTGCAAACCACCTAGCCTTGGGTTAACATTCAGGAACCTTACTCCCCTTCTTGCATCTGTTATATTAAAACTGAATAAATAATTTTGTAATTCTGTTGGTTTTCATTTGGATATGAAGCAATGATAGATATGAAGTAATAATGATTATGAGTAAAATTATATAGATATGATAAATATTGAGCACTTTCAAAGTCGGTTTGCTAAAAATAATCTATGAATATTGTTTTTGGGATTGATGGTTTTTTTATGGCACCTTGAGATATTTAAAATGGTTATGCCAAGTGTTTCGTAAAGAGGGGAATTAAATATTTTAATTGCTTTAACCCGCTGAAAGAATATGTATTAGATTTTGCAACAGCCCAGATTAATAACTTCAATTTCATTTACAATTTTGCTTTGTGAATTTTTTTTCAAAATTTTGCATATCCTTTGGAACAAAGTCACTTGTCCTCTCGGATAGAATTTTCCTGACCTTTCTTAATATTTATAGTCTGGATCCATTTATTTTGCGTTTTTTTTATTGTCTGCCACACATAAATTTATAGTTAAATATCTTCATATGAATACTTCATGTTTAAATTTGTACAGAAATGAGAAAGACAAAGATTCTGAAGTAACATTAAACCGCACTTTTTTAGATGGCACCGGTATATACTCAGGAATTGTCTATATTTTCTAATTGTATAAGATTAATCGAATCTTTCAATTCTTGTCCTAATTGGAATAACATTTAAAATATATTACCTTTTCCTTCATGTTTTATTGTGACCGATTTTGAATTCCACAGATGTGCAGTCAATTTTATACAAACTTTAAATATTTCTCAGCCTGCCAAAATTTGAAATCCTTTACTCCTCAGAACTTTGCTAATAAAGTCATTTTTTAATATATGGTGTTCTCTTTGGTGTGTTACCCTGCTCCTTTTTTTGCAGGTTGGTTCCATTATTTTTTGCTTGCTTGCTTATTCCCATTTCATTATTTTCACCGTCTGCCTGCTTCCCTCAAATGAAATTGACTTTCCCCACCTGTCATTTGCCAAACTTGTCACCCCTCGAATACAATAGACTCGCCCCACCTGTCATGAAATGGAATGGACTCTCCAGACCTGTCACCCCTTGTATCGAATGGACTCGCCCCACCTGTCACCCCTCAAGTGGAATGGACTCTCCCAACCTGTCACCCCTTGTATCGAATAGACTCGCCCCACCTGTCACCCCTCAAGTGGAATGGACTCTCCCCACCTGTTACCCCTTGTATCGAATGGACTCGCCCCACCTGTCACCCCTCAAGTGGAATGGACTCTCCCAACCTGTCACCCCTCGAATCAAATGGACTCGCCCCACCTGTCACCCCCACGAATCAAATGGACTCATCCAAGCTGTCACCCCCTTGAATAGAATGGACTCGCCCCACCTGTCACCCCTAAAATACAATGGACTTGTCCGAACTGTAACACCAAGTGTTATTGCAATGGAGTCGCACTAATCACACTCATTTCAAATTGGAACACAGATTTTTTTAATTTGAAATTTATTTTTGAATAAATTTAATGACAGAAAATAGTGGTGTTCATAATTAAATATACAAAATATATATAAGGACATTTATTTTGACATATGCAGTAGTAAAGAATACCTGCTTTATGATACACTGAACATTACCCTTGGCCATAATCCTCAGTTTGCAGTATGCAAAATAAGATCGGGCATAAATTTCATGTGCATTTTATTTGCTCACAATTTAAAAAAGAGAAAAATTACATTCACATGCAAACCATCTAAAAAAAACTGAAAAGGTCGAAAGTAAGGACTCCGTGCTTAGGAGAACGTGCTTACAAATAAGAGCTTTAATTGCAGAAAACTACTGTGCATAAGATCGATACTGAAAAAGGACATAAATACAATAAATGTGCTATGCCCGACGTTGCTTTCAAGTGTTAAGGTTCTTAATAAATTAACACTGTGTATAATTTTAAGAAATATCCCATTTCCTTCTATCGCGGTTTTCGGTCTAAAACTAAACGTTATAACACAGTGATTTTGAAATATCAAAATAGCATTCTCACTAAAATTCAAAAAGACTAATAATAATAATAATAGGCCTATTCTCGGAGGAGGGGCAACATTAACTTTTGCATTTCAACAAAAAATGATACATCAGATATTTCGTGACATAATACACTGCGTCTTTCTAAACGGAGATATTTTATGCTTAATTCAATTATTATAATTTGCACATTAAATTTTTTTTATTGGAAGCAAGAAAAAAAATTCTAAAAAAGGAGTACATACCAATACCACTTATACTTGTGCGCGTTTTTGCTCAAATCGAAACCACTGCAAATAATCGCATTTATTCTTGTACATTGCTCGTCATTCACAAGTCTCAGATAATAATATAAATAAAAATAATAAACATAAAATTGGCCTGTAGAATATGTACTATAATAGCAAATGAAACGGCAGTCAATCATCTTAATCAACAATCCTACTCTTGCTTCAGCTGGTACATGTAATATGGTGAAAATTGTACTTTTACCTTCAAGTTTTAAAGTTGTGACATGCAAACACTTTGAAAATAATATTTAAATGATTAAAATTATCTATTGTATAATAGTATAAAATCGGAAAGAAGTCGAATGGCTTTCAGATAAAATCAGGTACATCGGCGATTTTCTTATTGCATAATATGAAAAAAATTACGATCGATCCTTAAAGTACATTTTGAAACCAAAAATGATCGATTATTATTATTTGAAAGGGGAACACGATCGTTCTTAGTACACCATTTCAATATGTTTTAACAATATGTAGACCAAATATGCTTTGATATGCACAGTAATTTTCACCATACTGGATGCGTTCGTGCGTGTGTTTCCGGTTCCAAAATACTGTTGCCAAAAGACTGGACGTTTCTATCAGACGCAAATGTATTTCGTAGGATCTTGGCAAAGGAGTTGGCACTTCTGAAATATCAAAATTTCATTTAAATAACAAAGGCTATTCCAATGCAATTAAATTCGGATTTAGAATTTCTGAAAATGGAAAGACAATTGTGCTAATGTTGAAAGAACCGCACTGTAAAGTTGTGGTTGGTTAAGCAGCAAATTAAAAAATCGAATGATCAAATGTCAATGAAGTCTAATAATAATAATAGATATTTTTTTACGCTATGTTGTACGCTATGAGGAGTATGATCAAACGCTACTTGAAGGTTTTCACAAAGGTTCAAACTTATAGAGAAATTCTTTCAAGAAAAGGATTCGCACAGTTACGACTAAGACAAAGCTTTAGGGTCTAGATCTGATGCACATTTCATTTTTTTTTTTTCATGAACAGCAAATTTTCCAAAATGAATGGCACAATAGCCTGTTCCTATTTTATGTAAATCGAAACTATAAAAACACGGATAATATAGCCTTTAAAAGTTCTCTTTCGCTTATCTGCTTCAGTTGCAAACATTACAATAAATTCATGAAACGAAGAGCTAATATGCAAGCTAAATGAAACTCAAATCTCAACTATGTAAATTACTTTGTCTGTAGACTTACGTACCGCATCATCGAGTTATGCACATTAGACGTAACTTCTTCTCACCTTCATACAAGTAAGCTTGTAGTACTAGTAGGCATATTTGTTTCAGACTTAGGGCCCAAGCTTCAACGCTGAATGAAATGTTCGTCTCTGCGACTTCACCACACCTGTCCCGCGTCCTCTTCTTACAAGGCCCAGCTGTCAAGTGACCGACCAGTCAAGAAGAGCTCGCACTGTGCTGACAGACTTATTGATATGCAAATCTCATCTGGTACTGCGCATTGCGCTTGAAGAGTTGCTGTTGAAACCATTTTCAAAAAACGACCAACCTATATGGTCTTACATGATAATTGATAAAATCAATTTTTTGTGAGCTCACACTGATAATTTAGCCGTTCGTTCCAGACTGTTCAGCAGTGTTTTTTACTCCCCCATTGCGAAATGAGCCTGGACCGTAGCAACTATGTCCACTCAACTCATTCGGGCGGTTATTGTCTTATTCGAATATAGTTAGTTCACTTTTCCATTGTCAAGTGAATAAATGGTTTGGCTCATTATGATTGGAGAAATGTGGTGCAGCTGTACCCACCACCAAATGTGCATCGACTTTGATCAAAAAATTATTGTAGAGATCTTTCATATACTAGGGTGTACTGTATGTGCGTGTAAAAATGTCATTTTTTAGTGCATTAATTTTTTTCTGCCAGCATCATTGCTGTCATACATATTTAATCATAGTTTTATATACCTAGACATACTCCCGAGAACTTAGACGAGTTATTTTGAAATATTTTATTACATAAAAATGTACATTTGTTTTTCTTATTTCAAAGTGTACAGAGCAATTCGCTATACAATTAACATGATGCTCCTTTGCAAGCACTGAGAGTTGCCGTTCTTTAAGTCATATCTAAGTTCTAATATCTTTAAAAAGACATTCTCCAAACAATTACATATAACAAGTCAAATTGAAAAGCAGCATGAGAGCAAAGAAAAAAGGTTGTTTCCTAAACTGTCTATCACTATGATGGGAAATTTCCTTCTTCTTGTAGATGAAGTAATGAAATGCTCCTTAGCACAACTTAATTTCCCTGTTAAATTAATTGTGTTCCTAGAGGTAGTAAGTGTGCATGTTTTGGTAGGGATATGGTACTGCCTCTATACCAGTTGCTATGGCAACTACTAAATATATTTAAACAATATGATGCATTTGCCAAAATAGTACTATATTGCTAACTATGTCCACTCAACTCATTCGGGCGGTTATTGTCTTATTCGAATATAGTTCGTTCACTTTTCCATTGTCATTATGATTGGAGAAATGTGGTGCAGCTGTACCCACCACCAAATGTGCATCGACTTTGATCAAAAAATTATTGTAGAGATCTTTCATATGCTAGTGTAAATGAAAATGAATAAGAAGGTTCAAAACTTTTGAAAAGCTAGTCATGTCAAAAGGATGCTTTTGTGAGAAAAACATAAATGTTTTAAAAAAAATCTCAAAAATCTTGGCATCAGAGCATTGCCTAAATTCGTGAGTACACTAATGTTTACAACCTTCTTATGGTTACATTGGCTCACATTAGCAAAGGTACCATATTCCCAAATTACCATTTTATGTTCTCATCAATTATTTATTATTGATGATTCTATGGAATTATGGAATTGTGATGGCATGATTGGACTTATGAATGCTTATACTAATCAGTACAGCAATATTAAAATGTCTCATTTTTATTGATAAAATATGTCGCAATTAAAGGGCAAAATAAAACCGTGATGCCACAAATACAAACAATAGACATACAAAAGATATCCACAGATCCAGGCAGTCCTTCCAACAACTTTCCTAGAAAAAAATCCAAAATGTCCCCCCAAAACAAATACTCTCAAACCCTCTACAGTGTGCGCAGTGCAACAGATTGCACCTTTATTCAAAAATATTCTCTCAGGGAAGGCTTAGGGATATGCTCCTCTTTGTGATAACCTAGATCAACTAGTTATACATTGTACCTATAAAACAGTACCGCCACCATTCATATCCTGTGGCAACTGCTGCACAGAGAGGTTTTATCCACTAGAGAAAGCTGCCACAGTCCCAACATACATGCATATGGCTTATTTGGTAACTTGTGTTGCAACATTATCAACTACAAAATGGGCTTGTGCAGAGCAAAACAAAAATTAAGAACTTATCAATTTACTGTAGCATATAAAACCTTCAACATCATGTAAGTATTATTTATGTAAGCAGAAGAAAAACATTTTCCTTTAGGTGTGATTTCTGTGTCAAAACTATCCCATTCTGCAGCATGCTTGTTGTGGATGATTGTCCAAATTAAAATAAGATGGAACAGGAGTTCAGATTAGCAAACGAGGACACCTAATATTGCTCTGAACCTTATGTAAACAACACTGGAATTGCCATTAATTAAGGAAAGTCACATGATCAATAATTTAGCTTCAGTGGTACCTATGGCAACAGTCAAATTATTAATGTATACATATGTTATACAGGCATCATTTAACTCCTTATTTTACATGTTACTATGGCAATATTCAAATCCTGAATTTTATTAGCACCAAGTGTTATCATTGCACTTTAGCACCTTAACACAGGCATTTACATTTAAAACTTTCTCAGCAATGTTCAAAATTTAATATGGGAAAGCAGAAACGGCAATGTGTATTAAGAAAGTAGTACGGTACATTAAGTGCCTCTTCGTGTGGTCAAAGGATCGTGCGCGCACTTTTATTTTGTATGTTGCCTGTCTTTCTAGAGGCCGTATCGTATACACCACTCCCTTGCCGTCTGAAGTCAATCTTATTTGGAATGGTATCTTAGGATCATTTTCTATAATGTCAAAGTATGTATTTGGTAACTGAACGCCATATTGGTTGTACGCTATTAACCTGATAAGATCTTGATACGCGGGGATGCCACTGGGGAGAGAGACTGTGCGCACTTGTAGAATATCTGCATAGCGGGAATTGGTCGGACATGGTTGGTTTGAAGATGAACATTCTAAAACACAGTCCCTGAAATGATAAGGTGAATATTTGTAATCTGCTGCCATAGACAAAAACTTTAAAGTATGGTCATTCAACCACCAGATAAAATTAATGAAAATTGTGCATTTAAAAAAGTTTCAGCTTTCAACTCTCCAATCTGTGAAATATTTAGACACTCAAATATGAAACTTAGTGCAATATACAAGTGAAATAAAATAAATGCTGACAAATATGAAAAAAAGTCATTTAAATACAATATGCGGCTCACCCTGTGATGGGATCCCTCTTGTAGTTATCTGGACAAACTGTATCAATACATGTGTAGTCTCCACGTCTGTTAAAACAGATCTGTTTTGGGTCACACTTAGCTGTCTTAAGCTTACATTCATCAATGTCTGAAGTAAGGTTAAAAATGCTATCATTATGAATTCAGAAATATAAAATTCAGGAATTCAGGAATTTAAAATGTATGACTGTAAAAAGGTGTTAAGAGGAGCACCTTTTTGATACAAAATTAATTATAGTACCAAAACTACTAGTACATATTCTGTTACTGATGAGTATTACAATTTGTACCTACATTATTGATTTTTACTCAAAGTTTCATCAGATTGTATATCAATTTCTCCATACTTCACTTCATGGAAATTGCCCAATGACATAACTATCCAATGTGGCCAAAATCCATATCATAGAGATGTGATAAACATGCATATGTACATTTTCAATCTGCACAGAACGGGCCTTTACCCCACCACACATACCTATACAAGTTCTTTTATTGGTGCTCAGTTTATATCCAGGTGGACAGAGACATCTATAGCTGCCCTCTGTGTTCTGACACTTGTGTTGGCAGCGACCCTGTTGCTGGCACTCATCATAATCTATGAAGGAAAGAGATTGGTAAACACTGAGAGATTGAAGTCATTTGGTGAATCAATCACTATCAGTATGAGAAAAGAAGCTTGAAAGTCTTGATTTTGTGACATATGGTAACTGCTGGTAAAAAAAATCCATCACTGACACAAAATACACAGGGTTCAATACAGTTTGCATGGTATTCAATATTTTCAACTTGATGCAAACTGGACAGAGGTACTGAGGTGGAATCAAAAGCCACTGTGGGTGACAAAAGCCTGAAAAAATATGAAAATCAACATTCTGGACTAGGGCCGGATTACTATAGGATCCAGTCAAGAAAGAAAGAAGAGGTCAAAATCCTTGTTTGACCAAACCGGATCCAATACATGTATTTAAGCCAACCGTCATCATCACATTCAAAAAGGCGCCCAATGTTTTCCCATTTTGAAATTAAATCCACTTTGGGAAATCTTGAACACAGAACCCTCTGTCATATATTTATATATATTAGACATTCATACAATAACAAAATGTTTGCCAAGGAAGTCATATGCTGATGCATACCAACACAACGATCCTGTCGTCTATCATAACGGAAGCCAACAGGGCATGCAACACGCAATGTGGATCCACCACTCAGTGCACATGGTTTGCCAGGCTGGCATTCTGATTGGGTGTAAGCATCGTGGTTATATTGGTTACTAGGGTAAGGAGAGCCAATCACATTGAGGACCTCACCACGATCCAAGAATTCCAGGCCTGAAATTTGAATATAGATGGCAGTAGGAGGCAGGAAGTGCACACCAATGTCACACAACCAGAAGGCAAGATAACATCAAGACAAGATGGCAGTTCTCATGGTGCTACATGTACAAAAATTATTGTTACTTTCCTTTGTTTGATGAATAGTGTGAAAGGTGGTTTTGTGGCATCACAAAAAAAGGGCAATACATATACAGATTTAATTTTTACCATCATGGTATAAATGGAGGGCAAATAAGGAAAAAGAAACCAAAATACAGATTATTCAATGCAGTAACTTTCTTGAAAAGATTTTTCATAATAGGCTATTTAAAAATTGCCATCTTCTCTGTGAACAATGCCTTTGGGTAATATCAACTTTAACCTCATGCAACCTCAAGTTCTATTTAAATTGTTTACTTATAAATCTTATCCATAATTACGTCAAATAAAAAGTTTAACTGGGAATGCAGAATATTAAAAAAATTTTTTTTTAAAGTATATCAACAATCTTCTTTTGATTTTATCAATAAACAAAAATAAAAGATTTCAGAAAATTTTTTTCAAAATACTAATTCTATTTCAAAATAAAAATATTCTAGATAACACAAAAAATATGCAAAAAGCCAAAATGTTCAATTTTTATAGTCATTCATCTTAGGCTATTTATGTTACATTCCACTATAATGCACTTTTTAATATGCAATTTTGATAGCATTATTGTCTTCTACCATTTTTAAATAATAAATAACATTAAAATATTTTGCATTAGTGCAACTAGTTGAGGCAAATAAGATGCACATTTTTCTTCTAGTAAATTTACTTCTATTTTTTGAGAAAATAAAAAAAATATGTTGCATGAAGTTTGTGATATGTGACCATTGATGCAGCTTTGCATGCTTTTTAATTAACTGATACAATCACATTATTAGAATAGAAATAATTCAAACCAACAAAAAAATTAATTCAGGTTAAGCATTTTTGTGTTATTAATATGCCCACTTGATGTGTCAACAGTTAGAATTACTAAGGACAAACACATCAGTATTAATAACAAATTACATGCAACATCAAACAAACAAATCAGTGAGATGACTACTCAGAGACTGAAAAATCAACAGCTAACACAGCAATTACTTGGAATTTTCAAGCAAATCTTTTACTCTAACCATTTCTTACTTGGAATTTTCAAGCAAATCTTTTACTCTAACCATTTCTTACTTTTCAATGATTTATCTTTTTAGGTCACTCATAATAGTGTACTTTTTGAAATGAAAACTTTTAAAATCATTTGAATCAAAATTTGTTAATTTTACCATTAAAAACATTGCTTTGTGAAAATTAATTAAAATAAATCATTTTATATTTTAATGTATTCAAATTAATTTTGTTCAAAATTAGAAAGTAATTACTGTAGCAGCTTAACCTGCACATGTAATAAGTGACAATGTGGTTAAAAGATGTTGCATGCAACAACTATCCTGAGCTTTAGAACTTATGTGCTTCAGCTTCTTCATTTCAGTATTTCAATGCATGCAAGCTTTTTGGACATTCAGAGTGGCATTGAACTTGGTGATTGAAGTTTACTACAACAGTAACAATCACACATCTACATATCAGAATTTTGTGCTTTCACAGAAATGCATATATGACATAGTTAATAAACTCATCTAGCATTTGTGATCTGATGCAGTAAATTTCAATCAAACACTGCTAAGGTTCAGATGTGACAAAAAGACATGTATGGAAACTTGAAATTGAAGAAACTGGCCCATTTATCCTGTGATACTCAGACTAGCACTAACAGACCCTGCTTCAGACATATTTGACAAAAAAACATGCAGACATGGTGCAGACTGCAATGGATGCTAACCAGCACATGACTTCTTATCAGCCAATCGTTTCATTCCAGGAGGGCAAAGGCACTCAAAATTTCCTGGAATATTGCGGCACTGGTAGGTGCATGGACTTTTTGGCCCTGCACATTCATTGATATCTGAAATACTTGATTGGGTTAGTGAAGAAATGACACACACCTGGAAATTCCATACAGATAAAAAAACTGTAATTTTCCCCATTGTTGTTTTATGTAGTTATGTCTTGCAAGAAGTATTGGATCTTGGGAAATATTTTAGAAAAAATTAACAACTGGAAACAGTAAAGCACCAATGTTAATAAAGATAACAAATGCTTGAAAGGCTCTATGAACCAATCAAAAATACAAGTTAAATATCATCAAAATATGTGAATCTGAAAATCCCCCATGAGCAATATGACCCATACTAGTATGGATCTCAGAGATATGTCACTTTAACTGCATATAATTACAAGAACACTCTTTGGGCATGACAAAACATATATGGAATTCAATAATTATTTCCACAGGTTTAACATGACTATCATTTCTGTATTACCCAAAGAATATCAAATTTTCTGAACATTCAGTTTATCAGACCAACTAAAAATTTCATACATTTTCCATGCCAAAATCACATTTTTAGTCCCTGTCAGTGTACGACATGAACTGAGAACTACAATAGTATTCTTAGACAAAATAAAATATTTCAGTCCCAGGCAATTTTTTCTCATTATGTGACATTAACACTGACCTGACCCCAAATGCCAGTGCAAGTAAAATTACACACCAGGCCCATAATAAGTGGTACATTTGTCCAGTTACTATTTCTGCCCTGGTCCAGTATAGGTTCTTAGATCCTGGGCTTTACGTTTTTGGCACCAACTGTTTTCTATAAGAAAGTATGCAATATTTTACCCCATTCTCTACTCACCCACACAGGGCTTTCCTGGCCCATCAGAGCGGTAACCTCTAGGACAGGTACATGTGTAACCTCCATATGAATTGATACACTTCTGGTTATAGTGACATCTACTCAGGCCAAGAGTACACTCATCTTGGTCTGTAAAAATAAAGAAAAAAATGTTATAATGGTAAACTTTTATAAAATGAACATATCACAGAAATTATGTATTTTGATGAAAATTTAAGAGTTATTTAATAATTAATATGAATAATTCAATCAAATAAAAGCTTGGTGGAAATGTAACTAATTAATTTAATACTTAAAAAAATAACATCGTGCTTTTTAACAGCTAGGTGGCATTAAGGAGACATATAAATGCACTTTAAACAGATGAGCCATAGTAAGTGCTTTCCTGGACAGGATTCTATATTAAAGTAGCCTGTTGACATGGGAATGACACACTGGTTCTACAATAAAACCAAATTAAGCACATAAGTATCCCGATGGCTTTCCACTCACCTATACAAGTGCCATTTGCTGCCTTCTCAAAGCCTTTGGGACAAGACTTGACACACTGGAAGCTGCCCTGAGTGTTGTGACAGTCCTCGTCTGGACGACAGTTGTGACTATTGTGTGCACATTCATCTATGTCTGCAATAAAAGGTACTTGTATTACAAGGAGTACAGTTGTAGGAACTTATACTATGGAGGTATGCAGGCCCGTAGCAATTTCAAGGTTGGTTCTTTTTCTGAAAAAAGTGGACATTATACCATAAAACTTTCGTGTACATAGATCAAATTTTACCCACAGCATACCTTAACCTCACAAAAAGGATTTATTCAAAAAGCCAACACTTTCCCCTGGCTAAGGGCATGAATGAAAATTTGAAAATGAAGATCAAAGATTGTCTGTGTCAGTGCTGAAAGTCAAACTCCCACTACCACCCTTCAATTAACATGAGATATTTACATGATATTACCTCTGCATACTCCTCCAATGACCAACTCAAATCCTCCAGGACAAGAGCACTCATAACTGCCTGGTGTGTTCACACACTGGTGACTGCATGGGTTGGATTGCTTACACTCATCCACATCTAAAATATTTAAGGTCATCCAGCAATCCCTTAGCAAATGTTTCTTAACATTACATTAATAATGGCATGTAATAAATGAAACATTAAATTAATATATAAAGTTTCTGATGATTTAATAACAGCATTATTATTACCGTATAAAATACACAAATTCATAGAATTTTTTCACTCACGTTCACATTCATGTGACCTAAAATATCTAAAACAAACTCAAGTCCACCATAAGTTGATAGGTTCTTGGTCAATTAAGGCTTCTTTTATATTTGCCAACTTAAAATTAAATCTAATGACAATAAATAAATTTATTTATAAATATCTTAAATCATTTTCCAATGGTACAAGAATAAAATAAATTTCTTACCAATACATTTGGTTCGTCCAACAAGTCTGTAACCATGTTTACAACGACATCTAAAGCTACCAATCAGATTGAGGCATGTTTGGTCACATGGGTTCTGCGTGTCTCGGCACTCATTGATATCTAAATTAATGTGATATATGAAATAAATGTACAATATATAAAACAACATATAGCAATGACCAAATGAGGGCATATGTTGACATGTGACAGGTTTTGGTGTGATTTGTTGCTTGGGCATCTGAACTCTCTCTATTCAGGGGCATCAGATATAAACTCCATGTCAGGCTAAAATGGAGATGTTATTATTCTTGAAATCCAAACAGTAAAGGCTCTTGACAGTTAAGACAAAGTTATAATTAATGGGCAATTGGAAGCCATGCTGAAGCATTTTATGGAAAACAGTAACAAAAGATTAAAATGTTAAATTGGATGGTCAGCCAACAACAACCTTAATTAAAATTTTATCTTCAAATTGTATTTTATATGTTTTATATACACCAGTACGTACAATAATTTTGTTGTAAAACTCTCTGAACTTGTATTTGTGTCAACAACAAAGCACTATTGTTCTAACCGAATCTTCAATACAGGCAAAATATTTTTGGTCCAAGATTTTAATGAACTTTCAAAGGCATAAATTATATATCTTCCAGAGATATGATTGACACGTTTTATCTACAAATCATGTTTCTTTTAGATGAAAACATGTTCTAAAATTCATTGGCACACACATGGCAACAAAATAAGACAATTTGGGTATATTCCTGTAGAGGCTATACCACATTTTCGCAAATGATACTTGGAATTTATAAAATGTTTAGAAAAGATATTTCACTTACACAATAACTGGTCCTGCCTCAAAAGCAGTAACCCAACCTGGTTTTGCAAATGGTGTAAATGCTAGTAATTTACAACCAAACCCGAGTCCCTCATAACTTCATATTGTATTTTGAGACAGGCTTTCATAAGATTTTTTACTTTAAGGTAAGAATACACCTTTAACTTGCTTAAATGACCTAGAATTGTATGACTGCAAGGGGCTTTGTAGCCAACGATGATTGCTTAGATACAATATGGATATTCCTTATAAGAAAATACAATTTTGCATGGTTGTTTTAGTTCAAATCAGCAAAAATGAAGAACACACCCATTTGAGCAAGATTTGACTTGCCTTTTCACAGAATGTGAAGTTCGCTTCACCTTCATGGCAATAATAAGGAAATTATTCTTACAATTACCATATATATGCATATAGATTCCTGTTTAAAGGCAAGACCAAACAACTGCAGTATAAAACAAGAGGCTTACTATCACAAAATATGTATTTTCTTAGTCAACTGGTTCATGGGTTATTGGGGTAGGGTGGGGGTTGGAAGGTGTTATATACAGTCCATATTGCCATGAGTGAACCATGAAGGTCACTGGGTACCTTGGCATGACAGTCCGCCCGAAGTGCGTCTGAAGCCATGTCCGCACTTGACCATGCAGCGGTACGAGCCAATGGTGTTCACACACTCTTGGTTTCTATGGCAACGGGCAATACGTGTATCACACTCATCAATATCTGAATTAGAAGAGACAATTACGGGTAAAGCAAGGTAAAAATGTTATGCTGTAGGTATTACTTTTAATCATTAATGTTATTAAGAATGTTACGTGGTTATGAACAGCTGGTGGTCCACTTGGTGATGTTTGAACAAAACTGAACAATTATAACACCATTATGAAAATAAATTCAGTACAAACCAACTTATAATTATGTTAAGTAACAGCTTATAAAAACATAAATAAAAACAACTTGCAGATTCAATTTTTTTCATGAAAAGCATTATCTGGTTGAAACAAATGAACATGCAAGACTGTCTAAACATGGAGGAAATATATTTCTAATATCAATGAGATATGTTGGTAGTAATGCGAAGGCGACCACACATGCACCACAATGCACTTGAACAGGAAGTAACACTGGGAACAGATCACAAACATGCAAATAACTCTTAAAGTATTAATGAGCAAGGTCAGAGTTTTTCATTTCATTTCTTTTTCTTACCTTTATTTTATTGTTATTCGTTATCATTTATCTTTTATTTTTGAAAAACTTAATATTTTTGTGACATTTGTTTTCGCCAGAAATCTAGTAAAAAAAACTCCTCTTCAGAGTAAATGAATCTACTACTAAATTTCGTCATACCCAGGAGTCGGGGAGAGGTAATTTTGAAAAATTAGTCGGATTTACACAATTAAAAGTATTAATTAATTTTGAAGCGACGAAATTTTCAAGACTTTACCGTAAGCATTTGTGCTGATTTGAAAAATATATCCAGTAAAAATCACTTAATTTTAATAAGTGAACTTTTAATAATTTTCTTTCTCTGGACAACCATGATCTTAAATGTAGTGCTTTGTACATCATCAGGCCCGTAGCCAGGGGGGGTTCGGGGGGTTCGAAAGAACCGCCCCTTTTGCTGGGAAAAGGTCCACTCTGAGTAAAATCTGATCTAGGTGCATGAAGTTTTTATGGAAAAAGGTCCACTTTTTCAGAAAACGAACCCCCCTTTTGAAATTGCTGGCTACGGGCCTGATCATGACAACCTGAACTGGACTGAGATGCTTTTAAAAATCTTGTAAATTTTGTCACATGTAGAATATATGCAATGCAGTGTAAGTGTACATGCCATTATTATGAAAGCGAGACTAAATGGATATACATTTATATACAACTTTTTTTCTGTCAATCAATGTTTTTATCAAACAGAAGTTACTTTCATTTTAAGTAGATTTTCAATGTGTCCATTTTCACGTTATCCTTTGCATTTCAATTCAAATTTTCTTTTTTTTTTGTATGGTACATATAGAATTATGGACAAAGTAGTACAATTGTTTTGGGTAATTAAATCAAGACACTGATCCTAGCTTAATTTTTCAATATAGCAGCTATCAGCCTCAGCTGACAATCCTATTTAATTTCTACATGTATAAGGCACAAAATTATGGAATGGAATATGCATACAAATGAAGCACTTAGACACATGCACGCATATTAACTCATCTTAATTTCTTCATCTTGAAAAAACTATTATAACTGAACTTCACATATCATTATTCATATCATTCTTGACATTTTGTGTCAGTTTCTCTTACCTGATATAGATATGTTTACAATTTGTACATCATTTAGTAGCCATCATTTTAAGACAAATTTACGAACAAAAATAAATTCACGATTAACTATTGTTATCATTTATAGCAGCTGTTTCTACAACTCACTTCAAATAATAATGTTGTGAATTTACAGAGCTACCATTTAGCAAGCTGCTACTGCCAAGTGTTCATACGTAGCTATAAGTCTGAGCAAGAAGAGCACTACTGTGCTAGAAATGAGAAGCTATTTATTGTCTTTTTAAAAGCAATTTTCCAAAGTGTAATTACCAGATAATGGTGTCTAATATATCCATCTACTGTAGCATAGATAACATTTTAAAGATCATCAAGACTTTCAATTATTGATAGTAGCAGAATCAATGGTGTTAATATCATGAGTTAAAAATATTCAGATAATTTTTCCATGGTTATTAAAATATAAATAAGGACAATTCATATTCACTTAACTACAACATGACTTTGCATTTTGTTAAATAAATTAAATGTTGTTCTGAGGGTGCAGATTTTGTCATGCTTCTGTGAAAATAGTAATTATTATTATTATTATTATTATTATTGAACAGATTCTTAGACAAGACTACAGAGAGAGGGAGATACGTACTTTGGAAAGGGCAAGCAAACCAGATGACAGAAATGGGTTGGGAAACAGAATATGAACATTAATGATAACAGGAGGGAAAAAGGGGCATTGGAGAAATGGGTCTGGAGTAGTAAGTGCAGAAGAACAAGGAAAAATCATTTGTTTTCATTAAAAGAAATTTGAAAAAAAAAATGCATAAAGCTCATTCTCATTGGTAGTCAATGCACTACTGATCGGAATTAGAGCTATATTGGTACACCTATTGCCTACCCCGTGGATTAACATATCTATCTATCCCGACTTCCATGTTTATTCAGATATGGCTTTTTTTATTGGTGCAACTGAAATTAAGTCAATTTCAAAATTCCAAGCCACATGCAAAGCAGAGTAGGGCCATATGTGCTCATTCTCTGTGCTTGCATCGGAATCTCTACCCTACTGCTGCTGAAAGGCTATGATTAGAGCTACACAATGACCTATATACAAGTACGTAGGTCACTGAGCTACTTTATCCACCTTTACAAGTCCTCCCGTCGGGACCTAGTCTTAACCCAAGAGGACATGAACATGAAAAGCTGCCAGGACTGTTGTGGCAGTAATGTGAACATGGGTCCAATCTCACACACTCATCATCGTCTGAGGAAACAAAAATATTCACCACAGATGATTAATTTAAGTGGATTCCATGCATGTTATAAACAAATATTTTTAACATCAATATACATAATGCACATATACTACCAACCAAATGATAATTCTATATACCTATTGGTTGTATTTCTTTTACAAATTATGATTACCAATATAAAAATACTGATCAATCACTACTGTTAGCTGTTTATAGAATTACACTCCACATTCTTTTGTTAGCTTTTTATTTCCTACCACTATTTAACTAGTAGTACACTAAAATATCTCAAAAGTTGAAAATTATCTTACAATTCTTCTAAAAAATATCTAATGTGCAACCGTTAGCTTTGCACCCATAGAGTTAAACTGAGCATTGGGATAACAGAAACAGACGTTTGTGTTTCATATCTCTGCTATCAATTTTAATTTAGCAGATTCCTCTGAGGTTTTTTTGGATAGGTTTTTTATTCAGGGTGAATTAAAGGCATAATCTTAAACATGCTTGAGGTGAAATCTCCACTTTCTATGCTTTTTAAGCAAAAAGGCCAACTGTGGAAATTGTGCACTATCAAGCTATATGTGATGGGGATACCAAAGGCATTTAAGCTGATGCTTCTCTCAAAGTAATAAAGCAGACATTATTTTCTATATGTCTTCCTGTGAACCTTGTCAACATTAGCTGAAGTACTTTGTTTTAATATTTTTCCTCATAAATTTAGTCAATCTTAAAAGTGTCTGCTGTTAAAAAACATGTTTTTTTATAAATATTTTGAAAAATTATAATCACTCATGACAAATACATGTCAAATTTCTGTGCTACTTAGATATGACTGTGTTATCATTAAATATTAACACTCATTAACAATGGTGCCTCGTCTCACCCTAACAACATATACTAATGCATATTCAAAAAACACAAATAGATACATAAATAAAGTGCAAAATAACTGACACACATGTGGCTGTGCGACAATATAAGTTAGTAACAAAACAAATATTTCATATTACTCAATATCATATTTATAATAATATATGATTATGTTAAAAATGCAGAAGTATTGTCAACTTAATCTGCCAAACAGAAATAACTAAATGGAATCAGAAAGCAAGCAACTTTAAGAACCCTATCTTACCCCGGCAATATGGTCCTTCTGGATCTAAGAAAAATCCTTTCGGGCATTTGTTGCTTGGTGTGCCTGAAAAACATAGCCATGTAAATCCAGTGTTCATAAACTTAATAAAATAGTAAATATACCTTAATCAATATTTTATGCATTTCATGTCATTTGTCTATTATCATATAATCATCATTCATTTTTTAAATTAATGAATGGAAGAGATTAATATGTGAAAGAGGGTTAAATTTCACAAATTATATTTGTATAAATCCTGTTTATATTATTCATTACACTATGTAAATCTTGTTGATTCAACTTTTTTAAACTCTTAAGACATTATTATTTCATACTGCTGCTTGCAAAATACGAACCAATTGTTTCTTATATTTCAAAAACACCTTTAGCATTGATATTAGTAAAAAGCTCTGAAGATATTTTATTACATATTTGCCAGAAATAGTTTAACATATAAATTACTATGTGTATAATAATAATAATAACTATTATAATTATTTCTATGAGCAAAAAAGCTGCAATTGCGTTATACCTTTGGCAATCCTTGCAGAAAGCTGATACCTCATCACCTCCTCGCTGGGTTCAAACTTTACAGTTAAATCATCCGCAAAAAGTTTCTGCACCAAATATGGCATTTTGCCAAGCTCGGCATCATATGTTATTGTGTGGTTCCAAGCATAGGGAATAATGTAATTCCCAATTTTGAACATCCTTGTTGAATAAGCATAGATGGCACCAGGAGCTGTCTGAATGTACTCTTCTTCATATGGCTCTACTTTGATGATGGCAGATGGTGGAAGCTGTGGGACATATCCATTGACCACAATGTCCAGCTGTAACTCACCATTGCTGTCCATTCCACGAGCTATGTGAATCATTCTAAGAATTTCACCTAAGAAACAGAAAGGACAGAAGTAGAAGTAAATGAACTAAAGATTAAATAAATAGGTAAATGAATGGAAATGACATGTACTGTTATAAGAATGAACTTCAAAAAATCTAGATGAGTGTAACCATAAAACTACAGCAAAATATGGAAGGTTGGCAACAAAATCATAACTTGCCAATGTCCATGTTTGTTTTTACATTGATTATATATAATAAATCAATAGAAGAAGAGCTCCAAAAAGTCATGATTATGTTCTGTTTCACTAACAAACTGAAAGCAGAAAGAGCATTGCACAGACCTGTAGAAAATTCCACTTGTACTTCTCTGCGGAATTCTCCCTTGGTAAGTGTGTATCCATTAACAGCCTCTCCTACCTCAAGAGCTGTGGTCCAATATATAGGGGTCAGAATAGAGATGAGATGCTCCATAAGGCGGCCTAAAATAAGACAGAAATACATGAATTGTCTGAAACCAAAATTTGCTAGAATTATCCAAGTTGTCTAGCGAGACACTGAAATATTAACTAGTGTACAAACAACTCTATAAATTCTAATTAGCAAAGTATCTCCCAGAGCTATGAAACTACTAATACATCCATGTGGGCATATAAATGTGGCCGTAAAACTTAAAAACCTTTTGTCTGCAATTCTCAAACAAACCATTTATTACCTTTAATAAGGTTTAAAAATTTCTACATTATATTTCATTCAGTAAAAGACCTGACAACAGTTCTCACCTATGGACCTTGGAATGTTGTGTAGTTTAGCAGTGACAATAGTTCCTGATTCAGATGGAGTGATGTTGGCAATTAATGTTGATACTCCAAAGTCGATGTCATTGACATTGCCAATGATGTTACCCATAGCTTTTGTGGGAAGTCCACCTGAAACAGTGAAAATAAAAATTAATAAATCATTTAGGAATGAAATAAAACATACTGATAAAAATTGCATTTTATTAATAAAAATTTCTTTCAATTTGAAAGAAAAGACCCTAAAAATATTCTTTTTTTTTCTATATCCAGTATCAGCAGAGGAATTGTCTAGAATGTCCAGATTTTCTCCAAATCATCACAACTTAGATCTGTTCACTGTAAGTACAATAAATAATATCACATATATAACATGCATCAGTGCAAGACCCCTTATCAAATGTCTCTGGCTTTAAAGTTTTTACCTCCACAAGACTTAATATTGCACTTCTGAATTTGTGTTTCATCTCCCAAGCAATGCTTTCCACCAAAACGTGGTTGTGAGCAGGATCTAGTGCGTTTCTGTTCCCCACCACCACAGGTCTGTGTACACTTGGACCAGTCACTCCAGCGACTCCACTGGCCATCCACTGTAATAACAGCATATATTAAATGTGATAACACAAAAACACAATATTGTGGAAATTTTGTGATAAGTGTTAATATCTTATTTAATGGTAAATTTCTGACAATTGAGACTTCATTTATTAAGGACTTCCACATATCAAACCTTTTGCACAAAAACACACCCAAACTTGGTCTACTTTACCTGGGCACTCCACCTCATTACACCTCTCAGCCTCTTCGCTATTTCCTGGACATGCTCTGCCGCCATTACTTGGGGCTGGGTTGCCACAAGTACGGAATCTCTTCTGGTATCCACCACCACACTCAGCAGTACAGTCTCCCCAGCCACCCCAAGGGGACCAGTTACCATGGACTGAATATGTGAGGGAAATCATTAGCAACTTTTCTAATAGCATGCAATGAGAATTATAGTACCATTACAAAGTGAAAGATAAGCTGTCTTGGAAATTTCAACCTTACATATCTGTTTAGAATTTGAAAGCAGGTTTATAGATCATAATTTTCTGAAAATTTTTGGAGAGAGTAAATATATACCTTACACTCATACATCTGCTAGCTATACTCACTTGGACAACCTTGTGTATTGCAGTAGTCAGTCTCTGTGTCTCGACCCAAGCAATATCGTCCTCCATAACTTGGTGCAGGAGAGTCGCAGCGCCGAGACCTTGATTTGGTTCCGCCATTACAGGAGCGTGAACAAACAGTCCATGGTGCCCATCCTCCCCAGTTACCATGAACTATGAGATATAAAGTGGAGATTTGTATGGATGGACATCAAATTATGACATTTTTACTAAGTTTACTGAACTTGCTAAATACATATTTTTCTTTTTCTTTTTTTGCTGGTTGGACTTTTAACCATTACAACAAAACCTTTATAAGGAAAATGGAGAGAACACTACAAGTTACAATTGTGCATTTCTGTTTACTGTACCTACTTAAGTTAAATCATTTAACCAACAATTTTCTCCAGACTTATTTATGAGTGTAAAACCAAATCAATCAACAAGAATTTACTCCTTACTTTCACATTCTCTGATCTTGCATCTCCTCCTCTCTGTCTCATCTCCGACACATTCCTTCCCACCATGCTCTGCTCTGGGAGAGTTACAGTCACGATAGCGCTCCTGCATACCTGTGCCACAAGTCTGACTACACGGTTGCCATGGTGACCATGAGCTCCAATCACCATCAACTTGAGAACAGAGAAAAAAGGTAAATAAATACATTTCAATCTTGTATTTCTAATCAGATTTATTTGGAAAAAATACTATATTAATTGGTTGCAGTAATGTTATTCATATTTAAAAAGTAAATCAGAATAAATGTATCACACTATTTTCTCATGGCAATTGATAGGTTCCATCCAGTTTTGACTGTTTCCTAATACTTCCAACTTTTCTTTTGTTTTCCTTTGGCTATATATATATATATATATATATATATATATATATATATATATATATATGTCAATTACCAGGACATGGCCTCAGACTACACTCCACTCTTTCTTTGTCATCCCCAAAACACGACCGCCCACCAAACTGAGGAGGCGGGTTGTCACAGCGGCGACTTCGCTGACGATATCCAACACCACAAGTGGCACTGCAGCTCTCGTACTGACTCCAGTTGCTCCAGCTTCCATCAACTGAAAAATGCAAAATAAATATACTAAGATTTAATAATAGCAAATTTTCAATAACTACAACAATGACACAATACTTGCTTTATATTCTGCACTTTTGTCAAATCAAGTTTTGCCAATTTTTATCTCTCCTTCACATTTTTTTGCATTGTCTATTTCTCTTTTTTTACACTGACTGTTTTAAGACGGCCACCATGCCTAACTTACAGAAAAATTGATCTGTACTCGTCTTACCTGCACACTCCCTGGGCAGACACCTGCGAGACTCCCTTGTCTCTCCGACACACTCTCTCCCTCCATTGGCTGGCTTGGGATTGTCGCAGGCACGTTCTCTGTACATGATCCCCTGACCACACGATACACTGCAGTCACTCCACTCAGACCAGCTGCTGAACATACCATGTACTGAGCAAAACAGAAGCAAAATACAGGCCTGTAGTTCGCAATTTCAAAGGGTGTGTGTGTGTGTGTGTGTGTGTGTGTGTGTGTTGGGGTGGGGTTAAATATAGGTGGAAAACATTTTTAGAGCCAATTTGAGAAAATGGATAGGACTTTTGGGTAGAAATTGGATGGAAATTTTGATTCAGACAGCTGAAAAAATCTGATTTAAAAGATGCTGAAATTCTTCAGAAATCATTTGAGTCTTGATGACTACTGTTTACATACCTACAACAGTCAACTGTGCTTGTACCAATGCTCTTCCCAGTGGATTCTTTGCTAAACATGTGTACAGGGCAGAGTCTTCTAACTGAGTGGCTACAATCCTGAGGTGTAAGACAAAATACTGGAGTTAAAATTTTCATTTTTTTTTCACAGGTAATAGTGTCAAATTTTAAAAGATAAAAACAGCATCATGTATAAATCAGCATTGACTTTCAAAACTTTTTCATTGTACCTCAAAGAATTATTTTGCAGAATAGTAATCCTATCATGTGTGGACAGCACAGTCTGGTAGGGAGTCTCTCTCTTCCAGGTTATCTCAGCCGCGGGTTCACTCTCGGCCACACAGTCCCACACCAGCGTGGCACCCTGGTCTATCTTGATGTCCTTGGGCTCTAACTTGAAATCTGGGGCCTCTGAATGAAAAGATATAAGGGAAACATGCAGAGTATATTTTTTTCAAAAAAAATTCAAAAAGTTTTAACTATGAAACTGCCTTTTCTCTAAAATAATTACATTAATGTTACTAGAAATTGTAGAAATAATAATAATAATAATAATAATAATAATAATAATAATAATAATAATAATAATAATTCTACTACTACTACTTATAATAATAACAATAATAATAATTATTATAATAATAATAATAAAATAAATAATTATAATACACTGTAAACAAAATGAATACTTACTCCTTATAGTGATAAATGCACTGCTCTCAGATGTTCCTGCATCATTTGTGGCAACACACTTGTATTCTCCTGCATCAGATGTCTGGTATAATAGGAGACATACATGTATAGAGAAGTTGTTTAATTTATTGCATCACAACTGAAGTCCTAAAACTAAAATTAAATTGAAACCTTCAGTGTTTGTGGGACTTTGAGGTCTAAATCACAGCACTGATCAACACATATTTTTTTTTTTTTATTGAATAAGATTTCTTAAGATAAATCTTTTTAATGAATAAGATTTCTTAATGTTTTCAGCCTTATTTAGGAGAGCAACTCACAGTGGAATCATAAATAATAAGAGAGCCATTGGACAGCTGCTGGACCCTATTGTTTAGCTGGACGGGGCGGCCATTCTTGGTCCAGATAATGGTGGGTGCGGGGTCACCGCTGACTGGACAGGACAGTATGATACGCTGGGCAATGGTCACTGCTCTGTTACCAGGGGGCAGCAGTATCTTTGGTGGGACTAAAGGAAGAGAACGAAATTTTGTTCAAGTTTTTTTTAATGCATGCTGAGGAAACACAGCAATGGCATTAACCTATGTATAATTATGAAAATTGTTGGGTCAGCTGCTGACTGATTATTTCCTAATATCTTTAAAATACAGGGTTTTGTATTATGTTACTATGAAAGGCAAGCCACATAATTAATGCACAACACTACCACTGATTCAACAATTCATGAATAAAATACACACATTCAACAAAATCACTGATGCTTCTCTGATCATAAACTCTTTGTCAGAATAAAATGAAAACAAACTGTTTAACAACAACATTAAATCATTATTTTAATAATCAAAAAAATCAAAATTTTCTTATTTTCATTCACCTTTGACCCTGACAGCTGCCACAACTTTCCTTTTCCCTGCTGGATTCTCTGCCTCACATGTATATGTGCCATCATCATCTTTCATGGCGTTATCAATCACCAAACGACTTCTGCCGTTCACACTTGGTGCAGCTGAAGTGGAAAGAAGGAGAAAAAATTGTACACAGAGCCCATACTGGCAAAATGATGTTAGTATACATGCAAGCGTTAAAATTTGTATATAAATTCTTATGGCTAAACAGGGATATTGATATCAGAACAAAAGACTGAAAAACTAAATGTCAACAAAAAATAAGATTTCACATATCTGCCTTAATTTCAAAAGCAGATGTCAATAAAATTATTTTAGATGTTTTTTTAGGTGGTCAAGAGACAGAGAGAGAATTGATCAAAAATTCAATGATACCATTATTACCTGGAAGATAAGATCCGTTAACAGACCATGTCACGACTGGAGTAGGCATCCCCACGGCCTCGCACTCTAACTGGATACGTCCACCTGTGGTCACTTCTTGGTCTTGGGGGATCACCGTGAATGACGGACCAACTGGCAACATACATATATACATGTTAGCATATCTTACAATGTTTCAGTATAGATATGGAATACTAAACATTCAAGATGAAAACATTCTTGTGGATCATGAAAGGTGGGCCAACTTGTACCATGCAAATATAGCTGTTAGATATTATATCAATAATAATAATTTATCTGTCAAAAATATATAATATAAATGAATGATGTTATAGATATCAAACATAAATATGGACTTATACACATATATGGTAATTCAAGGAATCATTTAAATATGCTTAAATTACTAATATTGAGCTATATATTGAACTGAAAAATCTGCACGGGGGTTTTTCATCAATGTTTGAAGTCAATTAGCATAAAACTTTTAATGACCTGATCACACAACTATGTTTCTTAATTACTTATTGTGGTTCTTGTCACTTACTTTGTACTCTGAGGAGTACTTCTCTGGAGTCTTTGCCAGCTTCATTGTCAGCTCTACATACATAACTGCCTTGGTCTTGTTCCTGCAAAGTTTATGAAATGTTTATATTTCATCTACCTCTTAAAAGGATAATTGAAGATGTGTTATTTATTATAACTGCATATTCCAAATATCTCAGTTGGCTCTTCAGGGGCCAATTTCTGTGAAAGAGACCTCCCCCCCCCCCCCACACACACAAAAACACAAACACATAAATCACATCAACAAAGACCTGTTACCATGTAAATTGAATGTTCCATACATTTAACATATGACGAATTACTGTTAACCTTAAACAAATCAAATGGCAAAGATTTTTTTCAGTTTAAGCTGTATTTAATGAGAATATATTGCTTATTATGAATCTTTATGCAACTTAAACAAATTAACCAGTCCTAAAGTGTCCAAGATATGTGAAGTTTACTCTACAATTTAAATCATGTCTTCATTCATCATAATGTTGGCTTATTTATTATAACTATTCCCATCTGGAAACATCAAAATAGGACTATGAAGATATATGTACCTTAACATTTTCAATCCTCAAGGTACCATTAGATAAAATCTTGTACTTTCCCTCCAGGTCTCTGACACCTGAGAAGTCTTTCATCCACTGGATCTGTGGTGAGGGGATTCCTTCAGCAACACACGGCAACATGGCCGTCTCTCCTTGTATGACCACAAAGATACGCTGGTCGCCAGTGATGGTTGGAGATACTAGAAACATACATTGCTGTATTAGATAGTAGTCTATTATGTTTGACAAGTAATCTAGGTAGAGGTGATAATTACATTATTTTTGTTTCAATTAAGAAACTATTGTAAACATACTGGTATCATTATTTAAGTCAATAAGTCACTAGTCATATATTTTAATCTTACTTTATATACACCAATTTAAAGTTAACTAGTTTTATGTATATGATACAGAATGGAAACTTCCTTGAAAGTTTACCTTGTACTACAAGGTCCATGGTGACTGATGCCCTCCCTGCAACATTCTCAGCTATACAAGTGAATGTGCCCGAGTCCTGGGCTCTGAAATTACATAAAGCACATATCAGCTTTGCCTATCAAAGCAACAAAAATTTGTTATATTTTGACTACCACACAGTTCTAAATTTTCTTCTATAATGGATTTTAATGCAAATGGATGGATTTAAATATAGCAAGAGACAAGGTAGCATTTTGCACATTACATAACGAAATGAACAATTCTGATAAAGAAAAACAATATTACTCATTACAGAGAGAGAGACTTACTTGGTGATGGGTATGGCTAGACCTCCTGATCTTATCTGTCTGAAGCTGAAGTCTGTTGGACTAATCTCAACTCCATCTTTCTCCCAGATAATCTTAGGTTTAGGTACTCCAATGGATTTGCATGGCATGATGAGTCCATGACCCTGAATGACCTTGAACTCTGTCTGCTGCTCCTCAATAAAGGGGGGTACTGCAAAAATGACAATTAAAATTACAAGGTATGCATGCCTGCATGTGTGTGTAATGTGTCTATGGGAAATTCTTTTCTTTTCTTCTTTTTTTCTACATTTTTTCCTTTTTGGTTTTTGTATGACATTTGTGTTGCAAACAGAGTAATGAGACTGCACATTCATGAGATTCATGATATTCAAGTTTAAATTTCTCTTAGAAAACAGTTACAGGTAACGGATTATGTCAGAGGACAACGCACCACTAACGCGTTGGGTGATTAAAAAATTCGTCTAATACCTAACTACGCCCCCTTTTTATGAATGGTCGCCGTGGGAAGAAGACAATGCGACCATAAGTAATTAACGCATCGACACTAAGGTTTAACAATGATGTTTTTCTCAAGCCAGCACGTAGCGCGAGCCTTGTCAAAATAAGCTGTTGAAGCCGCAGCGGGACGCCAACACCACTTTATCTTTGCTTGTTATGTAATCCGGTAAACGACGTGTGGCTCGTTGAATCAGCTATTAAGATCGCTTCATATATCTCGCTAGACAACTTGATTGACTTATTTCACTATGGATTTGCCGAGCATTACTTAAATTTTACCTGAACAGTTTACCGGGCGATCTCGACAGCGTGACCCTCACATTGCAGGGCATGACTAGCGTATATGCACAGAGTCTGCTTGATATGAATATACTAATGCTGCCATGGTTTAATATGTTCTTTAAAACTTCATATTACACTGTAAACATCTTTTCAGGCCACCATTCACAGAAACTTTATTTTCAAAACAATAACTACATTCCGCGTCGAGTCGACTTTGAGCACGCGGCTGATATTTCATTGGCGCCATTTTTTACATGTGCAAGCAACAATATATCGAACGCGCTAACTACATTGCGACAAAGTCGTTATAGCTTTTAGATAGAACTGTTAAAAGTGCTTATGCACCTCAGTAACCTTTTTGTTTACTTTACACTTTTATATCCAATTGAATTCCAGGTTACAAGTACGGTTACAAAGGTAATTCAGACGATGTAGGCACATGTAC